TCTTGTGCCAGTGGGCCGTTTTCTAGTTTAGAAAGGAAAATGTCTGCCAATATGGGACCCAGGGGTGAACCCATCGCAACGCCATCTATTTGTCTGTAGATTTACCCATTGAATTTGAAATGTACATTCATAGTGCATTTCAGTAATAATTCTTTGATGATCTCTACAGGGATTGTCGTTTCTAGTTCCTGTTCTCTAAGTTGTTCACAAATATATTCTACAGTTTCTCTGAGTGGAACATTTGTGAACAGTGATGCTACGTCAAAAGAAATCATCGTCTTCTCTTTCGTGTTTATGTTTTTAATCCTGTCAACGAATTGGAATACGTCCTTAATACTATGTTTTACCAGGCGATTATGAAGTGGTTTCAAAACAGTTACTAGCCACTTTGCTACACTATGATATGGGGAATCATACACGTCCAGAATTGGCCTTAATGGGATATCCGGTTTATGTATCTTTGGCAATCCGTATAACCTAGGTAAATGTGTATCTATCGGCTTAATTGTTTCGTATACGTCTTTTGGAATCATTTGTTGATCTCTGAGCTTTTTTAAGGTTCGGGTCAGTTCATTCTCTATCGTATTATTGACATCTTTTTGGTTATTCAGTTTCTGAAATTTTTGAAGATCATTCAAGATGTTATTCATCTTGTCAATGTAATCTTTTTTGTTAAGCAGGACGGTTCCTGTTCCTTTATCGGGTTTTGTGATGATCAGATTCTCGTCACTAATGAGATCCATGATAGCCTCCCTGTGTTTCTTAGTTAAAATACTTCTGTAGTTATATCTACTATTCTTAAACTGATAGAAACAGTCAACTAGGTTTGATTTGAAACGTTCAAGTTCCTGGTCAGAGGTCGGGACCAGATCTGATGTCTGACGATTTAGGTTTTCAAATTGGATATCTGTATCGATTTGATTTACGCGGTTTCGTGTATCACAGAATTTTAGGCCAAGTGCTAATACTTCAAGTTTTTCTTTATTTAATTCAGTACCGGAAAAATTGTGCACATACCTTTTTGGTTCCGTCGGAAATTTATTTTCAATCGGTTGATTTTCAAGGCTTTTGAGAAGTTGGATATGTTTCTTGTTTGAACGTTCCTTAGTTATTTTTGTGACATACTCCATAAACTGGGACTTAAGGTCTTCTGGTAATTCATCCACTGCAAATCTTCTGCGAGCAATGTTTACTTCTATCTCTGTCAAGTCATTATTCAATGTGTCAATTTTATTAAGTGCATAGCGTTTTAATGTTTTTCTATTTGGATTAACATGATTACGGCGTAGTGACTTATAGAACAGTTTCGGATAATGACATGATTCGATACATTTTTTTATAAATTCTAATGATGTTTTCGTCTCAGTGAACTTTGCGTTATGCTTCAGAAACTCATTGAGTGCCTTCAACGCAATGGGTTGATCACAAGATACAATTGTGTTTTTAATATAATGGGAATTTTTCATGAATTAAAACATCATTAGAATTTATAAAAAAATGTATCGAATCATGTCATTATCCGAAACTGTTCTATAAGTCACTACGCCGTAATCATGTTAATCCAAATAGAAAAACATTAAAACGCTATGCACTTAATAAAATTGACACATTGAATAATGACTTGACAGAGATAGAAGTAAACATTGCTCGCAGAAGATTTGCAGTGGATGAATTACCAGAAGACCTTAAGTCCCAGTTTATGGAGTATGTCACAAAAATAACTAAGGAACGTTCAAACAAGAAACATATCCAACTTCTCAAAAGCCTTGAAAATCAACCGATTGAAAATAAATTTCCGACGGAACCAAAAAGGTATGTGCACAATTTTTCCGGTACTGAATTAAATAAAGAAAAACTTGAAGTATTAGCACTTGGCCTAAAATTCTGTGATACACGAAACCGCGTAAATCAAATCGATACAGATATCCAATTTGAAAACCTAAATCGTCAGACATCAGATCTGGTCCCGACCTCTGACCAGGAACTTGAACGTTTCAAATCAAACCTAGTTGACTGTTTCTATCAGTTTAAGAATAGTAGATATAACTACAGAAGTATTTTAACTAAGAAACACAGGGAGGCTATCATGGATCTCATTAGTGACGAGAATCTGATCATCACAAAACCCGATAAAGGAACAGGAACCGTCCTGCTTAACAAAAAAGATTACATTGACAAGATGAATAACATCTTGAATGATCTTCAAAAATTTCAGAAACTGAATAACCAAAAAGATGTCAATAATACGATAGAGAATGAACTGACCCGAACCTTAAAAAAGCTCAGAGATCAACAAATGATTCCAAAAGACGTATACGAAACAATTAAGCCGATAGATACACATTTACCTAGGTTATACGGATTGCCAAAGATACATAAACCGGATATCCCATTAAGGCCAATTCTGGACGTGTATGATTCCCCATATCATAGTGTAGCAAAGTGGCTAGTAACTGTTTTGAAACCACTTCATAATCGCCTGGTAAAACATAGTATTAAGGACGTATTCCAATTCGTTGACAGGATTAAAAACATAAACACGAAAGAGAAGACGATGATTTCTTTTGACGTAGCATCACTGTTCACAAATGTTCCACTCAGAGAAACTGTAGAATATATTTGTGAACAACTTAGAGAACAGGAACTAGAAACGACAATCCCTGTAGAGATCATCAAAGAATTATTACTGAAATGCACTATGAATGTACATTTCAAATTCAATGGGTAAATCTACAGACAAATAGATGGCGTTGCGATGGGTTCACCCCTGGGTCCCATATTGGCAGACATTTTCCTTTCTAAACTAGAAAACGGCCCACTGGCACAAGAGATCGATAAGTTTTCATTGTACTGTCGATATATGGATGATACGTTTATCCTTTGTAACGGGCATACGGACTTGACAAGAACACTCGAGCAATTCAATACAGCTCACCCGTCCATAAAATTCACATGTGAGAAAGAAAATGGGGGTAAAATAGCCTTCCTAGATGTTCTGCTTACAAGGAGAAAAGATGGATCGCTAAAAAGAAACATAAACAGGAAAATGACCTGGACGGGTCAATATACTAACTTTTTCAGTTTCGTTCCTCTACAACAAAAAAGGAACCTTATCAAGATACTACATCATAGAGTCACGACTATATGCACTATGGATACGATTGAGGATGAAACAAAGACATTGTTTACAACCCTGAAAGAAAATGGATATCCAGAGAAATTTATAAATAAAAACTTAGCCAATAAAAGACAGCGTAGAGAATGCCCAACGGTAAATAGAAGGCCTCTATATATACGCTTACAATTCAGAGGTGACGCGCCGAGTGAAATGTTAAGACTTAAGTTAAGTAGATCAATTCAAAGGACTTTTAACGCAGCCAAACTACAACTAGTATTTTCCACACGACCAATAATCACTCCGAGGTTGAAAGATAAATTACCTAGACTAGCCACCTCCTTCTGTATCTATCAATTCAACTGCTCCTGTGGAACAAGTTATATTGGCAGATGTTCTAGGAATTTTTACATTCGGGCTCGTGAGCATCTACCCGTGTGGTTAAGCAAAGGTGTTGTCAAAACTGTTAACAGCTCCATCTTAGACCATTTAGTCCAAACAGGACATACAGCCAACATGGAGCAATCTTTTGCAATAGTTTATCGTGTCAACAGCAGTCTACCTAATTCCGTCAGACTGCGAATCCTACAGACGGCTGAAGCAATTGCTATTCGGATCAAAAAGCCAGAGCTCTGTATCCAAAAGAAGTATGTTCAGCCACTCCTTTTACCCTGGCCAACTAGCTAATAATCAATCTTAAAATGTGGTGACGTAATCTGATTAATGTTCATTTTATGTCCCAAACTATTATTATTATTATTATTATTATTATTATTATTATTATTATTATTACTGTTATTATTATTAATATTATTATTATTATTGTCTTTACACTTGATAACCCCTTTTTGAGGAATTTATTCAATATCCACCCCTGAATCTACTATATTTGACCTAATTATTTTACATATTACGCAATTTCCGATTTGTAATCACAATATTCTCTCTCTCTCTCTCTTACTATTTGTTTGACATTATTTATGAGGTGTCCTGTGAATTGAATTACGTGTTGTGATTGCATTCTTATACATGTTTTTTTCTTGATCATAATATTAACAATAAAATTGTGACTATGTAAGTGAACGACTTTATCATCATGGACTGTTATCCTAATCCATATCGATAATTCTATTGATTACAAATTAATTTTCTGGAATTCTTGAAACATTTTCAACAAAGTATTTAGACAAATATGCAAATGATGAACCCTGTCAAGGTTACAAATTAGAACCGAAGTCATCAGAACGGAACGGATTATTATCTGTAGAGTAATCAAAATGCTCATTTCTGTTTGAAATAGGGACTGATATCTAGAACGACAATGAAAGCTTTGCAATTGAACTATCCCGTTCATATATATAAACTTTGGAGATAAATGGAACTATTTAATAATACTAAAGTAAAAAAAAATTTATAAAGAAGATTTGCCTGAATATACAATAACTTAGAGTTATCAGTATGAGGTTGTAGAGATTGTTGAGTTTTCGATTGAGATCATGAATCGATAGATGTAAGACCATCATTGAAAACCTGGAAGCAATGGACGGCCATTTCTTCTTAATATGAGACTCCTCGGCAGTGCTCATCCACGATCTCACACTCAGGATTCGAACCCAAGATGAAACGGCTATCTAGTGCTTTCAGATTTTTACTGGTGGTCTAGCATCAATCGATTAATGATTTCAATTAGAAACTTATAGGTACTTAATTTTTCTGATACCTCTATAAGGAATTGTTTTATTGGTGTGTTATTATATATTGTAAACATATGAACTAATCAATTAAATATATTTGAATTTTTTATGAGTATAGACTTGAGAAAAGAGTCAAATTTAGACGAGAATAATTTTATCTGGCAACGGTTAATTAAAACACAACTTATCAGTTCAACATTAAATCCTGAAAGGAATGAGTACTTTTCGAATGAATTTAATGAGTACAATGATATTCCAACAATTGGGATCAAACAATTTTCAACAATTCATCCTTATAAATGGGATAATCAAAGTTTACTAATCAATAATGACACATTATATATACCGTTATTAAATACTTCACAAGAATTAATTCAACTTGGATCAGCGTTGAATAATCATGAGGTGAGAGATTTGAAAAATATATAGAGGTTATAGGTCTAGAGGTTAAGCGATCAGGCGCGAGACTGATAGGTTGTAGGTTCGAATCACGCGGGGCAGGTGTGTGGATGCATATTTCTGAGGAGTCCCACAATAGGACGGAACGGCCGTTCAGTGCTTCCAGGTTTTCCATGGTGATCTAGCTTCAATTGACTCATGATATCAACCATTGAAAAAAATATATTTATTTAGTATAATACAATTCAATAGTAATTTTTGAAAACAAGATCGATTTTTTGTGATGCATTTTATGTGAAATTCAATCATATTACTTACAATTATTTCCAGTTTCTCTAATATTACATATTTAATTAGTAAGTAGTATTTGAACAGTTACGTTCAAGGTAAAGAGGTAGTTCATGCAGATATTAACACACCAGCTTTATTAGATCACTGAGTTAGTGTGACACTGGGCTAGATTACCGAAATTCTCTTAATTCGTAGTATAGTACGATAATAAACCAATGTTATAAATAATATCTGTTTCACATCAAACATGACCAAGTCTCACAGGTTACAACTTTCCACTATTCTTATACTGACTTCAACTGGTTCATATATTTTTTTTGAGGCTTGAATATATTTTTCATGTCTGTATGATAAGCTATTTTAATTAAACATTAGTTACACTACTTACTATGTCAGATAAAATTACTGCTTAACTGCAGAAGGTATATGAATTATAACTTATACTAAATAACAGAAATATAAATATTACATTCTATTTGATTAAATGTTTTCATGATGCAAAAATCGTCATGAAAGAATGTTCAGGAATAAAGATACTCGGTATCAATGCCCTGGTATGGCTGAGGGTGGGGTGAATCCGCTCTCCCTCTTGAGAAATGCTCTCACATGGCCACGCGTATACATCCACTACCAGGGATGTCCTACTCACTGCCTTCTCGTGGCGGGAGTGTTTTTTACGAAATTGAGAGGACGAAAAGCGAATTTCTCTTTCTTTGACTGGGTTGGTGGACACGGAGGATCCACCTAGGGAAGTTGGGAAACCCTGATTCCAAAACAATGTTGCATATGGGCTCCATGATCTTGAGGGAACAAATGGCATATGAACCTGTTGTAGGCCACTGGCTACCATGGGACTGCACTGCCTTGTGGATTAGACCTTCAGGTCGAAGGCTCCGGGTGTGACCTCCCAAGAAAACCACCTGCTTCGATTTTGGCACCCAAGCAGTATCACAGCCCACATAAAAATCAAGTGACTTTTGTAGTGCATATCTATTCGGTGTAACTTTTTACCAATATTTTTGTATCCAAATAAATAAAATAAAATATTAACTGAAGGAATACTGTAATGATTGTGACCAGTCTGATATAATGTAATACTTGTTCATACTCAAATCGGATAGGTAAGTTAGTTAGTAGAGATGTTCTTTAAGAACATGTTCATCTATCTTTCTGATTATTGTTAAATTCAGATTTTTAGAATTTGGCTCTTATCAATCATCGTCAATCAAGTTTTATTCTGTTATGAAGACTGTCTCATGATTCAGTATTGTGTATTCAAATCATCTAATTCTATATTCATATGTGGTCAAAATGTGGGTAAATGGCCACGAACGCTGCAATCTAAGAGTAACATGTTTAACATAAGATCTAAATGTTGTAGGCATTTTGTCATGTGGAATTGTGGTTGCATACTACTTTGCTTTGACCAAACTGTTACTCAACGTTTATATGGGTTTTAATGAGTATTAGGATCATTTTAATTCATGATGAAAACTATCCTTAAATTAAAAAAGCTTTACGTAATCTAGGCTTTTATCTTGCTTAACCACTATTCGGGTACTGAAAATCGATTAAAATAATTTTCAGTGGTTATACGTTGATTCATAATATCTGTTTAAGTAAGACAAAATGAACATCTTGGCTGATCAGTTGTGACAAGACTAAAAATAATCATCATAGAAGATCGATCTCTGGTGTGAGGAACTATAATATCGACTGAATGAAATAATCATTTTTTTTAGTTTAATACTGTTGGTGCATTGTTTTTTTAATAAATTAAGTTATTGAATGTATCCCAAGCATCTTGTTGATAGGCGTCACGATGTAATTTCGATAGCTACTTACCTAGTACATAATCAATGCTGTTGTGTTGATTTATGTAATGATTGGAAAAAGTTTTGTGTTTCCCTATCAGTTCTGGTCAATTCACACTTATATTTAAAAAAAATGTACAATTGTTTTCAATAATGTTACTATGAAATAAAGATATTTTCAGTAAAACAAAGTAAATTGTTCAATTGTTTTGCTTCATTTCAAAGTTTGGACTATTAATTGGATCATTTGGAAGTGGTAAACAAACAATAATTCGTCAACTTGCTTTTCTACTTGGTCGTCGTCTTATAGAATTTTCATCTAACATCTTCAATGATACATTTGAGAACACATTAAAAAATGATATTCTTAGTTGCATACGAATTGGTTGTTTATTTTCAATAATGAATATGCATGTAAGCGGTTTTTTTCATTCAAAGTGAATTCTATTTCCTATAAGTTTATTCATGGTTTTTTTTCTAAAAAAATCAGTTAACTGAATACATTCAGAGGTCATATTAAACTGCTACTGGGAGTATTACACTCATTCTATCGACCAACTTTTGTTGATAAAGGTTATGAGATTCGACGGTTTATCATGGTTTTGAATGATTAGTACCAGTTCGTTGATAAACGGTTATTAGGCTGTAGAGGTATAAGTAGATCTTAAATATCATTAGCAACACTCGACATGGTGAATTTAAATGAATTGACGATTAGGTAAAGAATTTATATTATTGAAAATAATATATTTGTGCATAAAGGATTGTGAAGATTGTTGGATTTCATTGAGGTGATGAACCGATCAACATTAGACTACCATTGTAAATATGCGTTTGAAGATGCGCACTAATGAGGAGTTACATACCTGAACAGAACAGCCATCCAGTGCTTCCAGTTTTCCAACAGTGATATGAATTAGAACGGTTCATGAACTCAATAATATATTTGTGATGATTTGAAAATAAAATGGATTTCTAACGTTTAGTAACTTCATACAAATAAGACATACAAGCATGTCAGCTCACGTAAATGTTGTGTCAGTCGGAGAAAATGCGATTCCATGTAAAACATGTCTTTGTATATACGTGTGAATGTGAAGAAAGATAATGAGTAAATTTAATGAGTTTATTTATAGCTGTGGTATGATCTTAAATAACTTAACTATGACAGTGAACAAATGAATTAAAACACAATTGTGTGAACGAAGAATATTCTTTTCAATAATTTCTCATCAAGTTCTACAATTATCTCATATCCAAATTAATAATCCATAAAATTGGTCAGATTCAAGGCAAAGTACATCATCTAAAATCATAACATGTGAACCAAGGATTGTTGCTTGTTACATCAAATCAAATCAAATCGTTAATGTCGGGGTCAGTCAGTCAGTCAGCTACAGCGTAGGACCACGCACATATATGCATAGGTCCAAGTTGCCATACCTCATTAACACAACAAGATGGACACCAAATTCATAGAAGTAGTTAATTCAGTGGTGGTAATATATAAATGAAAGATTACATATAAGGACATAGTACAGGAAGACGGAATTAGTTCGTAGAAAGAAAGATATGAAGTGATTTTAATCTCTTAGTTTAAAGAAAAACAGAGTGTGCATACAACGACGCCATTGTGATCGATTCTGAGTCATGTCACCAAGACTCTCCAACCATTGGTTACGATAGTCATGCGGACCCCAACCAATTATTCTGCATCTACCAACATGGCTCACACCAGAAGTTAGTGACTTCAAGCACTAATGACACGTTTTGGTTTGGCTGCCCCTAACTTTCTTTCAATCATCTCCAACACCGGTTAGCATTGCACGTCGTGGTTAATCGGTGTTCAGGCATATATAACACGTGGCCCAACCATCTTAGTCGATGAAGATTCACAACCTCATCAACTGATTTACCATCATTCTCTAATACCTTGCGTCGAACCTCACTATTACTTACCCGGTGATCCCAGCGAATGCGAGCAATATTTCTAAGGCATCTGTGGTTAAATACTAGTCACTTACGAGTGTCTTCTACTCTTAATGGCCATGTTTCGCTGCCGTAAAGTAGAACAGAACGGACTGCCGCGCAATATACTCATCCTTTTATTGATAGACGGATATCTCTCCTTTGCCATAGGTGACGTAAGTTGGCAAAAGCCAAGCGAGCTTTTCGAATCCGTGCTGAGATTTCGTCAGACACCAACCCATTAGGGCTGATCAGACTTCCAAGATAAGTGAAGTTGTCAACGCGTTCGACTACTTCACTCCCTATCCTTAGTTCAGATGGTGACGCAGACCAGTCCTGAAGCAATAACTTGCATTTAGAGGGAGAGAAGCGCATTCCAAACATTTTGGCATTGTTGCTTAGTGCTACCAAAAGACTCTGCATTTTATCAGCGTCTTCACCAAACAGGACTATGTCATCTGCGTATTCTAAGTCGATAAGTGGACCTCCCGGGAGGAGATCAATACCCGAAAATTCAGTAGACGAGAGTGTTATTTCCATCAATAGGTTTATGATAAAGTTAAACAAAAATGGAGAAAGTGGACATCCTTGACAGACATCACTTGGGGTTGCAAAAGTAGATGACAGTTCGCCATAAGTTCTGACTTGACTAGAAGTGTTTGAGTAAAGAGCCTTCACAAAGTTTATGTACTTCTGAGGTACGCTTTTCAATGACAGACACTGCCACTGAATCTCGCGGTCTACCGAGTCAAATGCTGCTTTTAAGTCGAGAAAGACCACCATTGTCGGACGTCGATAAGTATGCCTGTGTTCTAGAACCTGACGAATGGTGAATATGTGGTCGATGCAGCCATGACCAGGTCTGAAGCCAGCTTGATTCTCTCATGTCTACAGTTCACGAGTCTTAGTCAGGCGTCCGATAATTATCGAGGCTAGTATTTTAGATACTATATTAGTTAAACTAATCCCTCTGTGGTTGTCACAGGATGATTTTAACCCTCTCTTATATATTGGGACCGATAAGTGATTGTGACCAATCAGATGGAATAACGTCTAACTCCTAGATCTCAGCTAAAATATTAGTCAACCTCTGGAGCCAGTCCAGCTGCCCTTCCTCGTTTCAGATTAACTATAGCCTTTTGAACTTCTGCTAGAGTTAGGGGGACCTACTTCAATGTTCCATTCACACTGTCTGGGAATGGAGGGTAGTTGTAGAGTAGCTGAAGGCCAGCTGAACTGTTCTCTGAAATGTTCCGCCCATCGTTCTAAACGTCTGAACTGAGAGCAGATGAGGGTGTCATCTTTTTCTGAAATAGTCTGACTTACACTTGATTTATTAATTCAAGTTTTTTTATTAGTCTGTAAAGCTGTCTTTTGTTCCCTATAGCCTCCGCCTTTTCCATCTATTTTGCTTTCGTTGCCCATCACTGCTCACGGTCGTTCCTTATACTTTTGCCTAGCCTAGATCTGATTTGTTGTCACTCTTCATCGTGTTCAGAGCCTGATGGGATGAGTTTACGAGAATCCATCAGTGCAATAGACCTTGAGGAAATCCATTGGTTCTTTGTAACCCTGTGGTTTAAATCACTAATAGATGTCACTGCTGTTTCCACAGCTGTTTGTATAGCTTTCCAAGCAACACATGGGTCAACCTCGTTTTCAGAACCACCTAAGTGTGACCTCAGTTGTTCCTGGAACCTACTTTTGGTTTTCTCGCTACTCAATTCAGTTCTAATGGCTCTTTTTAGTGTGGCTTTTTTGCGTCCAGTGAGGTGCAAGCAGATGCGTGCCCGTATTAGGGCGTGGTCGGAGTCCAAGCAGGTAATCCAGAATGAGCGACAATTTTCTACCGACCCTCTCCAACGATGACTGATGGCGATATGGTCTATTTAAGTCCATCGGAGTTGACTAACATGAAGTGTTAACTTGAGTCAGTTTATAAGTGAAATGAAATTGTGAGGTAAATGATCAACATGGAGTGAGAGAGAGAATGAAAACTTGCCGATCTGTTGTGCCAATGGGTCGTTTTCTAGTTTAGAGAGATAAATGTCGGCCAATATTGGACCTCGGGGTGAACCCATCGCGACATCATATATTTGTCTATATATTTCACCATTGAATTTGAAATAAACTTTCTTCCATAAACAGATCGACAAGTTTTCATTTTATTGCTGATATATGGACGACACATTTATCCTTTGTATCAACCATACGAACTTGATTGAAACGCTCGGTTAACTACTCCATTTTAGCCGATTTAATGCAGACGGGATATATAGCCAACATGGAGTGATCTTCCGCAATAATATATCGTGTTAACAGCAGTCTACCTAATTTCGTCAGACCGAGAATCCTGCAGGCAGCTGAAGCAGTTGCTATTCTGATCAAAATGCCAGAGTTTTGCATCCAAAAGAAATATGTTCAGCAGTTCCTTTAACCCTGGCCAATTTCGGTACCAACTAGTTAATAATCAATTTTATGATATGGTGATGTAATTTGATTAGTGTTCATTTTTATGTCCTAAACTTATCCACACATATTACCATTGCTGTTATTATTATTATTATTATTATTATTATTATTATTATTATTATTATTATTACACCCGCTAACCTTTTTGGGGAATTAATTCAGCATCCAATCCTATCTACTATATATCTGACCTTATTTATATTATTCTACATATTACGTAATTTCTTATTTGTAATCACATTATTCTCTCTCTCACCCCATGTTGATCATTTACCGTTATGCAGCTGAACGTTTTCCTACCAAATGAAGTATTATTTAGTAATGTAATTAATCGTTCAGATATTCATCTTTTCTTATAGTTGGATAAGTTTTTTCAAATTATCTGTACAGTTTTAAGATCATGCTTATAGTTATTAAAATTATCCAATCATTGGTATTTTGACTGAAATATGATTGATCTTGGTTGGAATATGTGCATTCTGTGTGAATTTCCTCAATATAACGATTATGACACATTTTAGTATAGAATAGATTGAATTTGGCTAGCAGTGGGATCTTTGACTCAGGTTTAATAGTAACCGGGTCTCGTCAGCTGTATGTTCTGTATCTCAGAGTTAATTTTCACTCCAGGACTCTTACCAAGTATCAGCTGGTTATATGCTAACCCGGACTGATCAAATTTCAATCAAAATATTAGCAGTGAGGTAATCCAATTCACTACAAATTGAATTAAAAATCATATCCGTTACACTAGGGGTTTTTTAACCAGATTTATTTTTAATTGGATCACAGGTTGGAGTTTAAAACGAACGATGCTAGGCTCGAGTTCAGGTGTGAACATCAACTCTGAGATCCAGGTACATTCAACTGATGAATCCCAAGTAATACAAACACACATATCCTGAATTCCATATTCTTTCTCTTCTACGTAAACTGTCGTGTTTGAGTTTGTTCTCTAAGTTATACATTGTTGTTTACTATTGAATATCTAGAACTGGTATGAAGTATTTTTAACATTTTTTTTCTATAACAAAGAACTTAAAATTTGGAGAATTGGAAATCGTGATAAACTGTTTGAATGAAGTTCGAAAATGTAATTTTATGAGCAACGGTCGGATTCAAGTGAGTTTATTCAACTATTTTACTGAGTTATTTATATTAGTTATGCGATGAATTTGTACATATCAATATCAATTCCTATCATGAACTGACCTTATCTTGAAAAATGCTTCATGTTAGTTTAATACTTTACAACTATACTCACTCAATACATCACATGATATTGAGCACAAAACATTAAATATTAGGTATTTTCTATTTCACTAAATTTGGAATTCACTGTGATCCGCATTTAATTTCTTCATCAATGAGTAAATACTATACTCTCAACTGGTTGACTTCTCGAATTATATTGTCTAAGATTAATCAATTTTACTACTACTGATTCTGTTACTAATTCTATTATGATTACGGGTTCTCTATTGATAGTTTCATCTGACTGTGTTGATATGATGTGAGAACCGATGTAAATATGTGTTAGTTTTTACATTGTTCATAATTGCCTGACTAATTTGTCTCAGCTTTCTACTAGAACAAACAAGATGTTTAATGTCTTTTAGTTGTCAATCGATTTTCGTTACGGAGGTTATTTGAAAAGGAGAAGATAATCGCTGCTTGTAGATTAGTGCAACTCTTTCCTTTGACTTAAATATTAAAATATACTGTACTAAACAGGTTTCAATTCAACTTACTATTCCTCTCTCCAATTTTGGTAAATTTCTCTGACCGCTTCTGTTCCTATACAAATGATAATTTTATATCAGAAGGGGTTTTGTGGAGATTTTTAGAAATTTTCATAGTTGAAGTCATGAGTCAATTGAAGCTAGATCACCATGGAAAACCCGAAGCACTAGGCGGCTGTTTCGTCCTACCTTGAAACTCCTCAGCAGTGTGCATCAAAGATCCCGCCCACTGCCAGATTCGAACCCACGACCTATCAGTCTCGCGAGCGAGCACCTAACCATTAGACCAATGAGCCAGCCGGCATCCATCGGTGTTAATGTCTAACTTGAACCAATCCACAAAGTTGCGCCACCATACACCATTGTCTTCAGTGAGTTGATATCTCACAACAGACCTGGTTGAACTCCATTGGTAACGGCTTCTCACTAGAACTCCACGAAATATCTCTTGAAGTCAGTCACTAGTGAGTAGATGATTATTATCAGAAGGGGTTTTGTGGAGATTTTTAGGAACGGTGTTAACTTCGTGGATTGGTTGAAGTTGGACATTAACACCTCTGGATACCGGCCGGCTCAGTGGTCTAATGGTTAAGCGCTTGTGCGCGACACTAATAGGTCCTGGGTTCGAATCTGGTGGTGGGTGGATTCGTGGATGCGCACTGCTGAGGAGTCTCATACTAGAACGGAACGGCCATCCAGTGCCTCGAGTTTTCTATGGTGGTCTAGCTTCAGTTGATTCATGATTTCAACTATTGAGATAATTTTATAGAATAAATTTGTAATACTTAACTGTTTAATTAATTTCTACAACCCTTTCTTTTCAGTTTGCAGATTTTACAAAGAATCTTCAACAATCTATTGAGAACATTGATAAAAATAGTAAGCATTTACTTTGATTGTTCAACAAAATGTAGTTTTCTCCCTCTTTAACTTGTTGAAACCAACCCATATTACAAATAAAATGGAATATTTAAATTCAAACATATGTAGCTATTTAAAACAGCGTAATAGATATCTTCATCTTGAATATGTGATGAGATTATAGAAATACTACTTAAATTACAAGTTTTTTTTTGGAGATTTATATCTTATATTAGTTAAGACCTACTATAAAGTTGCATTTACGGCGACTGTTATAATCTGCTATCTAAATTGATATTCAATAGATAAGCAAACGTGTTTTGAGGGAAAAACTGTAGAAATTGTCAAATTATAACATTCGTCAGTCCCTGAAATTATTAAGACCATATTAGAAAAGTGTTAGCTATTTGACAATGGTCTATTCCTCGTAGATGAAGATCCTATGCAATATAGACTAAGAAACCTATTATAATGATCATCTGATTGGTTTATTCGAAAAAAACCCAGTTTCACAACTTCACTCAAGACGACAATAATCGTTGTCCTATTATGGGACAACTCAACAATGAGCATCCACGATCCGGCGTCACGAGATTTGAATCCAGGACCTACAATAAGACGAAATAGCCGTCCAGTGCTTTCAGGTTTTTCATGGTAGTCTAGCTTCAATTGATTCATGACCTCAACTATTAAAAATTACTATAATATCCACAAAACACTTTCGGATACATTCATTACCAATTAATTTTTCAGGTCACAAGTTAATCACTTATCATTCTAATCAATATATTTCTGAACCGAAACAATGTTTATTTAATCAAAGTATTAGAATGGATTGCAGTTTTGGATTATTCGGTACATATGATTCCCGATTTTTTCAAAATCTGCCAAAAGTACAAAAAGTAAGAAATATTTTTTCTTTCTTTACTAAAATGGTTATTTTGTACTTTTTGCTTTCAGATGAAATTGCAATATCATTTTATCATCTCTGTACTGAAGTTATACTAAATATTCAACTTTGATTTAAAGGAAGTTATCAGAATGGGTTTTGTGGAGATTTTAGAAATTTCACAGATTGAAATCATGAGTCAGTTGAAGCTAGACCACCATTGAAAATCTGGAAGCACTGGACGGCCGTTTCGTCCTAGTACAGGACTCCTTAGCAGTGCGCATCCACGATCCCGCACCCCCGCGAGATTCGAACCCAGGACCTACTGGCTTCGCGCGTGAGCACTTAACCACTAGACCACTGAGCCGGCATCCAACGGTGTTAATGTCTAACTTCAACCAATCCACGAAGTTGCGCCACCGTACACCATTGTCTTCAGTGAGTTCCTATCTCACATCAGACCTGGTTGAACTCCACTGGTAACGGCTTCTCACTAGAACTTCGGGAGTTTTTCCTGAAGTCAGTCACTAGTGAGCAGTTGATTATTATCAGAATGGGTTTTGTGGAGATTTTAGAAATTTCACCGAAGTTCTAGTGAGAAGCAGTTACCAATGGAGTTCAACCAGGTCTGTTGTGAGATAGGAACTCACTGAAGACAATGGTGTACGATGGCGCAACTTCGTGGATTGGTTGAAGTTAGACATTAACACCGTTGGATGCCGGCTCAGTGGTCTAGTGGTTAAGTGCTCACGCGCGAAGCCAGTAGGTCCTGGGTTCGAGCCCCGTGTGGTGCGGGATCGTGGATGCACACTGCTGAGGAGTCCCATGCTAGGACGAAACGGCCGTCCAGTGCTTCCAGGTTTTCAATGGTGGTCTAGCTTCAACTGACTCATGATTTCAATCTGTTAAAGGAAGTTGTTTGAAACTTAGATTGTGGTATACCATTGAATCAAAGTTGAATGTATATACATAGACAGAAATATGTATACTGGTGATCGCTATACCAGTCTATTACGACTGGTGACTGACGATAGAGTTCCGTTCCTATTCTCCATAAATATTGCCTAGTATGCTTTAAACTAAATAAAATAGTCATGTAATCCGCGCAATTTCAACTAAAATGCCTTAATAATTCATATTGAATGCATGAAACGCCCTTCGTGCTCATTTTTCCATATTTGGAACTCATTTTCTAGATGTATCTTGAAACTAGGGTTCATTTCCACACTGGGACTTGGATACATTACGCATAAATTTAAACATCAACGAGTTATCTTCTAAGCTACTCAGTTCAGATTGCTATTTACGTTTTCGATAAATATGAATTGTTTTAAAGAGTTTTAATTTTCCAGTTATTTATGGTACAGATTATTATTATTTATTGTTTTAACACTTAGATATTGGTACAAGGAGGCACCAAATACATATGAGCCACACAAATCTCATTCGATATGTGTGAAGGCTGTGATACTGACCGGGTGCCCAAACCGAAGAAAGTGGTTTTCTTAGGGGGCCACACCCCGAGCCTTCGACATGAAGGTCTGATCCACAAGGCAGTGGAGCATCGTAAGGAGATGCAGTCCCATGGTAGCCGGTTACCAACGATTGGTTCATACACCATTTGTTCCTTCAGGATACTGGAGCCCATGTGCACCATTGGTTTTGAATCCGGTTAAAGCGCCGGACATTCGCTTTTTGTCCTCTCATTTTCGTGAACAACACCCCCTTGACGAGAAGGCAGTGAGTAGGACTTCCCTGGCAGAAGCTATATATGCGTGGCCATGTGAGAGCATTTGTAGAGGTAGAGTGGACTCTCCCCACTCTTGGCCGTACCAGGGCACTTGGGGGCTATGGTACAGTTTGCAATCCTTTGGCCACTGTTGGCCTAAGTGTATCTTGATAGAATTGTTTCGATATTGTCATTTAGTCGCAAGGTGTAATCAAGCTAGTTTGCAGTCAGCAGAAAACTACAAACCCTTTATAATTGAAGCTGGATAGTATAAAAACGTTTTTATTTACTTTGTCTTTAAAGCATACTACCATGTTGAATCGTTTCAATAAACTATTTAAATGGTTCATTCATCCTTTATTCAAATCTTTGACATTATATACTTTATGAATTTTCTTTATACAGCTTTTATTTCGTAATATAACCATTGGATGGCCAAATTATTCATTTATTATACAATGTCTTTTCAAATATTATTTACCTGAATATCAAAGTTCTTCAATAAAGCATCGACTAGTCAATTTGTTGAATAGATCTTTAACATATTTTACAAATGAATCAGTTCTTCATTATAAACAAACAAATACCTACTACTTATCACTTTCAACTATTATCAAAACATTTGAATATGCTAAACAATTTTGGTTAGAAAAATTTAATCACCTTCAAGATATACGTAAACATACTGCACTCAAATCATTAGTAATATTGAGAAAGGAAGAAGATAGATTAGCTGAAATTTCAATACGATATGGATTGTCTAAAGCTTATAGAATAAATTTATCTATGGATTGTATTAAAGATAATTTCAAGAAAGTTTTATTACAATCCAGCTTAGATTTTGATTGGTTATCAACCATTGAGCAATATTTATCATTAAATTCTGCATTACCTTTCATGTCTAGTAATGAAGAATGTTTAAAATGTGATGATAATAATATGTATCCAAAAGTTTCATGGGAATTTATTTATCGATTGTTAAGAGAAGTGTATGTACGTAATTTGGAAATAGTTAATGGTCAGTTAATAAAGGTAAGTGTATACATATTTTGATTATCTTTGATTGATCACTTTGTCGTAACCATTATGCTAGATAAGGTCATTAACAATTCATGTATCATTTTTTTGTCATCTTGTTGGCAATACCTGTTTTCTATCGTCTTTAACATGATTTACAAAAAATCATTTATAGAAATTTTCAGAAATCAAGATTTTCAACTGCTGAAGAGTCCCAAAATAGGACGAAACGGCCGTCTAGTGCTTTCAGGTGGTCTAGCTTCAATTAACTCATGATCTCAACTATTGATATTATTACAATCTCCACAAAACCTCCTTCTGATTTCCAACTGCATTTTTAAGATCAAGGTTTTAAAGAAATCTTGTGGAAATTCTAAGGAAAATTATAGAATGAGCATCAAACTTCGTTTTTATCGAGATAGTGTATTGAAAACAATTACTCTTTATAAGTCAATCACCAATTTCAGAAATCGTCTTAAAGAATGAATGAACAGTATAGGGTCAGAAAAAAATGTAGAAGAATAAAATAAAGAGTTTAACGTCGGATGATTTTGAGGAATGTTTTAAACAACAGAAATAGAGAGCAGATAAGCAACAGACTTCAAACGAATTTTTTGAAGCAGATAAGACTGAAATATTGTTAGTGTTTTAAAATAAACTATTTATGATATAAGTTCGAGCATGTATTCAAAATATTAGTGCAGATATCTGGAATTTTGTTTGTTTTTAGTATGACTTTGCGACAAGCCTATTTTTTCCTTTGTGGGATATGACTTGATAAACGGTTTTACTCATTTTCTTACACCATGTAAGATTAAATCCAACGAGTTTTAATTGTAATTCTATAACACTGTTTAATAGAAGCATCTTCTATTAAAATACGTTTACAAGTGAAAAAAGACCAATATACACCACGTTAATTATGATTATAATCCTAATGCGGATTCGAAAAACTCGTTTAGCTTTTGCCAACGTACGTCACCTATGGCAAAGGAGAGATATCCGTCTATCAATAAAAGGACGAGTATACTGCGCGGCAGTCCGTTCTGTTCTACTTTACGGCAGCAAAACATGGCCATTAAGAGTAGAAGACACTCGTAAGTGACTAGTATTTAACCACAGATGCCTTAGAAATATTGCTCGCATTCGCTGGGATCACCGGGTAAGTAATAGTGAGGTTCGACGCAAGGTATTAGAGAATGATGGTAAATCAGTTGATGAGGTTGTGAATCTTCATCGACTAAGATGGTTGGGCCACGTGTTATATATGCCTGAACACCGATTAACCACGACGTGCAATGCTAACCGGTGTTGGAGATGATTGAAAGAAAGTTAGGGGCAGCCAAACCAAAACGTGTCATTAGTGCTTGAAGTCACTAACTTCTGGTGTGAGCCATGTTGGTAGATGCAGAATAATTGGTTGGGGTCCGCATGACTATCGTAACCAATGGTTGGAGAGTCTTGGTGACATGGCTCAGAATTGATTACAATGACGTCGTTGTATGCACACTCTGTTTTTCTTTAAACTAAGAGATTAAAATCACTTCATATCTTTCTTTCTACGAACTAATTCCGTCTTCCTGTACTATGTCCTTATATGTAATCTTTCATTTATATATTACCACCACTGAATTAACTACTATGAATTCGGTGTTCATCTTGTTATGCTAATGAGATATGACAACTTGAATCGATGTACATATGTGCCTGGCTGACTGAATGACTAATGCATTGAAACTGCTTATATGGGTTGCAATGAATAATGTAGTTTTTAGAATCGCTTTCTTTGAGCTGGATTGTATGATTGAAAAGTTTCGATTAACTTTCTGGATGACATCGTCAGTGTAAGATTTATATAAAAATTAGCTATTTTAATTTGTCCATATATGACTGGGAACTTACTTTGTCGACCTTGAATTTGATAAGTAATCATTTATGCTTGTCCCGTATATTGTGCACATAATTATCTTGGCTATAATTCTTTTTTACCTGAGATGTGAATTATATGTAAATAAACTTAAATAGCACAGTTCTATCTGAAGTTTGTGCTGATGGTGTTTTCTATGTGGATAATGAACGATCCAAACTTGAGTCATCCAGCTCAATGAAAACAACAACTACAAAATTGTCCTTTTGAATTATAAGTTTATCCACCAATTGAACTGGTACAGACTAAAATATATCATCAACATGGAGCCTGGAACAGATGCTCGTTGACTCAAGTTGCCATATTATATTAACACGACAAGATGAGAATAACAAAATAGGTTCACACAATGTGGTAGGAATGATACAAAAAAAGACTAAACCTTGAGAATATGGTTTGAGAAGACAGAAAAGAATTATGTACATGAAGGGACATTAGAAGTTGAGACTGAAATGAAGATCAAGTGCAAATAAATCTATGCAATTGCAACCTATTTTTAGCCATTTCACCAAAAGTCTGAAAACACTGATAGCATTCGTCACTCATACTCCAATCAGATAGTTTACGTCTATCAAAGTCACATTAATACATAAAACCTTTTAATTAGGAGCGCTGTTTTTCTGTTGAAGTGTTAAATCATTTGTTAAAACAATCGATTTCTATTTGCAAATACCGTTATTTGAATAACAATCGAGTAAATTTGATTTAATTGGTCACTGCACTTAACCTGCTACGTATATTTTTGTCGTGTATTTGTTAAGTAACTAAACTATTCATATTCGTGTTCCTCTTATCATAAGCTTTATTTTGATCTACGAAATATTATTATACGATTTACCATTCTTGAGTTATGCCCGGTCTATCAATTACTATCTCCCGCATTCACAGCTATATTTGGCCAAATCTTGTATAAATGTTGTTTCCTATTTTATGGTACGATGTGGTCTGTTTAGTTGGTTTATAAACCCAGTTTGCTTTAAATGAGTGATTCATATTCCAGAGGCTGAGAGTGGTGTTTTGGACTTAACTGGCTGGGCTAGGCGGAAAGTAGTACCAATCAGGACTCTAGACTGCTCGCACGGGTTTTATGCGTCATTGGTCCGATCGATAATTCACTGCTGTTTAATTGGCGGTATCGTTACGTTATGCATTAACAGGGCACACAGGCCACAAATTATAATAATTACATTAGTGAATTTAATTGTAAAATCTAGCATAAATTATGTAGGTATTGTCTTAATATCCTATGGACTAGTTAGTTTATGCAACGACCAACAAAATGAATGAGTTAAGGTTGAAGTTGAATGTAATAACGCTTTATTCCAAATAACTGGATTCCTATTAAATACACAAGTTAAAAATAAAATGAACAGGCGTTTCAGCTAAAATGATTCATTAATTTCTGTAATTTTACCGTTCAGCTTCCTATCCTACCTGTGGACTACTCGACATTTAAAGATTACTATAGAATGTGGTCTAAGTGACTCGTAAAATTCGGTGACTGCAAATGTAATACTATTAGGATATACGGTGCCATTATTATGAAATTATATGGAATGACTTACAAACATCAATTCTTAGGGTATATAATATGAATACCGTATCCATGTGCAAACAAGGAACCGGTGAGACTAGTTTCTGGACGACCTTTGAGCAACGTTAGACTAACCTTAAGAGTGTCTACTTGATAACTAGGACTAAATGAGTGTTATAAATTGGTGTAAGGAATTCGAATTATGATTTACAGTTTATGGTTAAGGTTAGGAATTAGATCTATTTAGCCAAATGGATGAAAATCCACGACCTGTTATCTTATACCTGTTTGGTTCGTCCATAAATTATAGTCCCAGCAAGAAATCTTCAGTAAACTATATGGGATCTAGTAACTGTGTCAAAACTTGAAGAGCAAACAATAATCATAAATGAGAATCAACAAAAGTGGAATGTGTTACAACAAAATAAATGCCCAATGAGTACACTAGATATAGTAACAAATCTTAGAATGATGCAAACGGATAAAAATCACACTTTTTATACTCATATGTTATTTGAATTAAAACTGGTTACTATATACTAATAAGTAGTATAATGAATACAGTAAAAAGAATTGGATGAGGAGAGGATCGAGAATAATAGAAAAAAAAACGCGAACAAACATTTAATCGACATTTTTTATCGAATATGCCGTTCTGGAAAGAAACTTCAAATTTTCAATAAACGTGTATTTTCAATGGTTAAGATCATGAGTCAGTTGAAGCTAGACCACCATGGAAAACCTGGAAGCACTGGACGGCCGTTTCGTCCTATCGTGGGACTCCTCAGCAGTGCGCATCCACGACCTCGCCCCCTGCAAGATTCGAACCCAGAACCTACTGGTTCCGCGCGCGAGCAATAGGACGAAACGGCCCTCTAGTGCTTCCAGGTTTTCCATAGTGGTCTAGCTTCAACTGACCTATGATCTTAACCATCGGAATTACTGTAATCTCCACAAAAAAACCCATCTGATATTAAACGTGTATTTACAAGTTTTTTTTTATGTAGGTAATTTGAATTTACCCGCCGATTTGTTGAAGTGAATTCCTTTATTTTCTAAGAAAAAATTGTTTTTTTTCAGATAATTGAATTATGGCAACTAATAAATGTAAATCGTCCAATTTTAATTATTGGCTCAGTTGGATCAGGTAAAAGTACCATTTTAAAAATACTTATTTCTACAATCAATTGGTATCATTGTACAAAGAGTAAACAGTTGAATAAGTATTTATCATCATTATCCGAGTCAACATTATTATCAACGTACAAATCATCATCATCACCATCATCAACATCATTATCATCATCATCATCATCATCATCATCGGGATCGGCATCATGCGAATTGTCATCATCAATACCAACATCATCATTATCAAAACAATTAAATTCATCTTCAGTTTCAATTGAGGAAAACAGTAACAATCAAGAAATAAATAATGATGTTGATATGAAGATATTCAATATACCAGATCAATTGAATTCATATCTTAATAAGTTTAATCTTATTTCAACAACACATTCCAATATAAAACAATTTGATGTATACAATAAAATAATTTCATTAAAACAATTATTTCCATATTCAAATGAACATTTAACAAGTTTGTTTTTAAATGATGATAATAATGTTACTAAATTAGAAGTGGATATATCAAATATATTTGAAGAATGGATATTGTTAGATTTAAGTGACCAGTCTATTGAACATTTGACATTTTTAAATAATGGTAACATTTTGAATTTATTGAAAGCAGTTAAAAATTTTAAATGTAAGTTGTATGCTTTACTGTTAATTTTATTTTTATTAAGTAAAATGGTAAATTATTAATAAGAGTTTGTGAGCCCCTAAATGCTTTAATACGGTCGAGAGTGGAGAGAGTCTGCTCTCCCTCTTGAAACGCTCTCACATGGTCACGCGTATACAACGATTGCCAGGGATGTCCTACTCATTGCCTTCTCGTGGCGGAAGTGTTGTTTACGAAATTGAGAGAACGAAAAGTGAATGTTCGTTTTACACCTGATTGTGATTACATCTCAGTCCTACAGGAGGTCGGTCGCGGCTCGGATAGCTCAGTGATAACTTCTCTGTCTGTGAAGCTGGGTGACACGAGATCGGATCGTCCAGGGAGCACCAGTCCCCTCAAGATTACAGGTACACCTTGCTGACGAGTGCCAAGTAGCACGAAACCCGCATCTAGGGTTTCCTGTCGACTACCTCCAACCACCATCTAATCGCGAATGTCCGTTTCTCTGACTGGGTTGGTGGACACGAAGGATCCACCTAGGGGAGTTAGAAAACCCTGATTCCAAAACAATGTTGCATATGGGCTCCATGATCTTGAGGGAACAAATGGCATATGAACCTGTTGTTGGCCACCGGCTACCATGGGACTGCACTGCCTTGTGGATCAGACCTTCGGGTCGAAGGCTCCGGGTGTGGCCTACTAAGAAAACCACCTGATTTGGTTTTGGCACCCGAGCAGTATTACATATCAAGTGAGATTTGTGTGGCGCATATGTATTTCGTGCATCCTTGTACCAATATGCATTTGTTCAAATAAAAATAAAAATAAAGGAGTTTTTGATCAGGATAATCTCTGTTGTTGTGTGCATTCTGAGTAGATTGACTCAATGTAGAGATATTTCACCAATAATGGTATATTTTATTTGTTTCGTTGAGTTGGAATACCAAAATATCCACCTTAATGTTTTTCTGCTTGGTTTAAGCTACCTTCCTGTACATTTAAGTCACTTGCTACGAGTACTATATCTGAGTTTTTAGCTTTATAAAGGAATTCAGAAAGCTTTCTGTAAAAGTAATCCTTCACTTTATCTGGGCCAGAGTTAGTGGAAGCGTAGGCAGAAACGACGGAAAGGCAAATCAGTAGTTTTAAAGATTCGTGTTTTGTCTTATTTGGTAATCACCGACCACATGTACCTTGATCCTAATATTTGATATTCATATACAGACCCGAACTCATTATCTTTCGCTTTCAACGTCAACAACAAGGTGGCCTGCTTGAATATCTGGACTACCTTTTTCTTGACATCTAGATATTTCAAAAAGTTATCTGTTTTCATGTTTGTTTTAAGAGTTAATTATATCAATTAGTTGCATCAGCTATTAAGCCGCGTTTGTGAAAAGTTAACAAGTACAAGTTACAAGAAAGTACAATCAGAAACATTGTGGTTGCTGGCGATATGTATTGAAAAAAATGAACACTGTTCAGATGTCGATTCGTGTACTGATAACATTTAACTAGCCATCACTCAATATTTATCTTCAATACCGATCAAGAAATAAGAAAAGGAAACGTGATGATATACTTTGGGCAGAGAATTCTATATTGTGCCAAAAACATAATGTTGAATAAAGCTAATCATAACAAAATAAATAAAAAAACATCATCTAATAAGGCAGCCATAAGTCGAATGTTCTAAAAATGATCAGTAAAGTGGCTAAATAGAGGCGATTAGCTCAGGATGCACATATGCCAGTATAAAACAATCAATTGGAGTACTGCATATCAACAAAAAACAATTATATGCTATTACACTAATAATTAGTTACTCTCTATACACTATCACTTTTACTCTATAAACGGGGAGAAATAATTTTTTATTTTGAGCATTTTGAGCAGTAGACAGAGATATTTCTACTTCATACTATACATGATAATTGAATTACATGCAGGAATTTAGAAATCGTACTCTCAATGCTGATCATTTCGTTCTTATTCTATAATTTTATTGAAGACGTCATACAGATTAACTAAATTATAGTTGAAGTTAGACATTGACACCGCTGGATACAGGTTCAATGGTCTAGAGGTCAAGCATTCGCGTGCGCAAGGCCTATATGTCCTGGGTTCGAATCTCGTGTGGCGGGATTGTGAATGTGCACTGCTGAAGAGTCCTACAATAGGATGAAATGGCCGTCCAGTGCTTCTAGGTTTTCCATGGTGATCTAGCTTCAATTGACTCATGATCTTAACTATTGAAATTAAAAAGAAATCATTGTCATAATTTTAATTGTTCAATAATTATTTTTAGTCACAAGAAAATTATTCATAGAAAAGACAACAATAGATGATTTATCTCCAGGTTTAATTCATCAATTTTCAATATTGTCAACTGAAGTTAATAATGAATTGAATTGGTCACATATATGGAGAATTTGGCGTAAAACAAGTTATTTATCATATATGGTTATAAATTATGTGTAAGCTATTCCTAATTTATTTCATTTCGAGGATACATTTCACTGAATGCCTATTCATTACACTTGGTTACTTTATTTTCTTTTTTAATTAGAAAATGACATATACGTCTAAGATGTTTGAATCAACTGATTATGTTTAGTGTAATAGTTGGAAATTGAAATTAAAATGTGATGTCGTCAGTCAGTCAGGTACAACGTCGGACCAGGCACACATGTGCATCGGTTCAAGTTGTCATATCTCATTAGCACAACAAGATGAACACCAGATACATAGACGCAGTTAATTCAGTGGTGGTAATATATAAATGGAAGATTGCATATAAGGATATAGTAAAGGATGTATTTTGCATCTACCAACATGATGTATTTGTCAGTGAAGTCATTCATTGTTGATTTAAGACATTTCAGTTACTGTAAACTGCCTAGTTGAGACCTACGTGATGATCGTAATCAGTGGTTGAAGACATTAGGTGATATGGCCCATTATTGATCATAGAGAATTAAATAAATTCACTTCAGATTTTTAGTTACAGTATTCAATCATACATACCTTTTTATTTTGTTTAAACTTTTTCACAATCATTGTTATAACATTATTTTCCCGACCATTGTTGCTACCTTGACGTGGTGGTCGGGCTTGCCTATCGTGATGAGGCAACCGAGCTATATTGGCTGGAACAACCGTTCCTCAAGGTCCTACTATGCCAGACTAAAAGTAACAAGCCCAAGGTCTGAAGGCAAAGTCATACTGCTGACTGTACAGACGTGTGACAGCAGTAAGGTGTTTCCTTCAGACAACCAACATTACAGTGATGCTGTCTTCCCACAAGGAAAGAACGGGTTAGAAAAGATCGACGCTAGAAATGCACACCTCGCCTCACCCCACAGATTTCCGTCTCTGGCGGTAAGGTCACAACAAGTACGGATCTAACACGGAAATTACCCACAGAAATGTCGTGTGTGACCGACCTCAAGCAGTTGTCCCTTGGACACTGCGGCCACGCCCTCAGGTCACTAAAGCCACCTCTAATCCAATTTCCTTTTCAGGTATCTCCAGAAGAACCCTCCCACGGTGTGGGCAACTGGAAAGTGATAACCGCCCTCATACCTCTAACAACACTCAAGATAACATTATTTCGGTAATTTTATCCAGTCGGAATGTTATGGTATAGCAATTTAGGCTAAAGCCATTTCCGCCATGCATTACGTTAATTATGATTAAGATTGTGACTTGAAAGGATGATAAAAACAGAAATTAAGAATTTTTAAATTTTATCAGGGTATAGTTACAACGATTCGAAATATATCTTATTAGTCATATATATTTTGAAATGGTAATTAACATTTGACCCTGAAGTTGTAACTGTTCTATTAATTGACTATCTCGTTCAACAGTTTATAAATAGTTAATCAATCACAATTGATTGATCACTGGGTGATGATCAATGTCATGTGTCAAGTCACCACCCAGTGATCAGTCAATTGTTATTACATCTCAGTCCTACAGGAGGTCGGTCGCGGCTCGGATAGCTCAGTGGTAACGTCTCTGTCTGTGAAGCTGGGTGACTTGGGATCGAATCCTCCAGGGAGCGCCGGTCCCCCCAGGATTACAGGTACACCTTGCTGACGAGTGCCAAGTAGCACGAAACCCGCATCTGGGGTTTCTTGTCGACTACCGTCAACCACCATCTAATCTCAATAGTTAATCAATGTCTTCAGTTTCATTTCACAGTAATTTCTAAAGTTGATACTTCATAAAGACTGAATAGGGGAAAAAGAATAACTCATCTTGGGTTTCTTTAATACGTTTGTTGATATATGTTCGGAATAAACTCAATTATCAAAACTCAAATACATTCCTATCGAATTCACTGAATATGGTCACATATAGATGTACGTTGTCCAAACGACTTTATCTTAGAGATATTAATCTAATTAGTTTAGAATTAGTTTATACTGTGTATTTTATTATAATCAGTAGGAAAGTTGCTGTATTTCGCCATTTAAAACATACTGATTCTCGATTCTGGAAATTCAAAAGATCAATTACGGCACATTTTTATGTATAATTAATCAATTAAGCGACCATACTACAAACACTGCCGATGAAATCTAAACTGTTAGATATTCTTGTTGTTTATTGATTTAACTAAATAAAAATGTATAGGGGTAAGCTGCTGGATGAAGAAATAAGTATATGGCAAGGAGAAACTTGTTCTATTCAATTTTTTTCTTAGTTTTATGACAATAATCTATAAATTTTATTGAGATCACAAACTGATTAATTAAAATCTTGAAGCACCTAGATAGTGGAGTTCAATCGTTATATGTGTGAGGAACGTACCCATTGAAGACAATAAAAAGATAGTGGCGAAACACTGTGGACTGGTTCAGGTTAGACATATATATCATCGAATTCCTGCTTAGTGGTCGAGGATATTGGGGTTATGGATTCATACCGTTGAGGATTCTCATATTAGAACAGAACAGCTGTCTCATGCTTTTAAGCTTTCAGTGCTTGTTTAATTTAGGCTTGTTCATGATACCAATAAAATACAATGATCTCCACAACCGATATATATTCATATATCCTATGAAGTTGATCTTTTTAAGTACACTACCAACTTCAATCATGAAAAGAGCACATTATACATCAATAGATAGAGAATTTAACTAATTCGTCACTTTATTCACCCCTAATACCAGGTTTTTCATGGTTGCCTATCTTCAATTGACTCATAGTCTCAACTATTGAAATGTATTCACCTTATCATAACGACCAATGGATAATGCTGCATAGCTTTAATTTAACTCGGTTAATCCTTAGATATAATTTATACATAAATTTTATGTCTTACTTAGTTTGCATTCGATTTCTGTAAAACTGTTTGTTAATATCATAAGAAATACTTTCATGTATTACTAGATAAATGTTAGTAGTAATGAAAATCATAAATTCTATTTCTCATCAAACTATATCACATTTAAATGAGTAATGTAAGATGTTCCTTCTTTTATTTTTCATTAAAAAGTGTAAAGATGTTGTCAACTATTAGATAAGTAGACTTGAATGCTTATGTTTCTTTGATATTATAAGATCGCTTGACTGAATATCTTAACTGATTTATAAACAAACCTAATAATTGATTTGTGTATTGATGAAACCTTAAAGATTCATCGAGAAAGATCTTATGGTGATATTTTTACTCTTGTTAATGACGTAATCAGATTAACAGATAGGTGAATTATTTAATGTCAAATTTTGATAAAATCTTGGAAACACCCAGAAATTTCATTAGTTGTTGAAGGCTGTCAGTGAGGGCAATCCCTTGAGAAAAATAAGTATTTACAAATTACCATTCTGGAACAGTACTACAATATGATATAATTTACAAGTTGGTTGGTGTAAACTACCTGATTGCAATCCGGGAGATGATATCAACCAATGGTTAGAAACTTTGAATGATATGGCTCAAAATCGTTCGCAATGGAGCACGTGCATCCACTCTTTGTGTTCTCCCAAATTCTTATCTTCTGAATTCTTCATGTCCCTTTCTTTTTTTCACTTTCGAAATTTATTACACTAAATTATACTCGTTGAATAACATCTTCAAACCCTAGTCTTTCCGATTATTGCTTATACTCTTACTATCTCTACAACTATGGGACTTGAATCGACAACTGCATCTGTGTACTAATGTGGTGTGGCAACTCGAACTGATGTACGTACGTACGAGGTTCTGCGTTGTTACTGAATGACAAGTTGAAGAGTTTAAATTTCAAGGATTTCTAGGAATGTTTAAGGTAAAAGAAACAAACATAGGAGAAGTTCATCATTGAGAATAAAGAGTAATATGAGCATGATAAAAGTTACATACTCAAAAGTTTATAAAATAACCTCTGTTTAGACATGAGTCAAACCGATTATTTTGTTTTTGTCATCATTAGTTCAATTGTACAATCAACATATTTAAACGGTTATTAGTATTTTTGATTAAATTTAACTTCATTAAACTTATATATATATTTTTCTTCTAAAATAATTTCAGATGGGATAAAATTCTTAATGAACTAGATAATCATATCCCAACAATATTAGATCAAATTTGGGAGTTAATGAATCAATGGTGTCACAATGACAATGGCTTTTTAAATATAACATCTTATAAGAATGCATTTTGTCAACAAAGTATTAAAAACTCTTTAGCTTTGATGTCTGAACTATTGAACAAATACTTTCCAAGAGAATTATGGGAATTACGTAAAGATGGCATAAAACCATGTACGTTTTGATAACCTTTTTTAAGGCATGTGTTCATAATGTTTAAATAAAATATCTTTCTTATTTTTAACTGGTTTGTGACCATAAGGAAGGTAAATAGTACTATTGTGATGTGCTACTGATGTCGATAGATATAAGTAGTATGTACCGTCAATTGCAAAGTGAAATGCTTAATGGCAGAAGGTTAAGAAGATTAAAGTAAAGAGAACGAGAACAAAGAATGATTGGTGAGGAGAAACGATGGGACAATGAAGTTTGAGACGATTGACTGATATTTGCAAAAGGAACAGTCAAGTTTGATACAATTGATTGATATTTTGCAAGTTGTTCCGTAATTTTGTATTCAAATACATTTGGTTGTCCCCCTTTTGTGATCTTGTTCAATATACCATAATAAAGCATTTTTGATAATCAGTGCTACTGAAAACAAGCGCTAAGGTAAAACCTGAAAAGCGAAGTTATTCAAGTCAATTTTCTAACGAATTCTCAATTTTATTCTGGTTTATATTCCTGGTAACCATCGCTTTATGAAAAACAAGATTTTTTTCATTAAAGGATGAAGTATTTAACATAATCGTTCCTTCTTAAACTAGAACAAGACTTGAACATCTCCATACATTCAATTACAGTATAAACTATCTCAGAAATTTCCAGACATTAAACTTAAAGAGTTCGTAAATTACTTCCAGTTTCTCGAATTATTTATCCAGTAAAGTGATGTAGTTGACAACCAGACAGCCGAACGTTTTCGTTCAGTTCATCATGGGATGTCAGATGACAGATCAGATAATAACAATGATCAGCGTAGAAGTGCGAAATGGAAAAGAGTTGCCTCACACTCCTTTACACTTAAGTAAAGTGGTTTAAACTTTGTTTTGGTATTAACTTTTATTTTATCATTTTTCTCAAATTTTACGATTCTACATAGAACAACTGTCAAACTGCATTTTTAAGAAGAAAGGAACATACCCTACAGAATTTTTTCATAACATAAAAATCATAGGCAATCGATGTAAGACTGTAATAAATGGACGACTGTTGAACAACGTTAAAATGATCTTAGAATGTCCACCTACTTACGAGTATTAATTAAGAGTTATAGATTAATATGAGGAATGATGAGAAGGATTTACGGTTGAATGCTAAGGTTAGTAATTAGATTTAATGTTTACATCACGAACTGACATCACTTATAATACCCAAACGGTATTTAACCAAATGAGTGAATGAATTCAGTCCATTTGTGATGTGTGCTACTGATGTCGATAGATATAGGTAGTATGTATCATCAATCGAAAGTAAAATGTCTAGCAAAGAGTGATTGGTTTGGAAACGAAAGGACAATGAAGTCTTTAACGATTGATCGACATTTTGCAAATGAAGTATTTACTGTGTGGTACTCAGATTTTACTAAGATATTCTGTCATTTAGTGTTCAAATACATTCAATTGTCCCCACTTGTTTTCTCGTTCATTATAAAGTCAATTCATTATCTGAAAAGTTGACAATAAATGAAAATACTCCATAAATAAAATAATATAATTCAATAAATATAAGTTCTGCTCATTGTACTAGGTTGTATACATTTTCCTACTGACTATACCTTTAAACCGTTACCAATTCCTGGAGATCTTACCATTCTAGGTTTGTAAACATTGTTAAGTTTGTTATTTACTTCCATAGAAGTATCTCAACTTGTGAATACATGTTTTTGCGCATAACTCGATCATTGGGGTCTGAATACTCAATGGATGCACTAACTAACTAACTAACCAACCTAAAATTTAAGTTTTATTTATTCATACTTTACTCATTTATAGTAAGTGAAATCACTCTTACCATAGTAAACCAATTTATTTCTTTATTTTTAATTCAGCATCTGTTTATCAATCAAATCTTACATTAATTGATTATTATTGGTCCGAATGGCGAAACATTGAAGACCAACCAGTATTTTATGAAATCTTGATAAGAAATTTATTTTTATTCTCATTTATTTGGGGTATTGGTGGTGGATTAGCTGGTGATCCAAGATTAAAATCACGGTAAAATAATTTAGTTATTCTATTGTATATTTTTTTTAGTAAATCATTCAAAGTCTGTTAACGTATGCCACCTGTGCCGTAGATGAGATATTCGTTTTTCAAATAAACGATGAGTGTATTGCTCAGCAGTTCAATCTGTCCAAATTTACAGGTATGATGCTTGGATATTAAGAACGGATGATACTTTAGGTTACTTATATTCGATGATTGGTGTCTTCGAAATACTGTTCATGAATTTTGGTCAACACGCCCAACTACTTCACACCCTATCATTAATTTGGGTGTCGATACAACCCAATCCTGAAGTAAGATTTTGCATTTTGAGGGGGAAAATCGCATCCCGAACATGCTTGCGTTGTTGCTCATAGTGGTCAAAAGACTCTGCATTTTGTCAGCGTCTTCACCAAATAGAGCTAAGTCATCGGCATGTTTTAAGTCAACAAGTGAATCTTCTGGTAGAAGTTCAACCCTTGGAAATTTAGATGAGGAATGTGTTATCTCTAAAAGCACGTCAACGACAAAGTTAAACAAGAATGGAGAGAATGGACAGCCCTGACGTACACCACTTGAGGTAATCAATTCTGATGACAGTTCGCCATAAACTCTCACTCGACCAGTTATGTTTGAGTAGAGAGCCTTTACAAGGTCAATGTACTTCTTTGATACTCCTTCCAATGACAAACACTGCCATAGAACCTCACGATCAATAGAGTCAAATACCCCACTAAGGTCGAGAAATACTACGATTGTGAGGCGTCTGAACGTGTGTCTATGTTCTAAGACCTGACGTAGTATGAATATCTGGTTTTCTCTATTCTGCTCTCCACGAGCTTTAGTTAGGCATCGAAGTATTATTGAAGCTAATATCTTAGACACTATATTAGTCAGACTGATTCCTCTATGATTGTCACAAGAGGACTTTTGTCCTTTCCTATAGACTGGCACAATCAGTGATTGAGATCAGTCAGATAGGAATACTTTCTGTTCCCAGATTCTACCTAAGACCACAGTCAATCTCACTGCTAATACTGGACCACCATCATTAAAAATCTCAGGAGTAAACCTGCCACGGCCTGCTGCTCTCCCTTGTTTCAGAGTTCCTATAACTTTTTCAACTTCGTAAAGAGTCGAAGGACCTACATTAACTTGCCATTCAGGGTAAACCTTTTCTAACCCCTTTCTTCCTTGTGAGAAGACCACATCACTGCAGATGCTGGTTGTCCGAGGGAAACACCTTACTGCTGTCACACCCCTGTACAGTCAGCAGTACGACTTCGCTCTCAGACCTTGGGTCTCTGCTTTTAGTCTTACCGTTCTCCAACCAACCTGCCTGGCATGGTAGAACCTTCAGGAACATATATTCCAGCCAATATAGCTCGGCTGGGTCATCACGATAGGCAAGCCCAACCACCACGTCAAGGTAGCAGCTACGGTCAGGAAATGTTAGTTATGTTATTTATATCCGACCATTGCCTATCATGTGGTGCATTCATAGCCATTAAAAGCCAGCGGTGACCGAAGCAAATGTGGCATCAGTCCATAAATTCTCTGACTATTAGAATGACCCAATTAGGTGTGTGCAAAATACCTGGTTGAGATTCGCGTGATTATGGAAACCGATTGGTAACATAACTGAGAGTCGTTCACAGTGAAGTAGATACATCCATACTTTGTTTCTCCTTTGAACTTGACTCCTGTAATCTCTTACCTTTATTTTATTTTTTCTACTGATAACAGTTTTGCATGATATCGAAATAGGAAGTTATTAATTGAATCCATGATGGACTGGAAGAAATCAATTAAAAATTGTCAAACAAATGAAAATAACACGTAAAAAGCTGTTTAAGAAAGATATTAAAACGGATGAAAAATAGTCATGCAAAAGTCACCTGAAGTGTTATTAATCTACCTGTTGAGTGAGTTTCAACAGTCCACAAATTTATAACCATAAAATTAGAATGGGGGTTTGTGAAGATTGTAGTAATTTTAGTGGTTGAATTCATGAATCAATTTACGCTAGACCATCATTGAGAACCTGGAAGCACTGGACAGCTATTTCGTCCTAATATAGGACTCCAACAGTGGTCAATCGATCCATCGTCTCAAACTTGACTGTTCAATTGTCTCAGATTTCATTGTTCATGCATTTTCATACTAATTGCGTTCCGTTTCCATTCTTTCCTTCACGATCTTCTACTGAAATACATTCTATGCCTGACCACCGTTATATATAGCCCCCGAATGCCCTGGCATGGCAGAGAGTGGGGAGAGTTTGCTCTTCCTCTCCAAACGCTCTCACATGGCCATGCGTATATAGCCTCTGTCAGGGAAGTCCTACTTACTGCCTTCTCTTGGCGGGAGTGTTGTTTGCGAAATTGAGAAGGCGAAAAGCGAATGTCCGTAGCTTTAACTGGGTTGGTGGACACGGAGGATCCATCTAGGGGAGTCGGAAAACCCTGATTCCAAACCAATGGTGCACATGGGCTCCAGTATCCTGAAGGAACAAATGGTGTATGAACCAATTATTGATCACCGGTTACCATGGGACTGCATCTCCTTACGATGCTCCACTGCCTTGTGGATTAGACCTTCAGGTCGAAGGCTCGGGATGTGGCCCCCTAAGAAAACCACCTGCTTCGGTTTGCTCACCCAGGCAGTATCACAGCCCTCACACATATCGAATGAGATTTGTGTGTCGCATATGTATTTGGTGCCTCCTTGCACCAATATCTATATGGATATAAGCAACCCATACCACATCCTGATAAAGATCTAATCGAAAACAATATTGTTCACTTATATCTATGTTCTATATATTTCAAATCTTTCATTCAATTTAACTATACAATTCATCATTATTCTTATTATGATATTTTAGATTTGAAACAATCATGTTAAGAATATTAAAGGATTTTATTAGATTGCCTAATTCATTGAATATTCATTCCATAGACAATTCATCATTCACATTATCTATTGAATCCTATTATACAAATCAAATGAATTATTGTACAAGTATGAAATGGAATAATAATAATAATAATCATAATCATGAAAATGAATATGAAAATATCAAAGAATTTCAATATAGTTTATTTAATTGTCTTATTGATTTAAGAACTGGTTATTTAACACCATTTTGGTATACAGATTATTTACAATTACATTGGCCAGAAGAATATGATATCATACATCCGAATGGAAATACTTATCATAGTAAACCATTATTACCAACATTATTTCATGTAAATGAATTAGTTCATAATTAATCATTGTTAAATCTTTAGAATTTCCTTTTTTTCAAGATAGTTATATCTTACATAGTAATATGTAAAGATATTCAATAGGATAATGTTCTATGATTAGATATTATTACGAATAATACATTGTATCGGTAAATAAATCCTCGAAGTCAATAGCTCTGTTAGTCTTTGATATCGAATGTTGACCACATTCGTTTTAATGGACTCAGTTAACTGAAGGCACTCGGTTGTGCATCCGCACCAGATCATGAGTAGGAACTCTGTGTTCAATATCTTTTACAATCGCTAGCTAGTCTAGTTCAGTCGATTCTCGATGTATTGATAGCTTAACAAATTTATCTTTGAATCTCTTCGCTTTTGACTTTTGATTTCATTAGGTGAATATGATTCATAGTAAGTGTTACTGGTTAAAGCATTGTCAAACTACAAATACTTGTGGCATCTTCAACAGCTTATATTGGAAGTAGGAATGTTAAAATAGATAAGAGTTTCAACGTCTAATGTATTTAGATTGATATGCTGATAAGGATATTTCTCTAATAATAGAGTTCGAACAGTTTTTTTTTGAGAAATACTTTTGATCTAGACTTATAATCTATGAATTGGTTAAAAAGTGGCTTTAATATTACTCTATCATTTGAAGAATTGCTCAGGCTAACCTTTATACTACACTTTTATTAAAGCAAGCATCATTAGATTGATTAGATGTAATTGTATCATTGTAACCAATGAAAGTTGTTACATAACTGTCAACGTTTATCAAGAATAGACTTATGATTCTTAAACTTCATAATTAATGGCAAGTAAGCTTTAATTCACCTGGTATTATTTGGCTTGTATCTTCCCATTGAGGTTTAAGACTGCAATTGATCAGTCTGTTATTGGCATATGTGCATACTGTGCGTATGCCTCGATATTGCCTTGTCCCAGAGTGAACATCAACTCTGAGATGCAGATACATCCAGCTGACGAGTCCAAAATAGGACGAAACGCGCGTCCTGGATTCCACTGATAGCCACTATCCATCATTGCTTACAAAAAGTAAGTTTTAATTTAGATTTTTCGGAAACTCGTTTGAACTGTTAGCACTGAAACAATCGTATTAAGTTTTCATGATTTAGTGATTACTTGATAATGTAAAAAGTATTTTATGATGAATGAAAAGTTGAAATCAGTTAAAATCTGTGCTATTCGTAGTTTGTACATTTTGAGGAAGATTCAGTGATCATAACTATACTATCTTAAATTGTATAGGGATATTGATAAATGTAATCTATAGAATAGATTTTCTAAGTCTTCTGTGTTTCACCTATTTGCAAATTATATTTCCTTGTTACTAACTCTTTTATTGATGTGTTCAGAATTAGCTAAGAGATCTGTTGTATTGACGTATGATTTGCTCATTTCTGTGAAGATATTTTTGTGGGTCATAAGATATGTAATCGATTACAGAAAACACGAGGACACAGTTTTATTAAAAGTTATAAATACCAAACCGCCTAATCGGCTTATGTAAGCTGGTTTCTAAATAGTTCCTTAAAATATCATAGACTACTCGAGATACTGTTATGTATTTCTTAACTGTACTTTTAATGTAACCTTGAGACAATGAATTTTTCAATTTTTATTAACGAATTTTTTTTTATCAATAACCATATCTTATTTGTGAATAATTTACGTAGTATAGTGTACGTCAAGTATTTTGACACTGAGTACTATGTCTAGGACACTACCTTAGCATTTTAGGCACTGGACTGATAGTCGGACCTCAAAAACTTCAGGTCATCAAGAAACCTACTCCGAAATCGACTGTCTCATAATGTTTGTGTTCGCTGAGAGATCTGATGGTCCTATGCAAAATTCCTAGTGAGGTCATGAGGATGTGTCGTACCGAGGAGACGAAACAACTGTCCGGTACTCCCTGTTTTTGAATAGTCACTCAGCAAAGATCAGTCTGTAATGAATTCAATCTAAAAATTACATGATTGAATTCAAAAATCGACCAGTCAACTTATTTTTTCATTCGTCACATTGTAGATTCACCATTGTTTTAATAGACCACATTAAATTTAGATAATACATGATGTTAAAATGAAAAGTGACCATTTTAATGATAAATTTATTACAACGCTAGGATTTACATATTGAATGGGCCGGGTTTTTTTACAGTTGATTGATCACACTATAGTGATTAATTTCAAGTTTGTCTAATCTCCTAGTTCTGGTCAAATTCGATCGACTAAGTTACAATAACGGTTACTAGTTCGAATAATAGGAGTCGTCCTCACAAAACTGAAATTTCAGATGGTAGAAGATAGTTATCAGATCTCTTACCGATTACAGTCAACTACTTAACAACTATGTTATATTCTACTTCTGTGTAAATAAGAACAGTCTAAATAATCTTATTCTTATACACTTATTGATGTATATATTTATTGATTATAGCTTACAGTTCCTTTATTTACTGGTTCATTATTCATACAATCTGGTCGACCAGTAATAATTTCCGGTCCATTTGGTTCAGGTAAATCACAACTTGCAATTGCTATAAGTGAAAATTCAGAACGATCTAAACAATTAATTAGTTCATATAATAATAATAATAATCAAACGGGGAAAAAGTGTACAAGTTCATTTCGAATACAATCAAATGATTTTCTACATAGAATCATTTCTAATTCACAAAAAACTAATAATCAATATCCAAAACAAATATTTGATAAAAAAATCAATTTGATGCATAATGTTATCATTTTAGAAGATGTACATCTGATTTCCAAAACAGCTACAAGTAAGCAAATATACTATTATTGATCATTTGATCTGAAGATAATCAAGTTTCATGTTAACAGATCCTTATTTTTGATAGACTTCTGTCGATGAATTCATAGTTTCACCATTAGTTAAATTGGATCGATTTCACTTTATGGTTTGATATTGAATGGTAAACAAGCAGTAAACCACAGATCTGTGTAGTTATCTAAAAGTAAACACGATTTGAATAACTCATTGATAACATCTCTTCACATTGTGATGGGTGACACCAAGAACTTCAGCCATAAGAAGCTTTAAAGTAGAAACTATTCTAATCATTTTTTTAGTATCGTACGTTTATTGTTCAGTGTAAAAAGTGAGGGTTCTTCCTCATTTCATATTTATGTATGATAAACTTCAGTTAGTTGATCAGAAACAAAGCGAAACCTGGTGTATATGTGCATTGGTTTAAGTTGTCATACCACATAAACACTAAGTGGTGAAGTAATCAAGAAAAATATCAGAGTAGTAGAGGTAGTAACAGTCTCAGTGAAAACACTAGGCGTAAACAGTATGAGTTGAGAAGAAATAATGAATCTGCGTTAAAAAAATGTATGCGATATCATAAAAATACTGAAGTGTAACTATTTTCGATAAAGTTGTTAATATAATGATAAAATGATTACAATGTAGTAAACAAGAACATAAATGAGGATAATCGAATGGATTTGAACACTAAATTATAGAACGTCTTAACAAAATCTGAGAACCATACAGTAAATACTTCATTCACAAAACTTCGATCAATCGTCTAAGTCTTCATTATCCTTTCATTTCTGCACCAAGCATTCTCTGTTCTCGTTCTTTTTTCTTCGATCTTCTTAACCTTCTGCTGCTAGGAAATGCACTTTGGATTAATGATAAATACTAGCTATATCTGTCAACATCAGTAGCACACACCATAACACAACCAGAAAAAATGAATTCGAATTTTGTGTAGATTCGAACCCGTGCGTAAGACTAGATAATTCTTGATATCAAACGAACCAATACCCTTTGGATTTTTATTGACTTTCTATCTGATATTAATTTGTGCTAAAAACATATTAATATAATTTCAAATATCATACGTCTATGAACAAATGGAAGTGATACACATTAATCATCTCGTTAGACACATTTATAAACGATAAACAGAGGGAAAGGTGATATACTGTGATTTGTTTACATCTGGTTTGGGTTCAAAATAAGAATGATTAGAGTTATCAATAATAATAATAATAATAATAATAATAATAATAATAATAATAATAAAACATCTACGCAACTAGGCAGATCAGCAACCATACTCAAGTAAGAAGACAGAAAATAGAGGGTTCAATAGATCTTTTATTTCTCAAGGAGGGATCTTTATACATCAAAACATGGCATCGCATGTTGTAAGGGGAATAAGACAATAAGATTAGGTCTTGTAAGGTCGTGGATGCCCAATGCTAATAAATAAAATACTAAAATATTCAGTTTTTTCAACTTTTCAGTGGTTTCTTTAAGAATGTCAGTTTGTGGTTAAAGTAATAAACTCAACGATCTCTCTCTCTTTATATATATATATATATATATATATATATATATATATATATATATATCTTAAGTGGAACAAAACATATGTCCAGTATCCGAAATCCAACCAATATATTAGAGAATATGGACGTTTGTTTTTAACCAAATTTTCGTTATATGAATATGAGGTTTTGCGGAGATTGTGGAATTTTTTATTTCTCAACTAAACCACCATTGTAAACTAAAGACCGTTAGGCATCTGTTTCTTCCTAACATGGGACTCATTAGCAATGTACACCCACGACCCAAACTCAGGGAATCAAATTGAGAACACAAAGATATCGTGCGCAAACGCTTGACCTCTAGACTACTGAGTGAGGATCCAATGGTGTACATCATCTAACTTCGATCAGTTCACGATATTATGTGGCGATTTTCCATTGCCTGAAGTGAATGATTGTCTTACATCCAACATTATTGAACTCCACTGGTCACGGTTTCACATCAGAGCTCCATGAATTACTTTTGAGGATAGTAACTATTTTTATCGCACATAATAGTTTCGTAATACTGATCGGCTGTCTATGCTCTGTTGGGAGTAACAGTAGTAAGTAAGTAAGTAATGATAGTTTTGTAGCTGAGTTCTGTTGAAGAGTCCGTTACTAGGAAGAGATAGACGTATAATACATCCTGGTTTTCAATGGCAGTTTTTTTAGTGCCTAGTATCTTGTCAAGCCCACATATGTTATTCTAGCTACCTCATGGATAACTTTATTTGTATTTCCTGAGTTCCATTTCGACCTTGTCAATTATTCACTTATTAACTTTGAATGTTTTTATATGAGGTCATGTGGATTAATCCGCTTACATTAGTCACTACATGTCTATGGCTTATTTTTGTCTGACTATTAATATTTAGTCACACTTTATCAAATCGGGTTGGCATGTTCGCATCCTCTACTTCTCATCACTTTTCAGCTTGTCATTTTCAATGTTTACCTGAATAATAAATGAGGGCCTGAAATAAATACAACCAATTGAACCCTTATTTGCCATCTTATTACTGCCATCACACTAACGGGATTAGCCTAGGTATAACATACGGAATTAAAATAGAAGACTTATGTTTATAATATATTAGTTTGCTCTTTCAGAGCGAAGTCAGATTAACTGGTTACTAAGGTTGAATGAATATCATTTTGTGGTTCGAACTATGAATTTCCTTTATTTAATTATTAATCCTTATTGTTTATTGATTTTCTTTCATTCAATAACTCGAAAAGCACAACGAATATGGAATCAAGAATTACGTAATCAATTAACTACTTGTAATCTTAATCATAATAATTACTCTAAAGCAAAATATAATTTTATCCCAATCTTAACATCTTTGGATCATGATCATCAACTACATTTCTCAACAAAATTAAATAGTTTAATGTATCAATTCGCATATATCAGTTTAACAGACCCTTGTTTATTATTTGTAAAAGAGATGAATATCGATGGATTCCTCTATGAACAAAATATTTATGGTTTTAGTCCAATAAGTTTACTTTGTCAATCAATGATGTGTCATTCATTGTCAAGAATAAGTGGAATGTTAGTTGAGGTAATTGAAGTTCTTTTGTTTTTGTTTGTTTAAACTCTTTCATCTATAGTATCATTAGAGCGTGTCTGCCTAATCCTCAAGGATAAGGAATGAATTAAGTTTTATGATCAATTTAATGGCACCCAACTTTGGAAATTAATGTGCTAATCATTCCATGTCTGTTTTTTTTACATATAAATCCCTGTAAGAAACTATTTGATCTTTTCCACAGGATAACAAGGGAACGAAATTCCACAGTCACTTTTACTTCCAGTATGAATTTGATTGACTGATGATAACTATCGAATTTATTTAAGATGCGATTAAGGCCTAAAATTTTTAAACGAATAATAAAATTATCACCCATATGTCTCACGTATAAATGAAACCTCACAATTACTGGTTGATGTACCACATTCTACAGACTGGTCATGAAGCCATCAGAGAAGATGAGACCTGGTGCATAACTTATTTCAACTTTATTATTTCGTTAATGGAAATTGTTATTAGATCTTTGTAATAAGTGCTTGAATCTTCCCATCAATGTCATGACTTCCAACTGACCAGACTCTTTTGGCTTATGTGTATCTTGTGAGAATTGTTTCAAAGTTACCATTACATCACAAGTATTTAATCAGACGTGAATGATGGATGGCAGTGAAATCCAGAGCACACGTTTCATTCTGCTTAAGACGAAATCCTATGATGCAGGTACTGACGAATTCCAAATGGAACGTAACCTGCCTTGGATTCCAATTCTAGCCATCATCACATTGTTTTTTCTTAAGATATAAATTCTTGATACTGGAAATTGCTTCATTAACAAGAATGCCATATATTATTTATTGGATCCAAATCTATATAGTAAGAACAAGATGTGAAGATGAAAACAAATGGTCAAAATTTAAACCATTTAGTGCAGAGTTGTTATAATAGATTTAAGTTACACGATTCAGGTTCCGATTTCTATTAATTAGACAACTTTAACTGAGGAACAATATCCTATCTAGGTACTGCATATGAAAGTTTTCCGTCTCAAAAGTTGCTTAACTTAAAATATCTTTTTTGATTGATTGAATACTTTAAATCATTTATATGTAGCTTGTCTAAAAAATACAACCCTGGGTTTTCTAAATTCAATTATCAGAGTAAGCAACAACGTGAACAGTGAATCAGGAGGAATTTTTCAATTAATTAGTTGAACAGCTACTGAATACAAGGAACCATCAGATATGTTTCATCTCAGCATACTATCCATAAGCGGCGAGCATCCACAACCTCATCAGAGAAGGAAGTCGGGACTTTCAGGTTTCTCGGTGAAATTTTAGCCTTTGTGCCATTAGCATTCAATGGTTTGAATTTCAGACTTCAGTTAATTCTAGAATAATATTTTTCTTAATTTTAATAATCAAGTAAAATTTATTCTAAAAAAGACAATATTTATGATGAGGTTACAACATAATTGTTTCTTTTTTCTCTTCAAGAGATTCAGTTGGATAATATGGTACATGCATTGTGCTTTAATGAAAGAACGTTGTACTTATAATAATACAAAAGTAGATTGGTTAATCATGCATAAAATTGCACATTCTATGGGATACCATTTAAAAAACTATTATCCATGCAAACCAACTGATGAAATCCCATTGAATAGTTCAATTGTATCAGACAATATAAATAGGCATATTTATTCACGATGGACACCTTTATGTAGGTCATCTTTTTACAAAAGATGTGTATTGTTTTATTGACATAAAGTTAATAATATATGTCAGAAAGCGTTTGTGGAGATTTTTAGAAATTTCATTGATTGAAATCATGAGTCGATTGAAGCTAGACCACCATGGAAAACCTGGAAGCAATGGACGGCTGTTTCTTTCTATTGTGGGACTCCTTAGCAGTGCGCATTCACGATCCTGCACCTCCCGCGAGATCACAACTCACGACCTATCAGTCTCGCACTAGGCGCTTAACCACCTAGACCACTGAGACAGCATCCAACCAGTGAGATTTCTAAAATCTCCACAATACCCCTTCTGATAATAATCATCTGCTCACTAGTGACCGACTTCGAGAGACACTCCTGGAGTTCTAGTGACAAACCGTTACCAGTGGAGTTCAACCAGATCTGTTGTGAGATATCAACCCACTGAAGACAATGGTGTATGGTGAGGCAACTTCGTGGATTGGCTGAAGTTAGACATCAACACCGTTGGATGCCGGCTTAGTGGTCTAGTGTTTAGGCGCTTGCACGTGAGACTGATAGGTCCTGGGTTCGAATCTCGCCGGGGGTGCGGGACCGTGGATGCGCACTGCTGAGGAGTTCCGTACTTAGACGAAACGGCCGTCTAGTGCTTCCAGGTTTTCCATGGTGATCTAGCTTCGATTGACTCATGATTTCAATCTGTGAAATAATATATATGTCAATATGATACTTATCTGTCAAAGTTCCACTTACATGACTAAGAACTTGTTCTGTCGTTTATGAATGTGATTGATTCAAATTCAGAATTACAGAAAAACTTGTTAGTTATTTGTGTAAAGTCTTAAATATCTATCTTCCTTTTGAAACTTGTACTGAATATAATGTTGCCTAGAAAGAAAAAGAAAGTTTCATGATTAAATCACTAAACTCAGAGAAAATGGTTCCATCAAGATAGGCCTCCTCTCTCATCTAAAAACTCATTCCAACATCTTAAGATAATATTCATATTTAAAAGATTAGTTAAGGTTGGTTGTAAATTATTGACAATATTTAGTATGAAATTTCCAGTCGAATATCCATTCGTAGTAATGAACATGTTTAGAGAATAGCTTAATTTTGTATGTGGTAGGGATCCAACTCGGTTTTTTAAAGTTTCAAGAATTTTATCGATATATTTGTAATGTGAATAATGGTCTGAGGAATTCAACATTTTGTGTACTATATTGAGACTTCATTAACATAACTTACTAAAGCAAATACTTCCTTTAAAAGAAATCAAACTTTTTGGTCAAGACAGAGGACATAATAAAATAGTTTGAGACCAAAATGATCGTTGACCGGATATATTGTTAAAAACCATTGAATATATGTGGTCTCTTTCACTTTTCGATAGCTAATTAACTATTTGAATGATTCCTGTTAAATTGAATTTAGGAAAATTGACAATAAACAAAATCCTAGAAAACCATGAAATGATAAGTTATCTGAACAGTTTGACTTCTAAAGATTTTAGGGAATTTTCTAAGCAATAGAAGAGGTGGCACTTGCACTGCCAAATATAACAAGTGAAGTATGTTGAAAAGTATTAAAATGATGTATCCTAAATACTATACAATAGCCACAATTGATTAATCACTGGATCGTGATCAATGTGATGTGTGACAAGACCTTCTTATTTCAGATCGAATGCTATCAACCAACTTGCAATATGATCACTAGTCTAGATGACTTGACACTGCGTGCACTATGTTGAGATTAGATGATGGTTGAAATAGTCAACTGGGTTTCCTGTTGACTACCTCCAACTATACATAAAACTTTATTTTGTGTATTTACGGAACAGATTACGTAAGATTGTTTTGTCTCTTGACGACACTAGTTTTTTTTTTATTTCAGTGATAAGTGAATCGATTCATCTCAATTCAAAAAATCAAATCAGTAACATTTTGCAATCAGTGTTGTTTTTATGTCAAGAGATCAAACGATATTTTAGTCCATTATTACCTAAAGATTTATGTTCAGAATGGTTATTTAATAATTTATCGAGATCCATTGATTATTATTTAATGAAACCGTCTTCATTAGGTCTTTTAGTTCCAATTTCATACCTTCTATTTGGACCAGCTGGAAGTCTTTTCCTTGATTCGAAAATCACCAGACAGTCTATTTTACATTTAAGCAAACATTCTTTGACAAAATTGACAAATACATCCTCATCTGTTGTATCTCAACGTATTTGTAATGAAAGTGGATTTTCGATCAATTCAACTTCTTCTCCTTTTGTATCTTGTTCAACAGTAACAACATCTTTCAGTTATTCTTCATGTTATTCTAACTCGATTACATCTTCGTCTATACCAACCACATCTATAACCAATAATTCTTTTTCGACACAATCATTCAACACTTTTTCAACATCTACTCAATATAATTCGAACAATTATACTACATCAAATTATTCCACTACTTCAGTATTTACTTCTTTATCTGATTCGTTAGTATATGGATCTTCTTTAACTTCTATGCCTATTCTATCTTCTTCCGTGCTCTCTTTACCGAACTCACGCATTGATACAGTCATGACTACTACTACTTCTACTATGTCTATAGTGAATTCATTTTCTACTCCACCTACCATCTCAACATCAACATTTTCAACCACTTTATTAACAAATGAACTTTCCAGCATGTCACTCCAGGAGGCTGAACAAGAAAAAAAAGAAGAAGAGAAACAGATTATTTCAACTGAATCAATATCTATTAATGATAATGATATAAATTATGAATTTAGTACACAAATCGAACAGTTATGTTCGAAGTTGAATGATGAAACAGAAACTAGTTTATCAAATTATAAAAGACCAATCTATTCATCATTCTATGAAAAATATGATGAAAAGTGTAATAAAAGTCATCGAAGTTGGGCAAAGTATGGTTTATTAAATCCTCATCTTATACCATGTATCAGTTTGCCAGGATGTTTGGATCAGACCAATGATTTAGAAGCTATATTTGTTAATTTAAAAAATGACTTATCTATATGTGATATAGAAATCAACAGTTATGATTCAGTATTACAGTATATGATTAGAAATGCAATAAATTTAATTCACAGGTATGTTTAAATATCCTTATTATCTGAAGAGGTTTTTTGTGAAGATTGTAATAATTTAATAGTTGATTTCATAAGTCAATTAAAGCTAGACCACCATGGAAAGTCTGAAAGCACTGGACGGCTATTTCATCCTAGTATGGGACTCCTCAACAGTGTGCACCCACAATTCCGCTCTCGAGAGCTTAACTTCTAGACCACTGGGCTGCGAGTGTGATCGTGGGTGCGCATTGCTGAGGAGTTCCATACTAGGACGAAATAGCCGTCCAGTACTTCCAGATTTTTCATGGTGGTCTATCTTTAATTAGCTCATGAACTCAACTATTGAATATTATCAGTGATTTTGATATTATTTATTGCATAATTTGAGTAATGAGAGTTTAAGTTTTAAATACAAAAGACAGTTGACAATTTTAGTGATAATCGAATGAATACTAAGTGACAAAATTATTGGGGATGTCATAGTTGATGATGTATGACATTACATTGTATATCATTTGAAATTTATGTTATTATATATTGAGATATCACTTGTTTTCAAGTCTCCTATGAATAAAAATTTACAGTTATGTTTTGAGTGTAAATTTTATATTAAGGTTACATTTTGAAATTTAGTTTTCTTAATAAAGTTTAATCAAGGAACAATAAAACTTAGAAACGTCTCGGTGATATATTCAACCAATAAAAAACCGGTCAAATGATAAGCTTATATGATTGACCAAGAATTGGCTTTCACTTCTGAGGGATATAACATCAAGCTTAATTTTCTAAAGAACAGATAATATACACACGAATTAGTACACGTATCTGTATACTTGGTTTAGTCAATAAATTTCAATTATCTTTTTCAGCCCTTTCATACAAGTTGGTGGTCGGGCTCATGTATAGTAAGATTAGTATCAACCCATTTGTCATTCAATCTGTGTATGGTTTCGCTGAATTGAGTAGGAATTCGTGCAGGGAAAACACCGTATCATCCCTAGTTAATATTAAGTAACAGTATCAGTAGAAATAGGGATCAACTTCATCCACTTGTAAACAATCAACCTTACATTTAAACTGATCTATTCTCAAGTGACAAAAATTGTCTTTATTGTTTGTTAATTTTCATGAAGTCATTTATCTAGTAAATTTTTTTCAGTTTAGTAGTTGACGAATATGAGTAGTTAAATTTGTTCGTTTACGTGGATTAATACAAACAAATAAATATTTCATTTTATTTTAAGAGTTATGGGTTATGCACTCTACTAATGTGTGTAACACATTGTAGACAATGATGAATGTGTCGCTTAATTTCGTGGATTATTTGAAGTTAGACATTATCACCGTTGGATGACGGACAGTTCAGTGGTCTAATAGTTAAGCGCTTGTGAGCAACACTAATAGATCCTGGGTTCGCATACCGCGGGGGGGGGCGGGATCGTAGATGCGCACTGCCGAGGAGTCTCACAGTATGACGAAACGGCCGTTCAGTGTTTCCAGGTTGCCCATGATGGTCTAGCTTCAATTGACTCATGATTTCAACTATTGAAAAACATATATGTCTTTTTTTTCTATATTCTTATCTTTTTCTCTTCATTTTATCAAGTTCATTAACTCATAATCCTTGTTATATACTACTGAATAATTCTACTAATTGTAAAACATATGGAGTCAATTTTCATATACAAAAACAAATTATCAAATGTATTATGAAATTAAAAAATTATCATAAAATTTATTATACAAAATGTTTAATAGAATTTTTAATAAAATTGAATCAAAATTCCAATGAAAAATTTTGGGATCATTATAAACAATATGAAATGATTATTATTGATTTATCAAATCAAAATGTGAACCAGACCTTCTATGATGCTGATGATCATCATGATGATGATCATTTTAATAACAATATTGATGAGATTAATGATGGTGATAATGATGATGATGTAAATGTGTTACTTTTATTGATACAAAGATTACAGGAACTACGTTTTGATTTACCATGGAATGAAATGAATTATGATAAGCTGAAAGGAATTTTTGTTATTGCTTCAAAGGATGGTAGGTTTTATATCCATATAATAATAATAATAGTAATAATAATAATAATAATAATAATGAACACTTTATTCAAAAGCAATATGTTTGATTAAAGTAAATAATTCTTAGTCCAATTATTACTTCTTGCTGTGATGAGCGATACTTACTTCCTTACACCTGTTACTCCCAATGGAGCATAGGCCGCCGACACACTCTGTCCACCTCCTTCCTTTCCAGTTCCGTTCAATTTTTGTTCATTCTGCTCATGTCTATCCCCATTTCTCGGCGTAATGTGTTCTTTTGTCTTTCTCTCCTTCTTTGGCCTTCAGGATTCCATGTGAGAGTTTGATTTGTGACACAGTTGGGTGGTTTCCTCAATATGTGTCCTATCCACTTCCAGCTACTCTTCCTGATTTCTTCCCCCACTGGGACCTGCTTTGTTCTTTCCCACAATAAGTTGCTGATAGTGTCTGACCAACGGATTCAGAGTATTTTGTGTAGACAACTGTCAATAAACACTTGTATCTTGTGGATGATGGCCATCGTAGTTCTTCATGTTTCCACCCCATACAGTGGAACTGTGTTGACATTTGTGTTGAAAATTATGATCTTGGTGTTGGTTGTTAGACAGTTAATATGAGTTCCAGATGTTCTTCATTTGTAGATATGCTACTCTTGGTTTTCCGATTCACGCCTTCACATCTGCATCAGATCCACCATCGTGTTCATCAATGATGCTGCTCAGATATGTAAAGGCTTTTACATCTTCGAAATGTTCTCTGTGGATTGTGATTGAATTGATGCATAGTGTGTTGTATGGGAGAATCTTGGTTTTGCCTTTGTGTATGTTGATACCTACTGCTGCTGAGGTTGTTGCTACACTGGTCGTCTTCTCCTGCATTTGTTGTTACGTGTGCGATAGAAGATGATGAGCGATAGAGGGGAAAAATTAATCAACAGTGATAAAATATATCAGAAACATAAAACTTTCTTATTATATATAAATAAATGCCTGAGTACTAATTTTGTTATCGATTAGTCACAGGGTAGTGGGCATTTTAGTGTTTGTCCGGTCCTTAATCCAACGTGGCCACTAGTGTAAATGACTTAAATTCTTATTCACTTTGTTGATATATTAAGTAGTTTACAGATGGTCGACAGGAATCCATTGACCTGTATGTCATGCCATTTGACGTTCATCAGTAAGGTCTACCAGGTCAATTCAAACACAGAATGCATCATTTTACGACCAACTATGTTTTCTCACTTCATATCAAAATATTACTGGTATGTCCTTGTTTGTTCTGCCCACTAGTCTGAGCTTAATAAACAGGGAGAGACTTGTCTCAACTTTGTTTACAGCCTTGACGTAATGGGTTACTCAGTACATCAATGTGACTTGTAGCCCGTGAGTTTGATTAATGACTGAACGACCATGATCAGAAATAATATCCTACCACCAACTGGAAACTGGATATGTTAGCTAGCTGAGAGAGAGAGAGAGAGAAGACGATATAGCTGGCATCATATATCCGGTTTACTCATGATCTGACTTATGCAGAATAGGTACACGAATAAATAGGTGACACAAATGACCACAGCTCACAAGAAATAAGTAAAATACAATTTTATTCTAGCTACGACATTAGATTAATTTTGAAATGAAAGAGACTATGACAGTAATTTACAAATTAAACGAAAGCTCACGATTCATAAAGGAAATCGGTCATAAAAGTAAACATAAATACTTTATGGATTTATAGTTAACCGAAACGATGTCCAGAAAAGGTTTTCTTATCAACCACATCTAATCAGACAGATAAACAATTAAGCAGAATATTGTTTTTGTCATTTGAGAAGAGTCTATGACTGATGAATTCAAATAACTTATTCGCATTACATGTTGAGCTATTCATATTTACTTTATATCAACACTTATAAAACAGTGGTCGAGATAATTTTCAAAATAACTTACTCATTTATTTCCAAACTAATATAAATTGAAATCAATGGGTCCTAGTTATTAACTTCAGGACAAAACAACTCTTCAGTATTTCGTTGTTTTTGTGAGGACGATTCACAGGTGAACTCGAGGAAGCTCTAAGAATTTCAGAAAAACCCGAAGATATTCCATCCAATCATCTTTTGAAAGAATATTCCAGAACCCCTACGTATAGCTTCCCTATTGGACAAACGCTAATAACCCCCTGTGTGCGTATTGGAAAGCTATAATGATGATTTCATTTTTTTACTGACAGTATTGTATCATAATAGACACTGTTTTGGAATAACATTCCTTTCACTTGTCTTCTATCTTCTCATTTACGATTTGTGAGTGTTCTAGCGTTCGAGTGCTCAAGTTATACGCGGCATAGTAAGAATCTAAACTCTAGATATAAATATCAGGAAGTGATGAAAATAACTCAATCCAGTAGAAAAAAATCTTTTTGGTTTGAATACACATTGGTTTTACGTAGTATGTTATTATTACCTAATAGTTATCAAAAGTTTTAATTATCGATATTTTACAATGTAACCGAACACCAATAAAATTCCTTATTGATTCTTTTTCCTTTGGTTTCGAAGTTACCTTAACTGATATCAGGAAGCAATGAAAATAATCTTTACATTTTTACAATTCAGTCCAGTAAAATAACGCTTTAATTTGAATACACTCATTTGTTTTACGTAGTTTGTTATTATTACGTAATATTTATCAAAATCTTTCATTACAATGTAACCGAATACCAATAAAACCCTTTATTTATTGATTTTTTCCACTGGTTGAAATCATGAGTCGATTGAAGCTAGATCACCATAGAAAACCTGGAATTAATGGACGGCCGCTTCGTTCTAGTGTGGGACTTCTCAGCAGTGCGCATCCACAATCCCCCACCCCGCGAGATTCCAACTCACGACCTATCAGTCTCACGCCAGGCGCTTAGCCAACTAAACCACTGAGCTGGTCGGCATCCAACGGCGATTATGTCCAACTTCAACCAATCCACGAAGTTGCGCCACCATACACCATTGTCTTCAGTGGGTTGATATCTCACAACAGATCTGGTTGAACTCCACTGGTAACGGTTTGTCACTAAAACTCCAGGAGTGTCTCTCGAAGTCGGTCACTAGTGAGCAGATGATTATTATCAGAAGGGGTATTGTGGAGATTTTAGAAATCTCACTGGTTGGATGCCGTCTCAGTGGTCTAGTTGGTCAAGCGTGAGGCGAGACTGATAGGTCCTTGGTTCGAAACCCGCGGGATGGGGGATTGTGGATGCACACTGCTGAGAAGTCCTACACTAGGACGAAGCGGCCGTCCATTGCTTCCAGGTTTTCTATGGTGGTCTAGCTTCAATCGACCCATGATTTCAATCAGTGAAATTTCTAAAAAATCTCCACAAAATCCCCCTTCTGATTTTTGTTGTTGTTGTTTACTTTCCAGATATAATGTATCATCAACTCATACAATATATATCATGGGATTGTGTTATCAATTTCAATGAAATAACAAATGATTTACAACATATGAATATAGAATTTAAAAGTATTACTAATCATATAGATTTTGATCCAAAATCTATATTGAAAAATTTCTTGTATAATTATGATTTCTTATTAAACAATAATAATGATAAGAATCATTTCATTTTATATGAATTATTCATTGAAGCTTATTTATTAACTTATCATTATTTAAATGAAAATATCAATGATATTCATAGACGACAACGATTATACAATAATCAATATTCATTCAATTACATTATACAAACAATCAATGTTTGGTATTATCTTCAATATGATCGTAATGAACAATATAATAATCAATTATTATTATATAATCAATTCAATGAAACTAATTTACTTTATAATTCAATGAAGAATAATTATGATTTATTAGAGAATCAAATCATTCAAGCTAATTCTATATTAGAATTAATGAGAAAAGATTTATCTAATTATCAAGCGATATATTTACCTGAAGCTAAATTAAATTATACAAATACAAATGAACATTTACAATATTTAGAAAATGAAATTTTACATAAAGAAAATGAATTAATGAATATGAAGAAACCAATGGATCATGTGAAGAAATTAGCTGAAAATGAATTTCATAAAGTATAATTTATTATTTTATAGTGTATGCATTTAAAGCTTTTCATATCTTCTCATTGTTATGAACATTCAACTCCAGGATGCAAGTACATCTAGCTGATGAGTCCTAAATAGGACGAAACGTGTCCCATGGATTCCATTGTTAGCCATTATCTATCTTTACTTATATAACTTGTAACTTCAGACAATATCGAGATAGTCCGTATAGGATGCACATATACCAACTAGAGATTGATCAATTACAGTTCTAAATAACAATGATAAGATAAAAGTAAAAAACACCAAGTGAATATAACTTCACCCTATAGCAAAAGCAGGTGGCTATCAGGACTCAGTAGCTAACGCGATGGTGTTTGAAGCGAACGGTACTGGGTTCGAGTCCCAAATAGGACGGAACGCACGTCCTGAATTCCACTACTAGCCATTATCCATCTTTGCTTACAAAGCTACTCATATAATGTTAGTAGTATGATAAATTAAATGTTAAAGGATTAATGTAATTAGTTATTTGTCTATACTAGGGTGAATAAGAGAATGGATACACCGTCTGAGAATCAGTAAAATTTACTCCCAGTTTTGACTGTTTATACTGTACCTATTAACATATTTCATTAATGTCTGTCCCAAATCACACTGCTTAAATAATATCTCAAGCAAATTACATAAAATAATATGTAAAACAAAGGAGTTTTTTTCAGAATTAGACTGAGAAATTCCTTGTTTTCAACTTCTTGTTCTTATAAAAATCAACTAACACTATGTATATGTCAAGTCATTTTTCATCCGATTGTATTAAGGGTGACATGATGTAATGAGATATAATGTCTGTTTATGAATTCACTAACTGGTAAACTGAAGCATATCTGATTAAAGTTTTCAAAATAATCATTTTGTAAAATTGAAGATGTTATATCCAAGCGAATGTTAAAACACGAGTAACGTCTGAGACTTATTAATTGACTATTATTATTTATATATTCTCATGGTATAAATATTCGGTAACTAGGTGATGTATATCTATATTCCCCTTGTTATAAGCTTTATTTTGATCTATATATGATTATTGTACGACTTACTGTTCTTAAGCTATGTTCAGTTTATTGACTACTGCTTCCACGTTCACAGTCACTTTTTGGCTTTATTGTGTACAAATGTTATTTCCTATTTTATGGTGCGTTGAGGTCTGTTTGGTTGATATATAAGCCCAGTATGTCTGAAATAAATGATTCGATTCGCATATCGGGAGATGGTATTCGGTGTTCTGGACTCAAGTGGACGGGCTAGGCGGACATAGGACCAATAAGGACGCTTGACTGCCCATACCGGTCGAACGTCATTGGTTTGGCACAGTGCGAAGATTGTATAAGTTGTATTTTGATTGGTGGACAAATCACGTGATAAAAGCCGGACATAAAGTTATAACAGAAGACATCATGCCTATCATATCTTCTGAAGTCATTATATGTTTATATCTTAAATAAGATACAACAGAAAGATTTCATTGATACTAGTACTCTTCATAGTATATTTTCGAATGTGATTTTGTACATTTTATTCATTAAATATAATGTTCTTTTTATATTTATTCACATGAAATGTAATGCAAATAATCAAACTAATTCGTAAATATTCTGTAGGCTTTCACATTTACTTTCATAGAACTGAATTTACTACTTCTAAAGTATTTCTTCTATAGATTAAGAAGGATAATTAATAGGATCTAATTTGATATTGATTGTAGTTGAAAACATTCTGGATCCCTACACTAAGTTATTGAGTTCGACTGATTTCATAAAACAAGATATTAACTCATGTTTTATACAAAATATCAGAACAGTCAAATGAAACTATCGAAACAGAAGTCAGAATAGTAGAAATAATAACAGAATCAGTAATAGTAAACGACATTATAGGTAGGCAATCTGATTCTACAAGAAAGATTTTATTCACGAGTAAAATATATAAGATAATTTTAAAGATCAAGGTTTACAACAAGACAAATTGTGAATGTACCTGATCCATTTCTATCGATTCTTAACCACGTCTCCCTGAATAAGAAATTAAACCCTTATAAGCCAGATGGCGATATCGTTAACTCTAAACGAAAGCCTATGAAAAAGCGAAATAAGAATGAGGATACTGGACAATTCTAGTGAATATCAATTAATGTTATCATTTCTGATGATAGTTCACCATAAGCTCTTACTCAACCAGTAGTGTCCGAGTAGGAGGCCATCATAAGATTTGTATACGTTTTTGGTAACAGTTACTTGTCAAACAATTGAGTTAAATACTGTCTTAAGGTTATTAAATACCATTACACTAGGCGGTTAGCAGGTATGACTAAGTCCTATAATATAACAAAGGATGAATATTAGGTCAATAACTCTGCGTCAAGGTCTGAAACTAGTCCGATTGTTGAAAGTTCACTGTTTACGAGATCTAGTTAAGCATACTCTAGTTTATTCTTTAACTCATTTTTGACAAAAAAAGGAGTAAACATAAATTTTTATGCCTTTTTTAAAAACTTATTTTGATTTTAGTTAAAGAATGCTTATCGTTTAGCTGTTCAAGGGTTACATAATTTATCCATTGAAGATTTAGATGAAATACGATCATATCGTGAACCACCAGATGATGTGAAAAATTGTGTCTATTTAATTTGTATGCTTATGGATGAAGAGGAAAAGTCAGTTGTTTATATATTTTTAAAGTGTATTTCGATTATCTATAAGTGAAGAGGTATATTGAACTACTGAGATATAAACGGTTGACTTCAATTCTGTGGGTTAACATTAATGTTTCCTAACTGGAGTACTGAACTGTAATATGATTTAAATAAAGTATGAACAATGATAGTATTGGTACAATGCAGTAAATTTATGCTCAACTCATGACCCTTAGTGACTTCCGATTGGCCCTCGGAAGATAGAGTTAATCTTTAGTCAGTTGGAATACAGGATATATATATTACAAATAATTTGTTACATTCAAGATGAAAGACGATTAAGATCTGGATTAAGGAATATGATTGAGATTTAGGTTTAAGATTTGTTGTGAACAGAATAATAAAGAAGAATTGATAAACTATAAAAGCTACTGTTTAGAATATTAACACGGTTAATTCTGAATCAGTTTCTTTAGTCCGGAATTCGGATATAGGTTTTTTATTACTTTGATCTTCTATTCTCTTGTCAATCACTCATTATCCACGTGTCAGATCGTTAGTTAGTGAATAGCGTAGTTCTCTACCCTCAGGGTCAATTAGTCACATATCGAACTCATATATTCAGTCGCAAGGTCATACTAAGTAGCCAAACTTATCAAGGAGATTGACGAGTTTCGAGACTAATGTCCCAGGTTATCCAACTGCATAATCAGGGTATAAAACAAGGTTATACTAGAACCTGAGTGGGAACTGATTTGTAAGTAAATGACTGAATACATTCATGTTCCCAATTCTTTGGTTTCGTTGTGTGGTAGAAGAGTTAGATCACTTGTGAAGTCTAAATCATCCAGCTGCATTCTAGCTGTCCACTGTATTCCATGCTTCCTCTAAGATGTTGACGTCTTCATGATCCAATCGATCATCGAGAGAAAGAGAAAGGATGAGAGTAAGTAACGTTGCTCGACACCGGTTTTTACTTCGGACAAGTCTGTGAGCTGTCCTCCATGCACAGTTCCGCGGTTTAATCCATCATAGGAATTCCGTATGATATTGACTATCTTCTCAGGTACGCCGTAGTGTTCTCTCTCTCTTTCTGTATATGTATATATTCTCGACTATTTTATTATCTCGAAATAAGGTATTTTATGATGTATAAAGTTCTTGTTTTTTTTATTATTTCCCTTATATACTTTTATCTATTCAATAATTTGAAGTTGGGAAAATGCAAAACATATGATGGTTCCAGTCAAATTTGTTAGTAAAATCTTGAAACTTTCCATTCAATCAATTAATAAACATAAACATAATGAATTAAGAAAACGTTTAAATAATTCAAGCATATTAACATTTGAAAATTTATTACAGGTAAGTAAAAAGGTTTTAGAAAAAATATGTTTCAGTTGAATAAGATGGAAGCTTTGGAATGGGAATCTAGAGCTATGTCATTTAAAGTCTTCATTCATGAATCATGATTATAAACTAATACTTGAACAAGTAACCTTAAACAGATATATCTTCTGGTTTAGTAAATCTAAGGAGTATATAATCTTCACTCCATACAGACTTAAACTCAGGAAATTGAGATTTCATCACAAGCATAATATAATTTAGTCAAGGGTACAATTTTTCATTCTGTTTATATTAACAACAGTATCAATCATTAATTCCTGGATTTTATCATTCTAAACATATAAGTTTATTTGTTTGTTCTGGATACTGATTTCGGCACTGGGAGATGTTGATTTAAGTCATATGTGGAACATCGATTCTCTCAAGATGACGGATTTGCCTCGTTTAAGAGTTTCAAGTGACAATGAACACTATCTTTAGAACGAACTATCAATCTCATTCAACCACTTGACAGTGTTTAATTTCTTAAGAGATTTTATTTCTAAAGACAGACTTTTTTATAAAAAGGTGGATCTTGACACCTGGCCGAAATAGTGAAACGTTGCCATACATTAGCTATATCCCTAATCATAAAGAGATTTTTCTGTCATCTAACCATATAGTTAGAACATTGGATACATTTAGATACCCAAAATACCTTTGAACTGAAATAAAATAAATAACCAGAGAAGAACTGGAAATCTGGATGGTGAAAGCTGTAATTACTTAATTACTCAGCATCCTTATTGACTAAATGATAAAATGTTCAGTTATCCCATCGACTCATTATATCTTGGAACTTTTCGAAAAAAATTACTCTGTTGCACAGTTTGTGGAAGGGCATTCGTAGGCCAAGAGCTGACTCTTCTAAAATTATCATAAATATTTTACTGAGATCATGGACCGATCGCCGCCAGACAACTATTGAAAACCTGGGAGCACTGGACAACCATTTTTTCCTGCTATCACACACCTTATTAGTGTGAATCGATTAAAATTAGGTGAACGTTTCTCCGGATTTTAGCTCAGTGGTTTAAAAGTTAAACGGTCATAAGTAAGACTGAAATTTCTGAGTTTGATCTCCAGTGGTGGGGTCAGGGATGTTCACTAGTGAGGAGCATTACATTGACACGGAACATCTGTTCAATGTTTCTAGACTTTCAATGGATGTCTAACCTAGGTCGCTGGGTGATCTCAATAAAATTCAGTAATGTTCACGATTCTCATACTGATATTATGAACATGATTGTCGATAAGCTTTTGAAATTATTCAACTAAGTAACAAGTGATAATTTGTCAAATAGAAACCATTCGCATAATTGAAAACTTTCTTGTAGTATACCTTTGAATAGTACAGAGAGCAGGCACACTAAAATCTATGCACATATAGAGAGACGCAAAGACTATAATTAGCAAATATATTATGCGTTAAAGCAGTACTAATTAAAAATCTTTAATCTTATTAAAACTCTTTACGTTCTTATTGAGTTTTTTAATCGTACCAAACTTCTTTTATTAAACAAGGCAATCATCAATAAGGGTTTATGGTTTTCCGTTGTTAACATTCATGACTACAGGTAGTTACTCTATTATCACATTCGTATCCTGAGCTCAGTCCCTCGATATAGAGTTATCAAAGCTTTAATCTATTTAGTGTTTCGCTATCAGTGAGGTCTAGTTTCGTCTTTAATTTCTCTGTGGATAATGTGTTGGGTATTTTAGAAGAAAGATGCTGAACACCAATACCAGGATGGAGATACATTCAGCTGACGACTATCAAATAGGAAAAATACCTCTATAGGATCAAACTGCTAACTACATTCCAACTCTACGATATCCATTATCACTACATACTTCAATGAGTAACTAAGTTTCATTCTTGCTGTGTCTCCCTATTAACAATTTAAAATAATGACTGGTTCATTCAATTTATCAAAAGTTTTTATCCGAATTAATAGGTAAGTGTTGCTGCTGCCCGATTATGTCAATGGTTAAGAGCATTATGTGATTGCTGTGATGCTGGAGAACGTTTACAAAATCACATTGATGATTATTCTTCAATTGAAGCACAAGTTAGACGAAATGAATCAGCATTAGGCAATTTACATTTATCATTACAACTAACAAAAATAAACATAGAAATGGCTAATAATCATTTAGTTGGATGTGAACATCAAATTAAACGTCTTTCAGAGAATATCGATGTAAGCTTAATCGTTTTCCGTATTGATTTTAATGCTTATTAAAAAAGTGATATCAAATATGTCCCAAATATTGATAGTTTTAATAGAAAAATATTACCAGTATGGAGACCGTCGATCTCGTGCGCAAACGCATAACCTTTAGATCACTGAGCAGTCACCTGACGGTGTTGATATCTAACTCCAACCAATCCACGATCGCGGATGCGCAGTGCTGATAAGTCCCATACTGTGATGAAACGGCCGCCCAGTGCTTCCAGGTTTTCAGTGGTGGTCTAACATTCATCAATTAATGATCTCAATCAAAAATTTTCCGATCACCACAACGCCACACTGATAAAGTATATCCAAAAATTAGTACGTGAATGAATGTATTTTGTTCTAATAAGCGATTTAATTTTGAACGTGATTTTGAAACTTGTTTAGGGAAATGTTTTTGGAAAGCTAATAAATCTTCATTGCACCAGTCTTTCATGTCCACACTTTGGATTGTGAGAATTTCAATGGTCAAGTATAATCAGTAAGACTTCAGATCTAATAGAGTTCATACATATCTAACAACGACGACAACTCCCAATATAGACGTGACAACGCAGATTCAACAATTACCATTATTATGATGACTGTAATGTTTCCCTGCATTACTCCTGCTAATTACCATCGCCTCAGCAGTTCATAATTTTTTGACTCGGCCTCTCTTTGATCTAATTATTTTAAGAGTACTGCTGGGGCGTCGACGACCCCCAATTTCAAGTTTAAACTCTACGTACAAAAGTGATACATCCAACCTCTCATCCTTCCTTAGCACTAATTCTCTTCTTTATTATGTCTTGTTTTTGTTTATATTATTATTTTGTACACTTTTTAAACCGTAGTCATTTGATATTATCCTCTAGTGATTTTCCGAGATAACTATTCACTTGTTATTATGACCTTTATGTCTTTCATTTTCTCTTCATACTTCGCACTTTCCAGACCAGTAAATCATTTCCATCCTCTTATTCTTCTTTAAACGCTTGATATTACTCAACCTTCTCTTGATATTTGAAATCTCAGATCACTTTATGATGTAATCTCTTTCTATTCTTCATAAAGATTCATCTATCTACCCAAACAACGATAAATACGAGCGATTTTGTCGGGACGAAAATTTTCTTCGTGGAATTCTACTGTTTTTAATCAATCACAGAATGAGTTATATGAACCAAAATCCAGTCCCTCTGAACTTAATATAATTGGACAGCTTATTAGCATGTGGTGTAACCTAATACATTTGAGCACAAATTTAATCAATACTAGTTACTAATCTGATAATGTCATTGGTCAGTCCTACAGGAGTGACCAATGGAATCGATTTCTTCTAAGGATAAAAATCCATTAACTATTTTTTTCTTATTATAGATATTAGATTATAAAATTCATGAAGCTAAAGCATTGGCATCAACTATACAGAGTAATTTATCTGAATTATACAATGATACTAGCAATCATGATGCAACTAAAAATTTGTCATTTTGGTTCAATATACTCGGAGCATTGGGGACAGTGTATTGTCAAACATTACCAATTAAGCATAGGTAATTAGTTTTCTACTTTCTGTCCTTTTGTGTGTATGTTTGTTTCGAAATGAAGGTCATATTTATTGTTTTTAGTGAATATGCAGTGAAGTAAGTAATGTGATGGTAATTAGGTTATTAAAACTTTGACTAGTGTTCTATTTAAAGTTACAATTCTATCAATTTTTAAATTATGTTACATCAGAAGTAATCCAATGATTATTGTTACTATTCACAATGCCGGATTCTGGTACTCATGCTTTCTACATTTTTGTCCAACTAATCGTGTAAGTGAAGAAAACTGAGAAACGACTAGAACCTCGAAATTGTCCTTCTGATTTTAGACAAGAACGTATAAGCTAAGAACTTAACTAGGAATATAATCTGCTTCCCTTAATATAGTATTGCATCTACTATTTGACCATAAGATGGCATATAAGCACAAGGACGTGATATACCGAGACTTTTCAAACAATTGCAACTACTCATATAGCTAATAGGAACCCTTGTATAACACTTTTATAATAATTTTCATTGTGTAATGAAAGGACATAGATGATTTGAAAAACTAATCTGATATAGTTACTTGATAAGATTTGGATTGATCTAGTGGGGAGATTTTTTTTGAAAAGAAAGTAAACATGCACTTTTAAACAATAATCAGTTTAGGGGTTGTTGAGATTGTTAAGTTTTTGATTGAAATCATGAGTCCATTGAAGCTAGACCACCATGGAAAACCCGAATGGACTGGACAGCCGTTTCGTCTTAGTATTTCAATCAAAAACTTAACAATATCCACAACCCCTAAACTGATGATTACCATGTGCTCACTAGTGACTAGCTTCGTGAGAAAATTCTCAGAGTTCTGGTGAGAAGCTGTGACCAGTGGAGCTAATCCGTGTCGGGTAGAAACACGTGTGCTTCCAGGTTTTTCATGGTGGTGTAGCTTCAATTGACTCATGATTTCAATCAAAATCTAAACAATAAACTGAATAAACAGTCAGTCAGTCAGTCAGCTACAACGTAGGACCAGGCACATATGTGCATCAGTCCAGGTTGCCATACCGCATCAGTACACCAAGATGAACACCAGATTCATAGCAGTGGTTAGGTCAAAGGTGGTAATATATAAAAGAAAGATTGCAATAAGAATATAGTACAAGAAGAAAGAATTGGTTCGTAGAAAGAAAGATATGAAGTGATTTTAATCTCTTAGTTTAAGGGAAGACAGGGAGTGTATACACCGACGCCATTGTGATCGATTCTGAGCCATGTCACCAAGACTCTCCAACCATTGGTTACGATGGTCACGCGGACCCCAACCAATTTTTTGCATCTAGCAACATGACTCACACCAGAAGTTAGTGACTTCAAGCACTGATGCCACGTTTTGGTCTGGCCGCCCCTAACTTTCTTCCAACCATCTCCAACACCGGTTAGCATTGCACGTCGTGGTAATCGGTGTTTAGGCATACATACCACGTGGCCCGACCATCTCAGTCGATGAAGATTCACAACCTCATCAACTGATTTACCATAATTCCCTATTACCCTGCGTCTAACCTCACTATTACTTACCCGGTGATCCCAGCAGATGCCAGCAATATTTCTAAGGCATCTGTGGTCAAATACTAATAGCTTACGAGTGTCTTCTACTCTTAATGGCCATGTTTCGCTGCCGTAAAGTAGAACAGAACGGACTGCCGCGCAGTATACTCGTCCTTTTATTGATAGACGGATATCTCTCCTTCGCCAAAGGTGACGTAAGTTGGCAAAAGCCAAGCGAGCTTTTCGAATCCGTGCTGAGATTACGTCAGACACCAACTCATTAGGGCTGATCAGACTTCCAAGATAAGTGAAGTTGCCAACACGTTCAACTACTTCACTCCCTATCCTTAGTTCAGGTGTTGACGCAGACCTGTCCTGAAGCAACAACTTGCATTTCGAGGGAGAGAAGCGCATTCCAAACATTCTGGAATTGTTGCTTAGTGCTACCAGAAGACTCTGCATTTTGTTAGCGTCTTCACCAAACAGGACTATGTCATCTGCGTATTCTAAGTTGATAAGTGGACCTCCTGGATGGAGATCAATACCCGAGAACTCAGTCGACGAGAAAGTTATTTCCATCAATAAGTCTATGATAAAGTTAAACAAAAATGGGGAAAGTGGACAGCCTTGACGGACACCACTTGAGGTTGCAAAAGTAGATGACAGTTCGCCATAAGCTCTGACTCGACTAGTAGTGTTCGGGTAAAGAGCCTTCACAAAGTTTATGTACTTCTGTGGTACGCTTTTCAATGACAGATACTGCCACAGAATCTCGCGGTCTACCGAGTCAAATGCTGCTTTTAAGTCGAGAAAGACCACCATAGTCGGACGCCGATAAGTATGCCTGTGTTCTAGAATCTGACGAATGATGAATATGTGGTCGATGCAGCCACGACCAGGTCTGAGGCCAGCTTGATTCTCTCGTGTTTGCAGTTCACGAGTCTTAGTTAGGCGTCTGGTAATTATCGAAGCTAGTATTTTAGATACTATATTAGTTAAACTAATCCCTCTGTGATTGTCACAGGATGATTTTAACGCTCTCTTATACATTGGGACGATAAGTGATTGTGACCAGTCAGATGGGATTACGTCCAATCCCCAGATTTTAGCTAAAATATTAATCAGCCTAATCGCTAAAATTGGACCACCATCCTTAAAGACCTCTGGAGCCAATCCATCTGGACCAGCTGCCCTAACTCGTTTCAGATTAGCTATAGCCTTTGAACTTCAGCTAGAGTTGGGGGACCTATTTCAACGTTCAATTCACACTGTCTGGAAATAGAGGGTAGTTGTAGAGTAGCTGAAGGTTAGCTGAACTGTTCTACAAAATGTTCCGCCGATCTTTCTAAACGTCTGTACTGGGAGCAGATGAGTGTCATCTTTCCCCGAGATAGTCTCACTTACACTTGACTTATTAATTCCAGTTTCTTTTATTAGTCTGTAAAGCTGTCTTGTGTTCCCTATAGTCGCCACCTTTTCCATCTCTTTTGCTTTCATTGCCCACCACTGCTCACGGTCGTTTCTTAGACTTTTTCTTAACCTAGATCTGATTTGTTGTCGCTCTTCCTCATGTTCGGAACCTGATGGGACGAGTTTGCGAGAATCCATCAGTGTGATAGACTTTGAAGAAATCCATTGGTTCTTTGTAACCCTGTGGTTTAGAGTTGAAAGTCGATGTAGGAGGAATAATAGGAATTGAAGAGGAAGGTTGATTATGAATACAGTGGTCTCGAGTGCTGTTAGAGGTATGAGGGCGGTTATCGCTTCCCGATTGCCCACACCGTAGAAGGGTTCTTCTGAAGGTACTTGAAAAGGTAATTGGATTAGAGGTGGTCTCAGTGACCTGAGAGCGTGACCGCAGTGCCCAAGGGACAACTGCTTGAGGCCGGTCGCGCAAGGCCTTTTCGTGGGAGGTTTTTGACGTGTTAGCTCCGTTCTTCAAAGGGCCTTACCGCCGGAGACGGAAATCCGTGAGATAAGGTGAGGTTTGCATTTTTAGGGTCGATCTTTTCTAACCCCGCCCACCCCTCCTTGTGGGAAGGCAGCATCGCTGTCATGCTGGTTGTCTGAAGGAAACACCTTACTGCTGTCACACCTCTGTACAGTCAGCAGTACGACTTCGCCTTCGGACCTTGGGTTTGTTGCTTTTAGTCTTACCGCTCTTTAACCGACCTGTCTGACATGGTAGGACCTTGAGGAACGGTTGTTCCAGCCAGTATAGCTCGGTTGCTTCATTACGATAGGCAAGCCCGACCACCACGTCAAGGTAGCAACAACGGTCGGGACTGAATAAACAACTTTTTAGCTTTTATTCTTTTTAAACAAGTTTTGCTGTGGTTTAAAACGGATTTAACAAATGAATAGGTTATAACTTTTAATGTAGATAAATCATGAACTAAGCCTATTGAAACAATTTATATTCATGATAATTTCTTCTGAATGTATTCTCTTTCTTAGGTAAACATTATGTGCACATTTTATTTTGTACTAGTACAATAACAGAAACAGTTTGTCTGATTTCATTGATGACTGATATCACCTTGAAAACCATTTTAAAATAGAAAAAATGGAATGGTTGTCACTTGTAACGCATGAACTTCTTACAGTTGTTCGTCCAGGATGATATGAGGTATTGAACGCCATGACTTTCAGGTCTCTTAGTTAGCAGATTAGTATTCATTCTAAAAATAGTCAAATTCTATGGTCACATTATCCAACATCAGTCAGTTCATAATATACAGCGATTATCTACATCATATTAATTTAGCATTAGAACAATGTTACAGTCTCATTTACGAATAGGATTATTTTACAAGCCATAACTTCTTATGGGAATTTCGAGAAATCCTCATTAAAGATAGTCATTAGTTATCACAGAATTATTATTCATTTATTTAGGCGGTTTTATGGGCGTTTGTAATTATTTGGAGATAAATTTCATGATGAATCAGTAAAGGCAGGAGAGCTACATTAACCATCATTATTCTAACAAATGAAATATGAGTATGGAGGTTTATGAGAGTTATTGACCGTCACTGATATTACAAACTGACCTAAGTTACACATCCATTAATAGTCAGGAAGTACTAACCAGTTGCTTTATTCAAGTATGAGACACCACAGTAGTACTTATTCACGACCTCACTGTTGGGGGACGAACTCAGGACCCACCGGTAAAGCGCATGAACGCTAACCCATGGGCCGGGATCTAATCTTCCACGTTTTACCTCGCCATAGTACGTCAAAACCTGTTTTCTTCAGTAGTTAATTGTTGCACACCTGAAACGTTCGAACTCCTCTGGTCACAACTTCTTACTAGATTTCCACAATTACCTTTTAAAACTAGTCACTAGAGGGCACGTCATAATTATCAATGTGGTGGTTTGAAGAGATTACCGAATATTAGTGATATTACAAACCGGCCTAGGTTACTCATACTTTAATAATCAATAAGATTCGAATAACTGAGTACTCCTAGTACAAAGTTCAAACCAATATCTTGATTCTTGTATTATTTATTTTATATGTTATTATTTTACAGATCTTCATTGTGGAATAATCTCAAAACTCTTGTTTGGAATAAAATGAAGGTGAAGTTGATTACTTTAAAGAAACACTTATTTTGATATTTATCATCACGTTCCGTAAATTTTATCATTCTTCTAAAAATGACTGTTCGAAATTAGTTCAGCAAAATTGAGTCATATATATATATTCGACCAAAGACTGTCGGAAACTAGAATGAAAAAAGCTTTGTAAAACATCTGGAATCAACCGCATTCAAACCAAACAATTATGTCGGGTTCAGTTCGAGTTGAGACGGATTGAATTATCCCGTTGTTGATATTCTTGACTGAATTTTGGCAAGATGATTAGTTAGTATATATTCATCCCATGCGAATCACGCCGATACATCGAATTATGACACACGTTAGCAAAGAAGAAAAGGAATGTCACTAGTAGTGAGATCCGAAGAGCGGGTTTCATCCTATTTAGGATTCATCAGCTGAATTCCATCACACCCCAGAGTTGGAGTTCACTCCAGGATTCAAAGCCAGTGCCCTTCGCTCCAAACGCCATTATGTTATTAATCTAGCTACTGATTTCAGCAGGGTGCCTGGTTGTACAGCAGATATGAGTTTTAATTTTAATTTAAAAGAAGTCAATTTCGATCAAAATTCATGATTTTTTTTCGATTGTAATCAATTGTAGAACTAAAAACGCACATTTCGTCCGTTTTGGCCACTTCAGTTGAATTTATAAACAATATAGTCTTGTTGTTCAAACTGAAACTCACACCCAGTACTAATCGTTTCGAAAAGCAGTGTGTTATCTACAGCAAATAGTCCCTTTGATAAAGTTGGGTAATGTAATAATGAGAAGAAAATTATCAGAGCTATATGATATTTATTCGAGCAATACCTTTTGAACAAATCGATCACACGTATATACGTTAAAAACATATATATATATATATATATATATATATATATATATATATATATATATATATATATATATATATATGGATAATAAAAGGTAAACTAAAATGGAAGGTGATGGAAAACAAAGTTAATGAAGAAAATAATGTGAAAAACAATGTGGAACTTACCACGCTGAACAATAAATCACTGTAACCAATGTACGTTTATGGTGTTATCACATAAGCTACTGAGTTCCGATATCCACATCATCAACGGTACTATGGAAGTATATGCTAGTGACTCATCCCAAATAATAAAAAAATCTTATTCTGGATTCCTTTGCTAGTCACGTCCTGAAATTTTCAAAACTCTTAACTATAAATAATATTAAGACATAAAATTAGGTTACCAGTTTGCCTAAATAGAAAAAAACTATGTGCATTCTTGAATATCAGCAGGTGGAGAATCTAAACTATTACATATGTATCAGAAGGGTTTTAGTGGAGATTGTAGTAATTTCAATGGTTGAAATCATGGATCAATTGAAGCTAGACCACGATGGAAAACCTGGAAACACTGGACGACCGTTTCGTTCCATTGTGATATTCCCCAGTAGTGCGCATCCACGACCCCGCCTCGCAGGATTCGAGCCCAGGACCTATCAGCCTCGCCCGCGAGAGCTTAACGACTAAACCACTGAGGAGTCCCACAGTAGGAAGAAACGGCCGTCCAGTGCCTCCAGGTTTTTCATGGTGGTCTAGCTTCAATTAACTCATGATCTTAACTATTGAAATTATTACATGTGTTCGTTATTGTTTAAAGTTTCACCATGTATTTCAATCCATACTATTCTATTTACAGTATACTTCTGAAGAAAGTCTAGAAAATAATACTTTTATACTTGTTTTCCAGGAAGTCTATCACCAAACTACGAATGATCAAAAGGAAGATTTGATAATATGTGAAAAATTTCTTCAAAATTTACCATTGTTTAAAATTATTCAAGCAAAACCATACGAACCAATGAAATGGTTTACATTGAACAAAAACTTTCCACCAGAATTAATACTTTTATATAATAATCAACATATTAGTTATACACTTGAAGCGATCCTATCTATACTTACAATTCTATGGTCGATTAGATATGCTCATACTAAACAGTGTGATAACAATAATGTGGATGAATCAATGTTATATCTGTTTATTTACGATCCAGATCTAACTGGTATCAATGTAATAAAATCATTATTACTAACAAAAGATTATACTGATGAAAGTGATAACATTTCTTCAAGGTAAGTTTGTTGTTCAGTTAAAGTAAATGTTTGCAATTGATTGGTCATTGGGTGTTGATCAATATCATGTATGACAGGTCCTTCTTAGTGCAGATAGACTCCTATCGATCAAGTTGCAATGTGGCCACCAGTCTAGGTTACTAGACATTGCGTGCACTATGTGGAGATAAGATGGTGGTTAGAGGTGGTCAACAGGAAACTCTGGACCTAGGTTTCGATCTGAACTAAGAAGGACCTGACATACATGACATTGGTCACCACCCAGTGATCAGTCAATTGTAAATACACCTGGATAGCTCAGCGGTAACGTCTCTGACTGCGAAGCTGGTGACACGGGATCGGACCTGTCAGAGGTTGTCAGTCTCCTCACTCTAACAATCACTGTATCTCATACCAAATTATTCTCTAGTTGGCTTAATTTAGTTTTTCAAAGTTGGAAAAACTTACTTTATCAAACTGTAACTTCATATTGAAGCCATCATTCACACGATTAAGTGATGCGTGAAATCCAGTGTACAAATGACATAAGATTATCTGCAAAGACATTATTATTATTAAGAAATTAATATGAAGTGATTTATGGACGTCAATTCATGAAGTGTCTACAATACATACTATGTCAAGTTATATAGTCAAAGTAGGGTAATTCATGAAAAGTATATGGCTACTAATATTTGGATCCAAATAATAACTTTAGATAATACTAAAATTAGAACTAAGAACACGAAATATGAAAACTGTCAAAAACATTCACTGGATACGATACAATTAGAAACGACTGCTTCAGTGTTAAAGAATTGGAATTTCACTGATTGAAATCATGAGTCAATTGAAGCTAGACCACCAGGGGAAACTTGGGTGCACTGGACGGCCGTTTCGTCCTATCTTGGGACTCCTCAGCAGTGCGAATCCACGATCCTGCGCCCCGCAAGATTCGAACCCAGGACCTATCAGTCTCGCGTGCGAGCGCTTAACCAACTAGACCACTGACAGGCATCTAACGGTGTTAATGTCTAACTTCAATTAATCCACGAATCGGCCGTCCAGTGCTTCCAGGTTTTCCATGGTAGTTTAGCTTCAGTTGACTCATGATTTCAATCAGTGAAATTTCTAAAATCTCCACAAAAATCCTTCTGATTTCTATATTTATTTATACAACTAACTGTATCTGAATTAAATTGTCAATGGTTTTTGTTGGATCATTTGAATGTAGAAATATCAAGAAATATAACACTGTACTTTTCTTAATCTAATTTTTAGCAAAAAAGATCATTTAATTTGTGATCTTTACATAGATATGAAAGAATTTATATCCAATTTTAACTACGCCATTCATACAAGTAAGTTAATAGGGTTATTTATGATTGATGCTTTGATGAAGATAATGATATGATGGAATTGTTATTAGATTGTTCGAAATGTATAGTGTAAATTACATTACATTTTTCAAATCAACTCTATCTTATCATTACTCTATTGAAATTTATAAAAGGGACTAGAAACTGCTTGATAACTTATATTCTATTCTACGTTGATGCTCTTCACCAATATGAACAAATAAATTTGCTAGTAATAAGTGTTTCATTTCTAATTCGAATTGATATTTAAAGGTTTGATCCTTAATCTGATCAAGATCAATCTGTAATATGAGACCTTAAATTCAACAATCTTCATAACATGATATTGTAGTACGGAGGATAATAAATTAATAGATTAGTATTTGAAATCTGGATCAGAATTGAGATTAAAATATGTAAATATTTAATAATAACTATCATTACCTGTGGAATAAGTCGTACAAAGTTTATGATCATAATCGGTTGACGTGAAGATGATATCAGCTGGAAAGCCTACTATACTTTTTATATACTTCAGAATAGTAGCCATTGCCCAATTAGAATTCTTTCTATAATTTTCAGTTTAGTAATATATATATATATATAACAGTGGGCCGTTTTCTAATTTAGAGACAAAAGGTATCAGCCAATATATAAGACCTAAGGGTGAACCATCACGACACCGTTTATTTATCTATATATTTCACTATTAAATTTGAAATGTACATTCATAATACATTTTATTAATAATTCTTTGATGATCTTCTTTGGGATTATGCTTTCTATTTCTTGTTCTCCAAGTTGTTCATAATTATATTCGTATTATTTCACATATTATGATTTGTATATTCAGAAGGGGTTTTGTGGAGATTGTGTAGATAGTTGAAATTATTAAAATCTCCACAAAACTCCTTCTGATACTAATCAATATATGCTCACTAATGACTGGCTTCAAGATGTATATCCTGGAGTAGTAGTGAGAAGCAGTGACCAGTGGAGTTCAACTGGGTCAGTTGTGAGATAGTAACTCACTGAAGACAATGGTGGATTTGTCGCTCAATTTCGTGGATTAGTTGAAGTTAGACATTAACACTGTTGGATGCCGGCTTAGTGGTCTAGTGGTTAAGCGCTCGCGCGCGGGATTGATAGGTTCTGAGTTTGAGGAGTCCTACAATAGGACGAAACGGTCGTCCAGTACTTCCAGTTTTTCCATAGTGGTCTAGCTTCAATTAACTCATGATTTCAACTATTGAAATTTGTATGTTGATTTTCAAACAAGTTCATTACCAATGAATCATTTTCATTATTTATTATTAATTATAATTTATTCTTCTTAGATAAGATAATCTTCATTAATGTGGATCAATTTCATAGTTTTAATGCAAAAGAAAATATTAACTATTTATTAAGATTTTATTTTAATCAAGTCTTCAATAAAAATATATCCAGTACAAAAAATAGTCAAATTGTTTTATGGACATCATTTAGTCAATATACTGAAATTGGTAAGTAATTAAAGTAAATGGCATTATACATTCTTTTATTCATATCATTGATGATCTAGCTGGATAAGATCGACTAGTTTTTCTTTTCAAGGTAGAGTTTCGTTCTTTGAGTTTTCATTGTTATCATCATTATCAGTATAAACTGTAGGTGGAAGTGAGTTGTTCAAATTTCTTCACATATGATTGATAGTTTGTTCTGTTGACTTTGACTTGATTGGTTATTTATCAGTATAGGGGTAGTTTTGATTGAGATCATGAACTAATTGATGTTAGACCACTATTGGAAACCCGGAAGCACTGGACGGCCGTTAGACACCAACACTGTTGGATACCAGCTCAGTAGTCCAGTAGGTTAAGAGTACGCGCGCGAAACTGAAGGCCCTGGGTTCGAATACCGTGAGCAAGATCGTGAATGCGCACTGCTGAGGACGAGAAGGTCGTTCAGTGCTTCTAGGTTTCCAATGGTGGTCTAACATCAATCAGTTCATGGTTTCAAGCAAAAACTTGATTGGTTATTGTTGACTTTTAACATATTTTTGTCTGTATATTTAAGTTGATTGTCTTTCCCTTTGACCTGATTTTTGATCTTGTCACATATCATGATGTATCTTCTCTTATATCAATGAACATAGATATTTGTAGGCACACATTCGACTAGGAATATGTTGAGATTTTGTACAGTGAAAAGCTTAGAATTCAGGTCAATCAATGATCAAAAAACACATTGAAATTGATTAAATTAATCAACCAAATAGAAAAATCAAAGACAAATATATGAATCAAAATAGATAATACAGACAAGGATATGTTAAAAGTCAACAATAACCAATCAATTAAGTCAACAGAACAGGCTGTCAATCATACATGAAGAAAGTCGAACAGCTCACTTCTAACTAAAGTTTGTACTAATGATGTTGTTCAGTACAACAATGATAGTTTCACGATTAAACTAATTAGCTTAAAGAACGAAACTCCATTGAAATCGTACACCTGAATTACTAATCTTCTCCACCATTTCAAGATCAACGACTACTTTTACTTAAATTGTTATCGATTTATTTGAACCTTGAAACAAATAACATCGATCATGTACTTTCTTCAATATTCAGTATGTAGAATGGAGTGAGTAAATGTGAATTGAAATAATTCACGATTATAGATAAGTAATATCTACACCCGCATCAATGGAATATAAGCCCTCTACCATGTTATTTTAAAATATCAAGTTACTTCATTAGCTTGTAGTAGCCAGTTTGTGGATGATATTCTCGAATCTAATTGTTAGCAATGAAAGTTAAAATACATAATTTAGTTACCATCAAATAACCAGAGTAGTTATGCATAAGTAACGAATAAGTGTATGTTTACTGGATTAGATGATGGTGGTGTTAAAAATATTTCGATGTATATGATGAGGTGTGACAAGTTAAAAAAGTATCTATTCTGTGAAGCATAATTCTAATGCTTTGATGAACAAATCTTCGATTATCTAAATAAAACGGAAGAATGATAATCAATAGAAGATATACAATAATACAAGGTGGCTGAATGATGTCTGTTCATGAAAGCGAACTATTGTTGACTCAAGCCATGGAATGATTTAAAATTTTAAGAAAGATCGTTAGTAAGATGTTCACGTTTTCGTGTAATGAGACAAAACATTTATGGAAAAAAATACTGACGGTAAAATGACAAACTCAGATATCATAAACCTTTGGACACAATTCATCTTATGCGTCAATCATTCTCCAGTAAATTAGGTCCTAAGTGCCACGCTTTGCCATCATGTCAATCTAACAGTCAAACCTTATTTGTATTGGCAGGTAAATTTATATCCTACTGTCTCATGGGTTTTAAATTAACTTGATTGAAGTTATCGAAAACATTTTTAATATTCACTAAGTGTGAGATATCTGATATTTTCGGCCATTTTTCTACATGTTTAATGTGTGAGCTCCTCATAATGAAGTGTAATATTTCACTAAAGATTTCATTTCAGTTATCTGGAATTATCCACAACTATCTGTTATGAACATGTCGGCATAGTAAAGCCCAAAGTGGTTCATTTAAAACAGTAATATAGTACATGTTATGACTTGAAACCAAATCTCTAATGAAAAATTATAATCTAATATGTAGTACTCTTAAACTAAATAGTATAGGTGAGCTAGAGTTTAAACAGTTCACCTTGTATATCAAGTAGAACTGTAGGTATTCAACCTTGAATTATAATGTTTCTATAATGCCTAGTGATACTATTTATCTGGTTTAACTAAAGTAGATCAGTAGAGTTAAAATTGTTCCTGTTTCAACTACTAAACCATTGTTTCTCCTTAAACGCTATAACCTAATTATTATTAAGTAAATGAAGTCATAAACAGAAATGATATCTGCTATAGACATAAGTACAATTGTCAATTGACTCCTACTGTAGTGAACGAGAACACAAGTGGGAACAATCGAATGTATTCAAATACAAAATTACAGAACATCTTAGTAAAATCTGAATATCATACAGTAAATACTTCATTTGCAAAATGTCAATCAATTGTCTCAAACTTGACTGTTTCTTTTGCAAATATCAGTCGATCATCTCAGACTTCATTGTTATTTCGTTTCTAAACAAATCATTCCTTGTTCTCGTTCTTCTTTCTTTGATCTTCTTAACCTTATGCCACCAGGCATTTCGTTCTCGATTGATGATATATACTACTTATAACTGTCGCCACCAATAGCACATACCACACTACTAACGATTATTGTAAGTAGTTTCGAACTTTTACAAAATACCTTTATTTAAACAGATTTTCTTAAATGGATATCTTTTCTTTGCTTCAATTATATGTTCTTTCTATCCTATATTTATTAATCTTTTAGGATTTAAATGTAGACAGAAATTTTGCCAAGTTGATTTTATATCAATTGATTTAGGCTTATCTCATTTGGAATGTGGCAGTGCATTAACAAGTTGTTTGTTAGATCTATTGCCTAACTGTAACATTCTTAATTCACTTCAAAAATTAAGGATTCGTGAAATTGAAACTTTTGAAAAGATTTGTGAAGATAAAGTAAGTGTAAATATTTGTATTTGTATTAAGTAGATTACATTTAATCTCATTGATGAATTCAGTAATTGTGCTACTAAGATTATTAGTTGTATTATAATCAAACTCCTATTTCAATAAGGCAGACTGATTCTGGGGTTTTGCCTGTATTCAGTTACTCATTAATAATAGCAGAATTTCCTCTCCATGTTCTATAACCGCGTGAACTCAAGTACTAATGTTTTTAGATAGAATTGTTTTTTAGTTTCTGACCTTTGATTTGATCACTACATAGGTTTGAATGTAACTTGCTTCTCTACTTCGCAAACTAGCACTATCTAGACAGTTACCAAAAAAAATTGCGAACTAGATGCCCGTCTTATTCTCGCTTATGACTTTTTAGAAGTGCACATTTAGCACCATCAGAGATCAAAGGAATGATTTCCAGATAACTTGGTGCGTATGCTACATCTAAAAAATTGAGTCGGAATACATTAGTCTGTGGGCTGAATTCAGTCTCAACTATCATATAAAGTAATCAGTGATCACCGTTACATTTCCTATATGGATGGAATTCATTGGTAATGAAGTGCCAAGAGAATTTTTAAGATCATTAACAGAGGTAATCGCTAGTGATCACATGTTTATTGTTTAGTTGATTGGTTCATAGGGATTAGCTTTATTATATATTCATCGCAAGTTGAGTAATATTAAGAATTCGGATGGCTGGACATCGATTTAGTGATCTAAATGTAATGTAAGCTCTTCGTTTCAATACTTGGCCGATTCCCCAGTACTTTCCTTCTGAGATATCCAAACATTTAAAACAATTAGTCCCTTTGATAAATTTCGATAATGCAATGAGAAGACGTAGTTTATCAGAATTATGTGATATATTTGCGCAATACATTTCGAACAATCTGATCACACATATACTTGTTAAGAACATTTATATATGAAAAATTAAAAGGTCAACTAGACAAGTTAAGGGTAAGTCATAACAAAGGAAAAAATATTAAAGTACACAAAAACAAATGTGATTACCACTCTGGACAGTAAATCAGTACTACCAGGGTAGGTTAAGTGTAAGTACAAATTGTTTTTGAACACATAAAGGGGGTTTCAATTTTCGTATAGCCAAGGCTTCAATAAACCTTAGTATACGTCCTTGAAGGCTTTTGTACAGCACAACAAATGCTGATTTGATATCAACCTTATGACCCGTCTCAACCAAATGTTTCCACACATACATGTAAATTTATAGACACAATGGGATGTGACACAATCGTTTTCATGCTGTTTGGGCTTTTGGTGAAACATAGACCTTGTCTTTTCGATGATGACAAGTTGGGCTGCATAAAATGTCCGGTTGATAGCTAATTTAAGTCTCTGTTTCAACAAGAGACTATTTGTGTCACCTCTGAATGGTAGCGTAATATAAACTCGCTTTTTGGGTGCCAGAAGCGTCATAGGTCTAGTCATATTGCAACCCTTCCAGCGGTTTATGAACTTCAAAGGGTAACCATTATTGAATAACGCATCAGTCCAGAGCTTCATCTCTACTTCAATAGTATCACTAGTACAAATACGATTGATTCTATTGAATAAGCTCTTTATTAAACCACGTTTATAATGAATAGGGCAGTGACTATGAAAATTAAGATATTGTCCTGTCCATGTTGGTTTTCTATATATATAGCACGTTTGATGGAACCATCATCTCTCCTAGTAATCAGAATGTCAAGAAAAGGAAGTTGGTTGTTCTTCTCTTCTTCACATGTAAGAGAAATGTGGTTTTGACTACTATTGAATTCTTCTAACAAGTGGCTTATGTCTTCAATTTTATCACCAAACATGTTTAAAACAGTAGTTTGTGCTTCTTGATTTTCAACGCTTCCTCAACTGATGTCAACTCACGATAGGAAAAACATCACAAATTCCGTAATTTACATCATGCACTGATTTCATTTAGAATATGAGCGGCGTGAATCAAGAATAATTGATTCGCTACCCTGTCTTAGTGTGGAACTCTTCGGTAATACACACATACTACCCACCCCGGGATCGAATCTAGAACTTACTGGTCTTGTAGTCAGTGCTTTACCTTCAAATCACTAATAATTCATCCAGTGGTTTATATTTCTAAATTTAATCAATTCATGATGTTGTAAAACTTTCATCCAAGGCTATTAGTAGGTAACTGCCCCACATTCGGTATGGTTAAATTTCATCGATCATGGTCTATCACTAGAACTCCTAGAATTATTTTCAAGTTTATTCATTGATGAATAATTTACTTATCTCCACAAACTACCCAACTAAATAACGATTGAAATATTCAATTCACTATGAACTTTATAAATTAGCATAGATCCTTTACTGTTCAACTAATACCTAATCTTAAAAAATGCATTCTAATACAAAAGTACAAATACAATTTTTTTATTGAGATCATGAACTGATTGATGTTAGATCACCATTGAAAACCTGAAAACACTGAACGACCTTCTCGTCTTAATGTGGGACTCCTCGGCAGTGTGCATCCACGATCCCGTTTCGTGAGACTCGAACCCAGGGCCTTCAGTCTCGCGCCAGGCGCCTAACCAACTAGACCACTGAGACGGCATCCAACCAGTGAAATTTATAAAATCTCCACAAAACCCCTTCTGATAATAATCATCTGCTCACTAGTAACTGACTTCAAGAGATACTCCTGGAGTTCTAGTGAGAAGCCGTTACCAGTGGAGTTCAACCAGGTCTGTTGTGAGATATCAACTCACTGAAGATAATGGTGTAAGGTGGCGCAATTTCGTGGATTGGTTGAAGTTATACATTAACACCGTTGGATGCCGGCTCAGTGGTTTAGTCGGTTAAGCGCCTAGCGCGAGACTGATGGGTCCTGGGTTCGGATCTCGCGGGGTGCGGGATCGTGTATGCGCATTGCTGAGGAGTCCCATACTAGGACGAAACCGCCGTCCATTGATTCCAGGTTTTCCATGGTGGTCTAGCTTCAAATGAATCATGATTTCAATCAGTGGAAAAAAATCAATAAATAAAGGATTTTATTGGTATTCGTTTACATTGTAATTAAAGATTTTGATAACTATTACGTAATAATAACAAGCTACGTAAAACAAATGAGTGTATTCAAATGAAAGGGGTTTTTATTTTTACTGGACTGAATTGTAAAAATCTAAAGATCATTTTCATCCAATAGTGTTAATGTTTAACTTCAATTAATCTACGAAATTGCGCTACCATTTTCCATTGTACTAAGGTAGATACCTGTCTCTACTCGACACGGATTAGCTCCACTGCTGAGGAGTCTGACAATAGAACGAAACGGCCGTCCAGTGCTTCCAGGTTTTCAATGATGATCTAACATCATTCGATTCATGATCTTAATCAAAAACTTAATAATCTCCACAATTCAAACTGAAAACTTATTTTCTTATTCTTTTTTATCTTTTTTCTTATAGATTCAACTATTGAATATATCAAATGAATTAACAAATTACAAATTATTCCATTCTGATATAAATAATTCAATGACCAATACTAATTCAATTCAATTCAATGTAGATTGTTTAAATTTAACAAGACAACATATTGAATTAGTTAAAATCTTTTCAAGATTATCAAGTAATATGATGCATTTAAATGAATTACAATTACAACATGAACATTTAAACAATCAACTTAGTATATTTACCAATCAAAATAATACAAATGGATGTATCATAAATTTTACACGTAAAATATCATTATTATTCCATAGTTTAGAAGATATACAATATAAAGATTATATTTCATTTCGTTGGCCATGTAAACGATTGTGTGAATATATTCTATCAAAATATGATCAAGTTTTATATTCTTCCCATTTGGAAAATGTTAATGAAATCAACTCTCCATCTGATTTATTTATCAGTTATGAACATGAAATACAGGTAGACGATTAACATATTTTCTTGTTTGAAATAGTTACTTGCTCAGTTTTCTCATTTGTTTACTGTTTTATGGTTTTTTCGACATTTGATGCGTGTAACTAAAGTAAATTCTAGTGAGATACAATTCATGTTTGACTTGATTCTGATTATAGTCACCTTATCTTTGTTGTTCACTGGAGGATAATTGATTTATATTATTCTAAACAGTTGAGATCATGAGTCAATTGAAGCTAGACCACCATGGAAAACCTGGAAGCACTAGACGGCCGTTTCACCCTGTTGTCGGACTTCTCAGCAGTGCGCATCCGTGATCCTGCCTCGCGGGATTCGGACCCAGGACCTATCACTCTCACACCAGGCGCTTAACCAACTAGACCACTAAGCCGGCATCCAACGGTGTTAATGTCTAACTTCAACTAATCCACGAAATTGAAAGACACATCCACCATTGTCATCAGTGAGTTACTACTTCAAAACTGACCCGGTTGAACTCCACTGATCACTGCTTCTCACTAGAACTCCAGGATATATATCTTGAAGCCAGTCATTAGTGAGCATATGTTGATTAGTATCAGAAGGGGTTTTGTGGAGATTGTAGTAATTTTAAAGTTTTTTAGAGGATCTGTCATCTCTGAGCTAAATAGTTTATTTGTAAAAGGTTGATTGTCTTTCTGAACAACGCTATCAAACTAAATACCAAAAAGCCACAAAAAAACAGGAGTCATCAAAATTTCTTAGGCGACTAACAAATAATTTCATCAACTTGATGCTCTCATTATTTTCTTCCTTTCCCTGACCCAGAAAATTTCTAATAGTCCACTTCTTTTTGAAGCATTCGCCCTAGAGAACGTGAAATTTTTAGGATCTTTCTTTTGTGCTACAAACCATGTTCATCATATCGAATTAATAACTTCTACATTGATTAGTTTCTAAATGGGAGAAATGGCTATTATATAACTATATGAGTATTCACTTTGGAACACTTCTTTACTCGTAACTGAATTTTATTTAATAAATGTTTAATATCATAGAACATTTCACTCACACTGTTTTGTAATGAAATGGAAACACTCATATTATCTACCACATTATCATAGCCTATGCTCCGTTGTTAATAGGAGTTTTGTTGGTCAACAAATGTAACTATTCGATGATATACTGTAGTCAATACAATGTTAGATGCTTAAATGTTTCATACATGGTGTTCTCCAATTCTTAGAAAACATTTGTGGTCATCTATCAGTCACCAAACACGTACACTACTATGCAGTGTTTATAAACACATCAAGACTTATTTTACCTCAATTTGATAAGAAACTAGAACTTTAATATTTACGTCAATGGAATTGACATCTAATAAACGCAAAATAAACTTTTTATGATAGTTACATGTATACCAACCGGACACTCGGTTTATAGAATTCAATTTAATTTGTTTTAAGATTAGATGTAATGGAACAGCTACGGTGATAATGTGTGATTAACCGCTTCATTGTCCCATGAAGTTTATCAAACATCTGGTTAATTCTGTAAAAATTAAACTTAGATAACAGTTAGATTTGAATTCAGGATGAAAATATTGTGATGTAGACTGATAGAATATGGCGGAATCACTGTGTAACCTTTTCCGGCAACTAAATTCAGCAAAGTGACTTTTCGACTAATGATTGATTGTGAAACAGATTTCCTAACATATAGATTTCATTCATGTGTTTCTCTGACATTCATCAAGAATTAGTCATATAAACTGAGGTCTAATAACTTATCAAACCTTTTAGAGTCCTGCTCAATTGATGAGCGAATTCCTTGTTTCATTTCATTGATTTATTTCATTTTTTATTCTACATTTAATTGGGATAATAGTCTACGATTATTTATTATATGAGAGCTACCGAAAGTCAGTGACGATAATTATGAATCCAATTTGTTACTAAATAATTGACAGTTTACGATTAACACTGATATGTGACATTTTAGCCTAATGTGTTATAACTTGTGCTCTGTGCCCCAATCAGTGTATAACGTAATAATACCGCCAATTAGAGAACAGTGAATTATCGATCGGATCAATGACGCATAAAACTCGTACGAACAATCTAGAGTCCTTATCACTCCTGCTTCCTGCCTAACTCAGCCTGCTTGCCTGTCAAGTCCACAACACCAATCTCAGGGTAATATAAAATGTATGAATGCTTCTTTTGAATATCTCATGTAAACATAGCACGAGAAATATTCAACATATGAACACATTAGTCTTCTTGGAAATATGAAGAAATTTTGGTAACTTACACAGATTCAATTTTCTCATATAATCCATCAGACTCTTCTAAACACAACTGTGAATTTTCTTCGTTTATAGAGTCATTGACATTTTCTTGTGGATAGCAAATCGGCTTTTCTTTTTTATTTACCAATGAGGTCTGAGTTGTAAAGTAGTAAAACCAATTACGTATAAATAACAATACTACTGTTAATGGGCTTGTAGGTGTCATTATTACAGTTTGACTTGATAATTTCAAATAATCAGTATGGGAGTTGTGAAGATTATTAAGTTTTTGATTGAGATCATGAACCGATTTATGTCAAACCACCGTTGGAAACCTGGAAGCACTGGACGGCCTTTTCGTTCTATTGTGGGACTCTTCAGCAGTGCGCATCTGACTAGGCGTTCGTGCACAAGGGTGAAGGCCCTGGGTTTGAATCTCGCTGGCGGGATCGTAGATGCGCACTGCTGAGGAGTCCAACAATAGGACGAAACGGCTGTCCAGTGCTTCCAGGTTTCCAACGGTGGTTTAACATCAGTCGGTTCATGATCTGAATAAAAAATTCAAATAAGCTGAGGATTAGGTAGATTGTTATGAATAAGTAATATATTTTTAGTGTCCCAATAGTACAATAACGTTCGCACGGGAGATCTGTAGGTGTTGGGTTCGATTACCGTGGTAGGGACGAAAATGAGCACTGCTGAAGAGTCCCATGATGGAAAAACCTGGTCATTCGGTGTTTTTGAGTTGTCAATGTTGGTATAACTTACATCAGTCAGTAATCTCAAAAACATGAGAAATACCATCAAAATCTAAGATTGGTAATTCGTTAACACATTACAACTCAACTAAAGCACATGGAAATCTAGACTTTGTTCTTCCCTCAGCTATAATTGTGACATCATTTGAAATATTCAAGGATCTGATTTAAGTAGCCGAATTTCCAGTTTCGTTCGCATCAGGACACTATAATGGACACGTATGACATATTCTGTTCTCTCCTATCCTTACTCTAACTTAAATTGTCACTGTATTATTTATTAGTCTAAATCGTCTATTCATTTTGTGTACAAGACCTGTTGTGTAATAGTATTTACATTTTCTCGAGGTAGTATATATCCTGTAAAAGCTCATCTTTGTCCCCTTATTCGACAAACCATTACGTGAAATTAGGATTGTTCATTTAGTTTTTCTCTCGTCGAGGCCTCAATAGTTGTAATAGGCTAATATTCTATCTTTACTTTATTCATTTTGTAGCAATATACGGGATTTATTGTGCTATCACCATGTCATGTTGCCAATACATTTAGTCATAAGTGCGGTCCCGATGACGTACTTTCATGAATCTCTTTATGAGACCAATTAACTTACAAACTTTTCGTACTTATAGTGCTAATATACCTTACATATTCGTATATTAGTCTACTTAAATTTATATATTAAAACTGTAGTTAGACTATTTCGAAGCTAATTACTAGTATATGTACAAATGTGGAAATATTCCACAAGTAATTTCGATTCCAAACTGAAACTACTGAAAATCAAAGAGCAATGAACATATCGAGTAGTAAACCATAACCGGTAGAGCTAATCAACTCCATAGTCAAACAGAAATTCACTGATATTACTAAATATATCGCGAAGAGATTAGTTTTAAGATATCTGAACACTGAGTTCCGATTAAGTAGATACGTAAGATCGCTCTTGTCCAGAAAGCTTGATCTTTTTATCTTTTAATATATGTGGGGTTATAAGTACACATAACTGAACAATTGTCAAACTCGAATAAAGCAATTTCTCAACACTCCTTGAATTTTAATAATTATCCAACTGATTTAGGTTAATGGTGATTATAAGCTTCAAAAACTATACATAACTATCATACTAAAATATTAACTATTCAATACTAAAATTACATCAATTACTGATGTTCTTACCACTTTCCACGAACTCGTAGTAAATAACAACTGATCACTCTCATATTGGAATAACAACGGTAGACATTTTAATCTTAACCAACCTAGGCAGAAATAAACGAAACGATGATTTATTACTTTAGAAGAAGATAGATTGGGTTTTTCTCTCTCAAAAACCTAAATAATTTAAAAGAAGAACTATGGTTGCCGAATTTGATGATTGTTATATCCTAGCGAAGATTAGATGATGGGTAACTTCTGAGACCTATTAATGGACTAATGTTATCTACATATTCTTATGGTACAACTATTCAGTAATTAGATTATGCATATCTATATTCCCATTATTATAAGCTTCATTTTGACTTATAGATTATTCTGGTACGATTTACTGTTCTTAAGCTATGTTCAGTTTATTGATTATAGTCTCCCACGTTCACAGCCACTGATATCAACTAAACTAGAGAGATATGGAGAAAAAAACTAATAAGCACTAAACAGATATAAGGGAAACTGTTGACCTACTGAAACTTTCAGGCCACTGTTTTTTCCAAAAATACATTCACTGTCATACAATTCCCTATTTTAAACATTTTAATCTGCTAATTATGTCTTTGATATAATGGACAAATGGAAATAATATCTCGTTTTGACGATAATATTATTAAAATACGATAATCCAATCAGTGACTGGGATTTCGCTACCACAAAATGGGAAACTTGATTAATAGTCTATATACAAAATGGATCCCATTAAACTAGATATAAGATTCGTGACCAAATAAAGAGAACCAGAATATACACTAGCCAATACTTGATTCAATACAATTTAAAAGCAGTCACAATTAGTGAAATTCAGAGTAGAAATCAATGGTGGGAAAGGAACTCATATATTTGTCCACGTTCAGTGGACACTTAAATTTATTGTCACTAGTCATACATCTGTTATAACTTGTGGCCTGTTAATGTATAACGTGATGGTACTGTCAATTAGAGAACAGTGAATTATCGATCGGATCAATGACGCATAAAACTCGTACGAACAATCTAGAGTCCTTATCACTCCTGCTTCCTGCCTAACCCAGCCTGCTTGCCTGTCAAGTCCACAACACCAATCTCAGCTACTGCAATATTAATCATTTATTTCAAACATACTGGGTTTATATGCAAACCAGACAGACCACATCGTAACATAAAATAGAAAATAACATCTATAAAGATCTAGCCAAATGTGGCTGTGAATGTGGGAGATAGTAATTGATAATAATTAATAGACTGGGCATAACTCAAGAATGGTAAATCGTATAATAATAGTTCATAGGTGAGAATAAAGCTTATGACAAGAGGAACACAAATATAGTTTATTTACTTAACAATTATACGATGAAAATATACGTATAGTATTGGTCCATAAATGGATCCCAAAAGTTACCATTCATTATTCTTATCGGGATATAACATAATGGGCTTTAATAAATTACTAAATAGCTGTCTTAAATAATCTAACCACTTTTGAATTCAGCAATATAAACATAATAATAGTAATATTAAATTAATTGTAGTTTGAACGTTTTATGATTAGAAGTTCATAAGTTTACTTAACTTTACTTTCTTATCTTTTCTGCAAGGAAATTGGTCGACGCATTATACATATGTTATTGGAATTCTTTCTCAATTCTTTAAACACTTGGAACAATCCATTAGGATTAATAATACAAATAAAAATTTCAATATATTTTAATATACTTCAATATTCTAAATTAACTATTTATGAATTACATAATCCAGATCAGATAATTGAAATTGATCTATTTAAACAGATCATTTTCAGTAATATTTTTACATGTGAATATAACTATCAACATTGTTTCAATCACAATAAATCAGAGGTAAGCTTTGATAATTATGCATTTAGATTGAGATCATGAACCGATTGATGTTAGATCACCATTGAAAACCTGGAAACACTGGACGACTGTCTCGTCCTAATGTGGGACTCCTCAGCAGTGCTCATCCACGGTCCCGTTTCGTGGGATTCGAACCCACGGCTTTCAGTCTCATGCACTAATGCTTAACCTATTAGACCACTGAGCCGGTATCCAATGGTGGTAATGTCTAACCCCTATACTGATAATTATACATTTATCAAATGAATTTATCAATACAAAAAATTACTATAATAGAAAATCGATCAATTATTCAAGATAATTTTATCAGTCACATTTCACTATAGATTAATATTTGTGTAGAATATCTCAGAGATGAGAAGTGTACTGAAATCCTTTTAGAGTCACTGCCACTCCATAACCAACCCACACGAATCATTTGATTTGATGTAGATCGAATTATACAACAGAGAAAAAAAGACAGAGATAACATTTTTCTACAAAGTAGATAGCACCACCTGTGAAGAACACTACACTGGTGTAGGAGGACAGAACCTCCACCAAGACATTCTAATAACGAAATAACATGATATTTTATTCCTGATATTGACATACGTAGACGACAACGGACATTAACTGTGAACGTCGAAAATTACCGACTGAAGAGGTCCTAAGAATATCAGGGAATTTAGATTAAGGACCTGTCGATAGATACAGCAGTGTAGATCCAAATTATCAATCCACACGAGTTGTGTCAAGCAACCAGATGATCAGAAGTCAGGAAAATAGTTAGTAGGAATACAAAGGCTAACAAAGAAAAAGAAGCCTGTGAAAAAAACCAATCATGAACAAGATCATCAGAAACCAAATGATTTGGTGCTTGGGAGACAACTGAAAAGGTTATTTCTACATCAAATGGATGATGATAATGTTGTTCGGAATGACTGAAATTTCCACAACTAAATCAATCAATCACAATGTAGAATCTGATACGTACATATGTCGTTTCAAGTTGCCATACCTCGTTAGCACCGAGAGATGAAATTGCCAGCCCGATTTCCAGAATAATACAGATAGCACTAGTATGAGTAGTGATAGAAAATATTAGACGTCGAAGAAATAATTCAAGAAAATATAAATTAGTGAAACAAAAACACAAAGAAAGTAATGCAGTAGGTCAGACTTTGGGGAAGAACAAAGAATGGATACACCTGCGTCATTGCAAGTGATTTTGAGCCATATCACTCAAAGTCTATAACTATTGGTTACGATAATCACGCGAAACCCGACCAGGCAGTCGACACCTATTAACATGGTTCAGTTCAATTGTCAGTAACATTGTGGGCTGATGCTGTGTTTTGGATTTGCCTTCCTCTAGCATCATTCTAACCTATTCCTACACCAGAAAATATCGTCCGTCAAGATAGACCGTGGTCTAGGATACGTAATACATGTTCTTGTCCCTCTCAGCTGATGAAGATTTACCATCTAGTAGCCTATTTCTAACCTGGGGATTGCTTACTCGGTGGTCCTAAAATACACGAGTAATGCTTCGAAGAAATATATCACAGAATACTAGTAACCTATTGATATTCTTTACTCTTAATGGCTAATTTTCAGTACCCATAAATCAGGACTCAGCGAACTGCTGCACACCAACAAGAAGTACATCACAGTATCACTGTCAAATTACTGACATCAGATGGTAATATATTTTTCAAAATGTATACTTCTCAGCAAAAGTTGCATAAAAATCCTCTCATCAAAATTCATTCAATTTCATTTCCATATATATTATCAGGTTCTTAAACGTATTCAACTGTTGGAAGAAAAATTGCCAACTTTAAAAGGTTTAGAAAAAGCATTAATGAATGAGCCACTAATATGGACTGAAATAGTTAAGGTAAGTAGTTCTATTCCCAATTAGAATTATTTCTGTCTTTTTATGTTGATATATCTCCTTCCCAACACCTTTATCTGAATCCGTGAAGCTATACCTATTTTTCAGAAGAAAACACGGTATGCTTAGCGTCGCTTCTGTTGTATATGTGTTGGCTCTGTTGCATCGATGGTCTTACAGCTTATACTTGAAATGGAAACCACTACAATTCCCAAGAGATGAATAGAAAATACAGGGACTAGTATCAATGATGGTTTACTAATTCTCTAAAAACACGTCTAGAAAACAAATCATCAAAATTACGCCATCATCAAACTAAATGCACTCATTTATATACAGATTTTACATACATTTGATGATTAGTTAATTAACATCATAAAAATGAAAAGATATCCATGGTTACTTTGAAACATATACGAAGTTCACACAGTATAATTCCAAGAATATAATTGTCACACTTGATGAAAGTTCATACCTGTCACACTGAATGAAATTTATACTTAATTAGTACAAACATATTGACCTACAATAGTCTTACACTGGAAAACATAATCTTAATGTGGACATGCCACATTGATAATAAGAATTAAGTCATATAATGTTACATTGAGTCAGAGAAAACGTGAATTCGCCTTCTTATTTTGACTTATCAAAAAGATTATACATTGCGTCAGTCAGAAATCGACCAAAAAACAAATGAACATGATTAACCGACATATGAATTCTTAGGAATGAGACATACACTATCAGTGGCCCAATTTTCCAAGTATATCCACATGCTAATCAGGTAAATAAATAACTTTCATTCTGAGTTCTGTTCCTGGTAGGATAATGATTCCACACTATTGAAGAATTTCATATCTGAATGAAACAACTGGTCAATATTTTCTAAATTTTCATTGATTGTGTGATTTTCCTGTATGTTACATATGTTATAAGATATCAGTAGTATGTAACACCACCCAGAAATGGGATGCATGGCAACAAAAGATTGATAAGATCGAATTGAACAGAACAGGAATGTAAACAGTGAATAATTGTAATAACAACAGAATTCAAAGAATCATAAAGTATGTAAAGGACAACTCAAAGAAAGATGTTCAAATAATGTATTTAATGTATAGTTTTTAAGTTTTACGAAAGCATTGTATAATTTTGTACTAAACAATAAATTGGTTATTTCCACCAAGCTTTCGTTTACTGCATGACTATTGTTAATCCATTTGATAATAGTCGCCACAAACCTACTGTACTAAAGATATTTATCAATATTCATTCAATGATGATATTATAGTGTGAATTGAAATAATTATCTATTGTATGCTTCGTTTTCTGTTTTCTTTTCTTTGTTAACATCAATACATTATTATCATGTAGACAAAATTGAATTTTTTTCATTCATTGCCTGGATTCTCTACGAAACTACCAATACCTGAATCACATGTATTTTTAGTTTGGATTTCAATAAGACCTGACCTAGTAAGTTCAGTAATAATATTACATATTGAGATTTTCTTTTAAAGAGATTTTCTTTAGAAAATGTTCAGCTAGACAACAATCAATAACTACAAGGAACATAATATCTGTTTTGTTATAGTATGGAACTTCTCAGTATTTCATACTCTTTCTTTAGTCAGGGATTGAGCTTTTATTCTTCAGTGTTTGTAACGAGCGTATAATGTTTAGATTAATGAGTTAGAATCTAGTAGTCCTGATAAGTCTTTTACTTGAACGCCTAGATATTTACTTTATAACTATTTGTTATTCCTTAACAATTTGCAACTGATACCCCAACCGTAAACAGGTGGAAAGTATGAATAAAGCTTTGCTTCAATGGCTAGGTTATGCACAAGAGTTAAGCGTCGCTTAAAGATCGTCTATAAATTATAGTCTTGTTATAAGTCTTTGACTGTTTTCTGAAAAAGTCTTCAAAAGCTAGGAATATGGTAAAAACACTTCGACTGATCAGCGTTTTTTTAAATGTTGAAGATTATTCTAGAGGACCAGTTTTAAAATGTTTTCCAGATGTTTTAAGTTCTCACGTATTCTCATAAATACGCTTAACTTTTGTGGGTGAGACTATAATTTATGGACAACCTTTAAGCGACTATAAAATGACCTTGAGAGTGTCTACCTACTTACTAAGGCTAAATGAGGGTTATATACCTGTGTGAGGAATTAGAATTATGATTTACAGTTGATAGTTAGGGTTAGGAATTAGATATAGGGTTTTCTTCACGACCTGACATCAGCTATAATGCCAAGACTCTATTTAGCCAAATGGATAAATGAACTTCGCACCAAAATGGAAGACCTGTTATCGTAAATCTGATTAGTTCGTCCATAAATTATAGTTTCGCCGTCTAAATTTCTAACTTGAATCAATTTATGAAATTATTTTAAATATACATGTTTCATACACCTATTACTGAAGACATAATAAGCGACTTAAATCAGCTAAGGCGAAACCTGTCTACTCAAAACATAATTCGTTGCAAGTGTCAGTATAATTTAAAATATGCAGTGAATACTGTGAACACGGTGACAGACGTGTTAGTACGTGTTAGCACACTATCTTTGTCTGGCTATAAATATGGAGTCACACTTGATCAAATACAGCTGACTCGCTCACCTTCTCCGCGTCACTCCGTTTTCTATTTCTCCAACGACATTCTTCGCTTCGCTCTCTCCTCTTCGTTTTCTCCATTTCGTTCCTTTGGTTGTCTGTCCAGATCAATTAGTGTACGAAATATGTATATTAAAAAATTCATTCTGTTCTCTAACGTGAATTAGGTTGAGAATTATGTATGAGAGTAGCTGGGATGTATATTTCGATAATATCATCATACCACAATAAGGTCATTTGACCCGTCCCTCATTCTCCTCTCCCCCAAGTAAAATTTTGAACTAGCAATTAAGCTTCAGTTTTATGCACCATATTGGTGAATTGATTGTTATTTTGATTAAAATTTATCTGCATGGTATTTCATGTGTGTCTTTTATGTAGAATTTTAATGTATTCGCTAAGTGTTATTCTTCTACTTAAATCCTACATTTATTTAACACTAGTTCCACATCATATCAAAAGTTTTCGTAAATCATATAATGGCTCAACACATTACAGCAAATAATAATAAAGAATATTCTAGTAGATCATTTGAAGCTGAAAAGCATTTACGTATCGATGAATTGTTTCAACCACAAATTATGAAAAGAGTACAAAGGTTTTATTCAAATGAAAATGACTTCTCATCTTCAGTTATTTATTGTGAGTTGAATGTTCTTTTTTGTATCTATTATTGTCTGCTACAAGTCTAATCATTAGTTTTGAAATATACTATATTTTGTAAAATGGAATAAATAACTACAACCTAATTTCCATAACGCACTGATACCAATTGTAGAAGCAAAGTGAACCAGCGATTAATGGAACTGCGGTTGTATTTGGCCATGTTGCCGATCAGGGATGATCTAAAATGATCGTGGATAGTTAAGTTAGCTTACCCGGTGTTCATCTTGTTGTGTTAATGAGGTATGGCAACTTGGACCGATGCATAGATGTGTCTGGTCCTACGTTGTAGCTGACTGACTGACTAAAGTTAGCTTACAATCAGTCAAAATATAAACCTCTATGGAAGAGTTATATGAAATGTAAAGCCTGAAAAATCAAACATTACTTACAATTTCAAAATACAGAGACACTCACAAGCTCCTTGGTTATTAGTATATATCATTGTGCTTGATTGAAAACACTTTTTAATTCTAGGTGATAAGCTTTAGACCTTCTGATACTTCACTTTCTCAAAATATCATTTCTGAATATTTCTATTGTAAATCCAGAGAATATGATGCAATTAGATTAAAAAGTTACTTACCCAATCTGCTTTAAGTTTCTTTCTTTGTTATATTTTCATTTTCTTAGCAGCGTTTCGCATTATTTCAACAAAATTTCAATAAAAACGAATGAAACAATGATACACTAAATATATTTTGATAGTACTAATTCTGTTGCATTGTTAAAACTTGGCTAACATTTTTTGGGGTCTACACCGCTGGTTACAAAAGGGCTTCTAACTCAGTATATTACAAACACTATCACGTGTTTCAGAGTTAACTTGCAATGAGATAGATTTAGTCAGTCAGTCAGTCAGTAACAACGTAGAACTTCGTACGTACGTACATCAGTTCAAGTTGCCACACCACATTAGCACAGAGATGCAGTGGTCGATTCAAATCCCGTAGTGCTAGATGTAGTAAAATTATAAGCTGTAATAAGAAAAATTGGGGTTTGATGATGTTATTCAAGCAGTATAATCCAGTGAAATAAATTTGGGAAGAGAAAAAGAAAGTGGACATGAAGAATTCAGAAGATTAGAATTTGGGAAAACACAAAGAGTGGATGCACTGCGCCATTGCAAACGATTTTAAGCCATGTCACTCAAGGTCTCTAACCATCGGTTGCCATCATCTCGCGGATCTCAACAGGTAGTCTACATCTACCAACATGGCTCAGTCCACTTGTCAGTGACTTCATGGATAGACTAATTTTGATAGACCTTTTGTTCTTGGAATGAATAGCATCGGAAAACTGATCCATTATACATTTCTCTACACTTGTTCAATGTCGTTTCTTCGTCACAATCAAATAATACTATTCTTTGAAATAATCCAACATTTTAAAGACATTCAATAGTAGTGTTCTTATTAAGACTATAATCTATCAACGATTAACGCTCTATAACCCCAATTTCGAATCAAAATACTAACTGGTTTGATAGTATTATTTGATCTAATCTGGTTGGTCGTGATGGGTAAAATTCATCAATTCTAATAGTAATAGATGTCACTGATAAAACAGAATGACAGTCACTTAATATCGATTGTTTAGATGGATATATAAAGTGAGTTAGCGGATTAATTATTTGTGGCATAGTCAAGGCTATAATAAATTCAATATTTTAACAAATGAAATGAGATTTGTTTTGCCAAACTGTATTTTGTTACTTTTGGTAGAGAATTTTGATAGATATGGTGAATATCGAACTATATTGTTTGGTGATGATAGTTCAGTTCTTTTCTCACATTACACTTGTATGTATAAATTTTTGTACATTTCTTTCGACAGTAATCCTTCCAAACGAACTGAATGAATTCAAACATAAAGATTTCTTTGCTCATGATAAATCTGGAAAAGTAGTTGTTTCAAATGGATTAATAAATACATTGAATAAGATGGCGATATATTCAAATAGAACTTTGTTTCCTATTGACTGTGCAAATACTACTGATATCTCCTACTGGTTATCAGTATGTGGTAAGTAATATAATAATTAAGCGATTAAACTCAAGTTAGTAGGCTGGCTGTTATAGATTGAAAAGATAGTGAATGTTGAGAGTGGGATATTGTAGATCACCAGCGTAGATTATCTATATCGAATGATTAGGGACCTACTCGAGTTAGACGGGAATGGTATAACGAACCAGCTAACTTTGAAGTCACACATCGCAGTTAACATCTAACCTGAATTATCAAAGTACTATGGCTGCTTTGAAGACCGTATAGCACAAAGGACGTTATTATGGAAATATATTGGTAAGAATGAGTACAGAGAAGATAACGAGACCACCACCGCATGTGCCAGTCCATGGCATACCATTAACTGATGAGCGTTGGTTATCCTTGATCCTGACAGGGACCGATAATCTGTTCGATATTCAGTGACCCAACTGCCGGATGATTTGGCAAGGGCTCAGTGACATTTCACTGACCCTACAATACATTTCCGAGTGACTGATAGGCATTGTAATTTTCTTTAATATTTGAAATTCGATAACAATTTCCGGACATTGTGTGCATTCTAAACTACACCTGGAACCATCCTAAGGTTATGGCTAATCCCAAACCCGGGTAATAGGAGAAGGGTTGGGCATAGGATTAATAGCCTAATCCAGTAAGAAATGACCTTGCTAAGAAACGTTAACCCAAATATTCATTCGCATTCTAACAAAGTAAACAGTATCTCTAAAAATGAACAAAATGCATAAGACTTTTCATTAAAATGCTGTTAATTTTGACCAAGTTTAACCTGAGTAAAATGCATGTAATTCGACAGTATAAATTAGAAATTTGAAGATAATCATGACTGTATTGTAAGTGTGATAATTTAGTAAATAAGAAATAATCCATAAGAAATGGTATAATATTTTGAGGAAATCTTTCCTAATTTACATCATTTCAAATTATTTAGCACAAAATACAGTGTTCTTGTTATATCTAGAAGGTTGTTCTTGATATACCGCGTATAACGTGAACACTAGAACGCCAGAACCCTTCCAAGTCGCAATGAGAAAACAGAAGACTAACGAGGGGAATATTATTCCTAGACAGTGTCAATTATAGTACAAAACTGTCAGGTATTTATAATTTTTAGTAGGAACAAAATCATCATTACAGTCCACCAATCAGCATACAGGGGGTTATTAGCATTGTCCAATCGGGGAGCTACACGTAGGAACTCTAGAACATTCTTCCAAAAGGTGATTGAATGGAATATCTCCGGCTCCTTCCGAGCCTCCTACAGCTTCCTCGAGTTCACCCGTGGTTCGTAGTCACAGTAGTTATCTGACAAATAAATTAACTTTAATAAAAAGACATGATGAATTGAGTAATTGTGAGATTATAATTTATGGACGACCTTTGAGAAACACTAGACTGACCTTGAGAGTGTTCACCTAATAACTAGGACCAAATGAGTGTTATATACCTGTGTGCAGAATTAGAATTATGATTTACAATTGATGATTAAGGTTAGAAATTAGATTTAGGGTTTTCATTACAAACTGACATCAGCTATAATGCTAAAATTTTATTAAACCAAATGGATGAGGGTAATTTGTGCCAAAATCCCAAACCTGTTATCTTATACTTGATTAGTTCGTCCATAAATTATAGTCTCGCCTAAGTAATTATTAGTATGGTTGATTCACCTGTACAAAATGATAATTCATTAGTGAGAGTAATAACTCATTCATATGATTTTTAATGGAATTCATTATTAAACTATTCTGATTTTTCAGTTTTGATATAAATAAACCACTGGAGTTCAACCAGGTCTTTTGTGAGATAATAAGTCACTGAAGACAGTGGTGGATGTGTCGCTCAATTTCGTGGATTAGTTGAAGTTAGATATTAACACCGTTGGATGCCGGCTCAGTGGTCTAGTTGGTTAGGTGCCTGGTGTGAGACTGGTAGGTCCTGGGTTCGAATCTCGCGGGGTGTGGGATCGCGGATGCGCACTGCTGAGGAGTCCCACAATAGGACGAAACGGCCGTCCAGTGCTTCAGGGTTTTCCACGATGGTCTAGCTTCAACTGACTCATGATCCTAACCATTGAATTTACTGTAATATCCACAAAACCCATCTGATACTAAACTTAAATAAAATGTATTAAAAAGGAAACACATGAAGAGCATAGCATCAAAAAATCGATTTCTCTCCAAATCTATTTTGACACATTTGTATTAGGATGATTTTATAAAAAAAGACCATGTTCAAGATCGTTTAAGAATGAATACAACTAGGAAATTTAGAAGCTGAACTGAGAATAATAAAATGATTACTGGTTAACACAAAAACTAGACACAAAGTTTACTTATCGACTAGTTCAAATCGACACATAATGTAAATGATATCAAATCATTAACATTATTTGCTAAATTTCAGCTTTATTGGTAGTATTTGATCAATATTGAAGCCTAGATAAATATGAAATCGGTCATCATTAAATGTTTGGTCATTGGAGGTATCTCGATCCTACAGAATGCCCTGGTAGGGCCAAGGGTGGAGAGAGTCCACCCTCCCTCTCGAAATGCTCTCACATAACGATGCGTATACAGCTACTGTCAGGGAAGTCCTACTCACTGCCTTCTCGTGGCGGGGGTGTTGTTTACGAAATTGAGAGGATGAAAAGCGAATGTCCGGAGCTTTAACCGAGGTGGTGGATACGGAGGATCCACCTACGGGAGTTGGAAAACCCTGATTTCAAACCAATGGTGTACATGGGCTCCAGGATCCTTAGGAAACAAAAGACGTATGAACCTATTGTCGGTTACCGTCTACCATGAGACTGCATCTCCTGACGTCGCTCCAGTGCCTTGTGAATCAGACCTTTAGGTCAAAGGCTCCGGGTGTGGCCCCCTAAGAAAACCACCTGCTTCGGCCAGGACACCCGGTTAATATCACATCCCACACACAACTCAAGTGACTTGCATGGTGCATATGTATTCGGTGCTCCTTTGTACCAATATTTATGTGTTCAAATAAATAAATGAAATAAATGAATATCAGTAGCAATGCGAATAGCTTATTAGTAACATTTCAAACTGTGAAGCCTGATGATGTGAATCTAAATCCGACACGGTACATCATTTTCTTGAAGATTGAATATAAAATTTCATATCGAGTGTCAACTAGCATGAAACCTAGGCCCAGGGTTTACTGGCGATTACATTTAATTATTTCACATAAAGTATGTATCACTGACATAATTTATCATTGCAGTGTACCAAAGGATTCTAAAAATTATTATTATTATTATTATTATTATTAGCTTTATTCAATATTATATTATTGGTACAATATAGAATTCTCAGCACAAAGTATTTCAACAAGTTTCCGTTTCTTTCTTCTTGGTCGGTCCTCGCGATAAATACTGAGTGATCGCCAGCTAGATGTTAACAGTCCAGTAAATGAATATCTGAATAATGTACATTCCTTTCGTTGTATATTGCCAGCAACAATATTCTCTCTTTTTGAGCTTTTTGTAACTTTGACAACGAAAGGTTGTACACTTTTCAGAAACGCAGCAGAATAGGTTGTGCGATTAATAGACATAATGATATATTAAAACAAACAAAGATAGATAACTTGTCGAAATATCTAGATGGCAGGAACAGGTAGCCCAGATGCTCAAGCAGGCCGCCTTGATAAATCACTTGAGATCAGTGTTGTATTTATTTCGTTTTTATTCACTTCCAAAATGAATTAACCCTTCTTCACTTGCTTTATGTCCTCATATATATATATAAATTTTGAATTATTGTTTTCTGGTTAGCGGTTTTTTTGGCGAGTTAGTTTTCTACAGGATGGGGTCGTTAAACCCATGTCCAACCCTACTCCTTTATTCGAGCATGGGACCGGCAAAAGCTCTAAAGGGGCTCCAGGCGGGTTATTTAAATTTTACTGTTTCTTTAAAGATTTAACGTTGAGCATTGAAATATTTACACAAACATGTAAATATATTTTTATTGAATATAATTTTTTTCTTTATTTATTCAGGATCCAATACAAATATACTTCCATATCAAAGAGTTTTAATTGTTCTTCAAAATGTACACATTATTCACAAGAGAATGGATATACTATTAGATGAATTATTACAATATGGTCTTTATAATTTAAGGTATAAACAAATTTATCATTTACAGAATCAAGAAAAGCTTATATTAATCAATAAACTTGGAATATGTTTTGATATTATAATTGATTTCACATGTTGTACATCCGGAAAACAAATAGTATCCGTGTATAATAGATTACCGGGTAAGTTATAATTTATAATATTTAACAATTGAAATAGGAAAATCAAGGTTTGTAGGTATGGTTGATTTCGAAGTGAGTTCTAGGAGGAACCCATCATTGTTAATATTAAAATTATAACAAGAATGAAATCAATATCACCGATGATAGTGGCATTATCATTTTAATGAATTAAATTTTGGACGTATACGGTATAGGAATGTGATTTAATGATCTGAAATAATCGTAATCATCTAACGATGTGATCATTCTAGTTTCGATCCAGTTTAGGGCTGAAAGTGTATGTAAAAAGTATTTTAACAGTAGTTAGCTGCCATCAATTACGACCAATCAGGCTTTCAGGACAGTTGTTTTCATTGCCTAACATATTTAATATATAAATACTTATTGAGTTTTTGCAGACATAAGTTGTGGACCTTTTAATGAAAGCACCGTAGTTTATAGTTTGGAAGACTGATGTTATTCTAACCCGATGAGAACAATGAATGGTAACTTTTGGGATCCATTTATGGACCAATACTATACGTATATTTTCATCGTATAATTGTTAAGTAAATAAACTATATTTGTGTTCCTCTTGTCATAAGCTTTATTCTCACCTATGAACTATTATTATACGATTTACCATTCTTGAGTTATGCCCAGTCTATTAATTATTATCAATTACTATCTCCCACATTCACAGCCACATTTGGCTAGATCTTGTATAGATGTTATTTTCTATTTTATGTTACGATGTGGCCTGTCTGGTTTGCATATAACCCCAGTATGTTTGAAATAAATGATTAATATTGCAGGAGCTGAGATTGGTGTTGTGGACTTGACAGGCAAGCAGGCTGGGTTATGCAGGAAGCAGGAGTGATAAGGACTCTAGATTGTTCGTACGAGTTTTATGCGTCATTGATCCGATCGATAATTCACTGTTCTCTAATTGACAGTACCATCACGTTATACATTAACAGGCCACAAGTTATAACAGATGTATGACTAGTGACAATAAATTTAAGTGTCCACTGAACGTGGACAAATATATGAGTTCCTTTCCCACCATTGATTTCTACTCTGAATTTCACTAATTGTGACTGCTTTTAAATTGTATTGAATCAAGTATTGGCTAGTGTATATTCTGGTTCTCTTTATTTGGTCACGAATCTTATATCTAGTTTAATGGGATCCATTTTGTATATAGACTATTAATCAAGTTTCCCATTTTGTGGTAGCGAAATCCCAGTCACTGATTGGATTATCGTATTTTAATAATATTATCGTCAAAACGAGATATTATTTCCATTTGTCCATTATATCAAAGACATAATTAGCAGATTAAAATGTTTAAAACAGGGAATTGTATGACAGTGAATGTATTTTCGGAAAAAACAGTGGCCTGAAAGTTTCAGTAGGTCAACAGTTTCCCTTATATCTGTTTAGTGCTTATTAGTTTTTTTCTCCATATCTCTCTAGTTTAGTTGATATCAGTGGCTGTGAACGTGGGAGACTATAATCAATAAACTGAACATAGCTTAAGAACAGTAAATCGTACCAGAATAATCTATAAGTCAAAATGAAGCTTATAATAATGGGAATATAGATATGCATAATCTAATTACTGAATAGTTGTACCATAAGAATATGTGGATAACATTAGTCCATTAATATGTCTCAGAAGTTACCCATCATCTAATCTTCGCTAGGATATAACAATCATCAAATTCGGCAACCATAGTTCTTCTTTTAAATTATTTAGGTTTTTGAGAGAGAAAAACTCAATCTATCTTCTTTTAAAGTAATAAATCATCGTTTCGTTTATTTCTGCCTAGGTTGGTTAAGATTAAAATGTCTACCGTTGTTATTCCAATATGAGAGTGATCAGTTGTTATTTACTACGAGTTCGTGGAAAGTGGTAAGAACATCAGTAATTGATGTAATTTTAGTATTGAGTAGTTAATATTTTAGTATGATAGTTATGTATAGTTTTTGAAGCTTATAATCACCATTAACCTAAATCAGTTGGATAATTATTAAAATTCAAGGAGTGTTGAGAAATTGCTTTATTCGAGTTTGACAATTGTTCAGTTATGTGTACTTATAACCCCACATATATTAAAAGATAAAAAGATCAAGCTTTCTGGACAAGAGCGATCTTGCGTATCTACTTAATCGGAACTCAGTGTTCAGATATCTTAAAACTAATCTCTTCGCGATATATTTAGTAATATCAGTGAATTTCTGTTTGACTATGGAGTTGATTAGCTCTACCGGTTATGGTTTACTACTCGATATGTTCATTGCTCTTTGATTTTCAGTAGTTTCAGTTTGGAATCGAAATTACTTGTGGAATATTTCCACATTTGTACATATACTAGTAATTAGCTTCGAAATAGTCTAACTACAGTTTTAATATATAAATTTAAGTAGACTAATATACGAATATGTAAGGTATATTAGCACTATAAGTACGAAAAGTTTGTAAGTTAATTGGTCTCATAAAGAGATTCATGAAAGTACGTCATCGGGACCGCACTTATGACTAAATGTATTGGCAACATGACATGGTGATAGCACAATAAATCCCGTATATTGCTACAAAATGAATAAAGTAAAGATAGAATATTAGCCTATTACAACTATTGAGGCCTCGACGAGAGAAAAACTAAATGAACAATCCTAATTTCACGTAATGGTTTGTCGAATAAGGGGACAAAGATGAGCTTTTACAGGATATATACTACTTCGAGAAAATGTAAATACTATTACACAACAGGTCTTGTACACAAAATGAATAGACGATTTAGACTAATAAATAATACAGTGACAATTTAAGTTAGAGTAAGGATAGGAGAGAACAGAATATGTCATACGTGTCCATTATAGTGTCCTGATGCGAACGAAACTGGAAATTCGGCTACTTAAATCAGATCCTTGAATATTTCAAATGATGTCACAATTATAGCTGAGGGAAGAACAAAGTCTAGATTTCCATGTGCTTTAGTTGAGTTGTAATGTGTTAACGAATTACCAATCTTAGATTTTGATGGTATTTCTCATGTTTTTGAGATTACTGACTGATGTAAGTTATACCAACATTGACAACTCAAAAACACCGAATGACCAGGTTTTTCCATCATGGGACTCTTCAGCAGTGCTCATTTTCGTCCCTACCACGGTAATCGAACCCAACACCTACAGATCTCCCGTGCGAACGTTATTGTACTATTGGGACACTAAAAATATATTACTTATTCATAACAATCTACCTAATCCTCAGCTTATTTGAATTTTTTATTCAGATCATGAACCGACTGATGTTAAACCACCGTTGGAAACCTGGAAGCACTGGACAGCCGTTTCGTCCCATTGTTGGACTCCTCAGCAGTGCGCATCTACGATCCCGCCAGCGAGATTCAAACCCAGGGCCTTCACCCTTGTGCACGAACGCCTAGCCAGATGCGCACTGCTGAAGAGTCCCACAATAGAACGAAACGGCCGTCCAGTGCTTCCAGGTTTCCAACGGTGGTTTGACATAAATCGGTTCATGATCTCAATCAAAAACTTAATAATCTTCACAACTCCCATACTGATTATTTGAAATTATCAAGTCAAACTGTAATAATGACACCTACAAGCCCATTAACAGTAGTATTGTTATTTATACGTAATTGGTTTTACTACTTTACAACTCAGACCTCATTGGTAAATAAAAAAGAAAAGCCGATTTGCTATCCACAGGAAAATGTCAATGACTCTATAAACGAAGAAAATTCACAGTTGTGTTTAGAAGAGTCTGATGGATTATATGAGAAAATTGAATCTGTGTAAGTTACCAAAATCTCTTCATTATTTCCAAGAAGACTAATGTGTTCATATGTTGAATATTTCTCGTGCTATGTTTACATGAGTTATTCAAAAGAAGCATTCATACATTTTATATTACCCTGTAATGAGAAACGAAATCAAATTTAAAGTGTTCTGTATTAACTTCCCTTCTTAACATTCATCATATGCTCACAAGTAACTGGTTTTGAGATGAGTTCTTTAAGTCTTAATGAAATATCACACATTTAACCATGTCGGTATTAGGGCAATTATCAATCAGTCGTATTGAACCAAGTTGCACTGTATTATGTATCGCTCGAAAGCTGGATATTTTGAACAGTACATTCCTTATCAAGGGTTTAAAGATAACAATATTGGAATGTTGTATGTTCAATTCCTAGGGGGTCTTGGATATGCACTGTTAAAATGTTTTATGCTAGAACGAGAGAGTAGTTCAATTCTCTGGTTTTCAGTAGTTCTCCATTTCATATCAATTCATGAAGAAATCTAATTTTCAATTAAACGAATCATTAAAAGCTTTTCAAACCAAGCATCCATGTTCGATTCTTTGTTGGCAGTGATTTCTGTAGAAGTCATATATATATAGTTTTTGATGTATTCACTATATGATGGTGGAATTTATACCAGAAAGCTTATGAAACATGAATCCATCAGTTTAATTCTTATACAAAATGTCGTTGACTATGATTTCTCGATCATTCTCGGAATTTTCGTTGATAAAATCTGTTGATTAGAAAGTCCAGATTTCTGCAGCCAGGCTTAATGAGTTATAAGATAAGTTAATTATAATTTCATGCTCATCTTTTACATGATAATCGTGAACAATATTCGGTAGTTGAGACGGAACTGGTATCTATATGATAGTCAGGTTTTATAGCTTATTTCACATCTCAAAAATCATTGGTCGGAGTTTATTTTTGGTTAAGCTCGTTTCATCTTAAATACATCACCTATGTGGATAAAACTGATAAAATTTATGAAGAATCAGAAGTTTTGAGTAAGTCATAATATAAGACACTCTCCATTTCTTCTGTTTATCTTTACAAAATGTCAAATAATATCAATATATTTCACACATACAAAATGAGTAATATGTATTTGAATACCACCATCTCAATACTTTTCTTTGTCTAATTTTGCAAAGATCTAATAATCGGTACATAAATCAATGATAACTGAAAAGTTCTTAACAAACGATTGATATATCTACTGAATGTCTCAAAGGAATATATAAGAAGATTCTTTTCTTTCATTGAGTTGAACCTTCTTGTCTGGTGACATAAAACCTCTGGTAAAAATTAAGCAAATACTGTGATTTTCTTCAAAATTAAGTCAGAATTTCCTATACATATTGGGTAATCGGAGTCAACCGACAAGATATCTGAGATTTAAATTTCATGTTAATCTCAGTGAAACTGTTATTCTTTTAAACTTACATCACCATGTACCCATCATCAAAAGTGTCAGTCTTGTAGATAGACCCACGTAGTTAATCTTAATTGACAGGAATTATCTCTACTTATTTCAAACCATCTAATACCAAAAAAATCACACTTTAATTCGAGTCATTTGGATTAATTACCACATTGAGCCTTTGTCGCGATAGATAGATAGATAATTCAATCAATACCACTGATTACACAATAAAAATATGGGTTGTTACCGATTGATCAGTCTGTATCTATTTATTCATGTAACAATAATGTCTATTTTATGTTTCTTGTTTTGTCAGCAAACTTTACGAATGTATATACAACAAACAAGACATGGATAAACGAAAACAATCGATAGATACAATTTGGGCTACGATTGAGAAAGAATTAATGTGAGAATACGAAAAATAATCGTTAAGAGCTTATACTGTGTTACTATATTCTGGAAATTATTTTAAACCTTTAAAATTAGTATAATTCTTTCAATTTTAGTTTACATAACGCACTAACTTTAGCAAGATAGTTATTGAATTATTTATTTATTTAAACACATAAACATTGGTACAAGGAGGCACCAAACAGATATGCGCCACATAAATCATTCGATTTGTGTGAGGGCTGTGATACTCCCCGGGTTCCCGGACAAAAGCAGGTGGGTTTCTTAGGAGGCCACACCCCGAGCCTTGGACCTAAGGTCTGATCCACAAGTCAGTGGAGCATCGTGAGGAGATACAGTCCCATGGTAGTCGGTGACCAACAATTGATTCATACACCATTTGTTTCCCCAGGATACTGGAGCCCATGTGCACCATTGGTTTGGAATCCGGTTAAAGCGCCGAACATTCGCTTTTCGTCCTCTCATTTTCGTAAACAACACCCCCGCCAGGAGAAGGCAGTGAGTAGGACTTCCCTGGCAGAGGCTGTATACGCGTGGCCATGTGAGAGTATTTCGAGAGGGAGGGCGGGCGGGCCCACTCCACTCTCGGTCATACCAGGGCATTTGGGGGCAGATAGTTATTGAAAAGTGAAAAAGTAGAAAGGACTGGTTAAACGAAGTTTTTTCATCCTAGTACAGGACTCCTTAACAATGATCAACCATCATCTAAATAGAGGTCATATGTAAAACCTTCGTTCAGGTCTCACAGCTTGTGCTTAACTTTCAGATCGTTGAATTGACATCCAATGATTTATATCTCAAATTAACACACGATTTTGTGGAATCATTATCCGTTTGGCTTGACGAAATCTTTCTCAAAGTTGGCATGGCTGAACTCTACTAGTTACAGCTGTTCATCAAAATTCGGCAGTCATCTCTGAAAGTTGGCCATTAGTAACGACGTGATTATTACTAATAAAGGGGATTTTGTAAAGATTGTTGAATTTTGTAATTTATATTAAGGACTGACTCTAGGAAAACAGTATCAACTATACATAAGTTGATATAAAAAATTACTACTGTTTGTTATTGAAATAATATCTACAGAGTAATAATTACTTAGTAAACACTTTTAACGAAATATTCATGGTGAAAAATAGTAGTATATGCCTGAATTAGTAGTACATTACACTAAGTTTCTTTATATGGTAGCTAAACGTTAGGTAATTGAAGGCGTTTAACAAGAAGCCCTGAATTTTAACTACATCACTAAAGGTATAACTATAATCTTCAAGAAGATGATGCTCACCTATAAGATTTAAATCGGTATCTCATTCAGAGAGATGATATTATCAACACACTATAACATTGAGCTTGATGATAGATCTTAATTTTTTTTACTGAAAACTCGTGAGTAAATAACGCAGTTAACCGACATAGTGTAATGGTTGAGATAAATTCGAAAAGGTGAAACAATATGGTATTAGTTGAACAGGAGAAATGTAATATACTACTGAAATTAAAACATATTGCATGGTAGTTGTTTCTGAGCACATTTAAACTATACTTTTTGTATTATTTACATGATATCATGGTGGTGTTCAATACATTTTTTAAAGGGGAGATCATATTTCGTATAGCCATATTTAAACAAAACTATAAAATCCTTGATATGGATATACAATCATTTCAATGAAATGAACCTTCTACTTAATTGACTGAATATAATGTTATAGATTCTTGAAAATTTGTATATACTTTGTTGAAAACTCATTATCATCACTAAACTTGATGCGTATTACTAAACAATTTTGTCTGAATTTTATATTGAATAATCTAGTTAGGTGGTATTCATTAAAAGCACCAATAAAACCATCTTGGTTTATAAATATTAATTAAATAGTTAATAGTATGGTGTATGCTACTTATGTCGATATAAGTAGTACATAACAGTAGTCAGAAATGGAATGCGTGGTAACAAAAGGTTGAGAAGATAGAATCAAATAGAACAGGAATAGAGAGTAATTGTTGTGACAATGGAAAAACGATGAAGTTTGAGATAGTTGGTGAAAGATTTGTAAATGAATGGTTGAATATATGGTTTTCATATTTTATCAATAGAACTTTGTAATTATGTATTAGAGATACATTTGATTGTCCCCACCTAAATCTTCGTTTATTACAGTAAGATAGGTGTATTTTTATGTCCTAGAATTGCAATTTATAGTACGTAAACTGGTAAAATTGTACATACATTTTTAAAATAAAAAATGAATCAATCTTATTGTTAATTCTATCGAAGCGTCCAAGTAACCCCGATTGAGATACGCGCAAATCGAAGTTCCAAAACAACAATTTGTCTACAAAAAGCGGTTCTTTATTAAATAATACACAAAATTTAGTTACAAACCTCAACTTGTGAGGTGTCTAGGCGTTTAAACGCGTCGTTCAAGAATGAAAATAGCAAAGGCTTCCTGTAAGAGTAACATAAAGAATGATTACAACATATGATAGTCCAAAAACAGCCGATAGCTGTGTCTAAATTTGATAACAGTTTTTATGAACAACCGAAACTCGAACCAAGAGCAAACAATATGGAAACTGTTGCGTTTACAAATGCATAAAACTGTGGATAACCGTTACAGCAATTAAATTACAGTGATTATAATGATAAATACAATGATAAGTAAAATAAACGTTAAAGATATATGTGAACATTTCAGAATGTTACAGTACAACCTGAGTTACAACATGATTGTGAAAATTGTTGGGCATACAACTGCTTACTGAATATAAATAAGTAGTATAAACCAACATACAAAAGAGTAGGAAAGGAATGAGCAGGAACAATGTAAAACAAACTTAACACTTATATTGTTTGTTACTTTTATTCGTATCGGTGTTAGGATACTTGAAACAACCTTCAAAGAATTGGAATCACGTTATTTATCATCATCATCATCATCACCATCATCGGCATCAGCATCATCATCATCATTGTCCATTAAAAATACTTCACCTATATTTTTGTTGACAACTCAGTATTACGCATATTTACGATTTATAAAATATTATCATCATTATACCAGAAAATATCCATCAAACAATTACAAATTATTTATATGGTTAAAACATCAATTATTAATTGCAAAACACTTTTATCAATTAATGAATTCATGGGATATAAAGAAATTAATTGGTTTAACATTACCAGCTTCAATTATTGTAAATCCTCAATCATTATTTGATTGGATTCTATATTCTACATTAAATAATTCAATGGAGCAATATCATATAATATCTACTGTAAGTTATGAGAAAAGTAACATAATTCACGGCAACTATTTTTTTCTTTTTAGATTAGGGTTAATAACACTCTTTAAAAGAGTAAACTAACATAGAGATTAATCATCGTATAGAATAAGTAGAATATTATCTCAAGTTGATAGATTATATGTAGTGGATAGTTTTTCATCCACGGTATTGAGTTTAATTACATATAATCTATGAACCATAATGTGGTAAATTTTAAAAGATTAATATTTGTAGGTTGCATTCATTATAGATTAATTTCTGTCGAGGTACCATTGAAAACTTAAGGTGACTAGGAATCTGTTTGTTTGTTTTTCAGTACAAGACTCACAACTGGATTGAGGATTGGACCCAGGAGTCTTATGCTAAATAGTTTGTCACTGGGTCGATCTCCACTTGTATAAACTTACTTTCAACTAGTTTAAGATATAGCTTAACGATCATCTGATACCACTAATCACAATTGTTTCATTCACGATATATCTGAACTCCATCAGTCACTATTTCTAAATGGAATTTTTAAAGCGTTTTAAGTGAATTAACTAGTGAGCTAACTATTTTAGTTCAGTTAAGCTTGTGCAGATCAGTTTGACCTACGGGTTATATTTATCGTTTGTGTAGTCCCTTGTGGGGTTGTGGATAAACAATGTTGAAGAGTCACATAGTGGGACGAAACACCTTTCCAGTGATTCCTGGTTTTCAATGATACCTCACTTGAGATTAATCTGTGGCAGATAAAACCTACATATTAAAGCCATCTCCACAAAATTCTTTGAACTAGACTTTTATTTGTGTTTAACCAATACAGATATGTTATATTGCTGTTATTCAAAATAGATTAGATATTACATGGGCATCAGAAGAAAAGTCACACAAAATAGTTTAACAGAATTATACAGACAGCAATCCAGAAAAAAATTAACTCGAATGAGTTTTATTCACAATACTCTTTCTAGTCATACCTGAAATAAAAGCATAGCCTATAAAACTTAATCCATGGAGTTGAGATGCACATACCATTTGTCAATGATTCCAAGACATAATATCATAAACAGGCCACTAAGTTACTTTATCTTAAACAAAGCAAGAACGACAACATTTCCAGAATAAGCTGAATTCATTGTATTGTACAGATTTCTGTTCAAACACATACAAACTAATTTGTTTCATTATTTCCGATTATCATAACAATCCAAATACTTAATGAAACAAAATGAATAAAGGGTTACTTAAATACATAATCTAATGTATTAAAATGATTTTATACGCTGACCTGTATTATATTCATGTAGAGGTAGAATACCAGTCGAATATTCATATTTTCTACACCTGTCAGCATTAGAAGATAGTATTCTTCGCTATAACAGAAACGTTGTAACTGCTCTCAAGAAAATCCGCAATCATACACAACAAATCATATTTGTATGTGAAACAGTAAATTGTTAGGATATGACTATATAGCAAATACGAATTAATCGTCTTATAATAGCCCGATATTCTTACTTCAAAATAATGTATTCACACCTTTAGACTATTTGCCTTCGTTTATTTATGTTAAGGGACAGAATTTTTAGCAGTATTAACCCTGATGAGTTCCATATAAAGACGAAACAGATGTTTAGTGTCTAACTCACGTCAATTCGTGATCTCAATAGTATCAAGCTTTGTTGTAAGAAATAAAATGTTTTCAAACAATTCCTACCTATTTTTCGTTCTAATTAACTGACTAGTACTTGCTATCACTTAACACTTGAACAACAAAACTGTACAAAGTTGATAATAAAATGAAACTATAGCCCCCCCCCCTATATATATATAAACACACTTATATGTATTCTTCCTGTCATAATCATTCCTTAGATTCGAAAGCCAGGAGACAAAGAAATATTTAAAAATGGATTAATTATCACTTCTATTCGTTTAATAATTCATAGAAATACTAAAAAGCGTATTCATAATCAAACGGAGTATAATTTAAGTAGTCTATTAAAAATTACTAAAGTAATTAGTTTACAATTAACAACTGTATCTAATGAAATATTCAACAAAATGAATTATATCAATGCTAAATGGATTAAATCATGGCCTCCTAATAAAGATGAAATATGTCCAAAACTACCTATATTATTAACAAATTATAATGAATTATCAAAGATTTACATTATAACTGATTACAATTTGTAAACTTTTGATTAGATAATATTAATAAACCATTTTAAAAAAAATATATATTTCCTTACAGTGTGCTTTTAATTCCTTTCTAGTATAGTTCTTGGGTAAGAATAAGTTAATAGTGCTATTTATGTAGTTTTTAGTTGATTCTATAGAATATATAGAACAGAAAAATGAGAATGATTAATCTCGTACTATCGACTCACTTCCACATCCAAATAATATTGAGTCTGACTGATTACATATAGTCTGTCTAATAAATACGTGAACTACTGGGATAACAGGTCAATATTAAAGATTATTGAAACTTGAAAAACCCTCAGGAAACGTATGACATCTCCTGTGTTGGAAATATCGAAAGCGTATGGTTTCCTATGCTTTATGATTGACAATGCACTATCCGGATGATTATTGATTAATCGAATTTAGAACGATAAGATGATAACAGCGAGATAGCTGACGAAGTCGATTTCTAGGGACTTCGATGAATTTTTGGAACAATGGGAAAGGAAATGAGACTAATTTATTGCCACAAATAAATCAATCCCCATTCAAGTTGATCTGTGCTTCGTGATTTTGCCCTTCACATTACATCGGAATTCAAAAGTATGAGCCTAATATTTTTGTCTATAAAACTTTTATATAAACTCCCATTTTATTCCATTCAATTAATATGGTTTCCTTATGTGTTACGCTTATGTAATCAGCTGTCAATAACAAACTAATAAACTAATTTTCTCATTCACTACATCTCAACATTGTCAGTGTGAGGTTGTGGAGATCGTAGAACTTCATAGTTTAACTCACATATCAACCTAGGCTGGACTACCACTGAAAGCCTGAAAGTGCAGAAAAGCCGTCTCATCCTTGTATGGAGCTTCTCAGCGGTGTCTATCCATGTCCCCGAACGCAGAGAGCGGACCCAAGACCTCCGACCTAAAGAGAAGCCGAGACCAGTGGAGCTTAACCATGTCGGTTGTGAGGCAACTACCCACCGAGAACAATGAAAGATCGTACAATAACGCGGGTTGAATTTAGAGGTTGGGCCCTGGGCTCGATCCCCATGTGCGGGGATGTAGATCCGCACTGCTGTGGGGTCCCATGCTAGAAAGAAACGAACACCATAGCTCCATGTTTTTAATTGAGGTCTAACTAACATGGCTTCATGATTTCACTGAAGCGATAATTCTGTTGGTCACTATCTTTGTAAAAACATTCCGTCGATTTGGACATGTTTTATGAATGCCATCCCAGAGACTGATGTATTTCACATTGTTTGCTGATTCTGCAACTACGTCGAAAGGGCAGAGGTGGTCACCTTGATGATATAGAACCGGAGTACTAGGAGTAACTGTTTAGAATTAGGATCTATCAGTCCGTCACGACTCCCCAGTCGAGGTCCAATCTTAGCGGCTGAAAACGTCAATCAGTCAGTCAGTCAGCTACAACGTAGGACCAGGCACATATGTGCATCGGTCCAGGTTGCCATACCGCATCAGCACAACAAGATGAACACCGGATTCATAGCAGTGGTTAGGTCAAAGGTAGTAATATATAAGAGAAAGATTGCATATAGAGATATAGTACAAGAAGAAAGAAATGGTTCGTAGAAAGAAAGATATGAAGTGATTTTAATCTCTTAGTTTAAGGGAAGACAGGGAGTGTATACACCGACGCCATTGTGATCGATTCTGAGCCATGTCAAACACAGTCTCAAACCATTGGTTACGATAGTCACGCGGACCCCAACCAAGTAGTCTGCATCTACCAACATGGCTCAGACTAGAAGTTAGTGACTTCAAGCACTGATGCCACGTTTTGGTTTGGCCGCCCCTAACTTTCTTCCAACCAACCCCTACACCGGTTAGCATTGCACGTCGTGGTAATCGGTGTTCAGGCATACGTAACACGTGGCCTAACCATCTCAGTCGATGAAGATTCATAACCTCATCAACTGATTTACCATCATTCCCTAATACCCTGCGTCTGACCTCACTATTACTTACCCGGTGATCCCAGCAGACGCCAGCAATATTTCTAAGGCATCTGTGGTCAAATACTAATAGCTTACGAGTATCTTCTACTCTTAATGGCCATGTTTCGCTGCCGTAAATTAAAACAGAACGGACTGCCGCGCAGTATACTCGTCCTTTTATTGATAGACGGATATCTCGCCTTCGCCATAGGTGACGTAAGTTGGCAAAAGCCAAGCGAGCTTTCCGAATCCGTGCTGAGATTTCGTCCGATACCAACCCATTAGGGCTGATCAGACTTCCAAGATAAGTGAAGTTCCCAACACGTTCGACTACTTCACTCCCTATCCTTAGTTCAGGTGTTAACGCAGACCAGTCCTGAAGCAATAACTTGCATTTAGAGGGAGAGAAGCGCATTCCAAACATCCTGGCATTGTTGCTCAGTGCTACCAGAAGACTCTGCATTTTGTCAGCGTCTTCACCAAACAGGACTATGTCATCTGCGTATTCTAATTCGATAAGTGGACCTCCTCGTAGGAGATCAATACCCGAGAATTCAGTCGACGAGAATGTTATTTCCATCAATAAGTCTATGATGAAGTTAAACAAAAATGGGGAAAGTGGACAGCCTTGACGGACACCACTTGAGGTTGCAAAAGTAGATGACAGTTCGCCATAAGCTCTGACTCGACTAGTAGTGTTCGAGTAAAGAGCTTTTACAAGGTTTATGTACTTCTGAGGTACGCCTTTCAATGACAGACACTGCCACAGAATCTCGCGGTCTACCGAGTCAAATGTTGCCTTTAAGTCGAGAAAGACCACCATTGTCGGACGCCGATAAGTATGCCTGTGTTCTAGATTCTGACGAATGGTGAATATGTGGTCGATGCAGCCACGACCAGGTCTGAAGCCAGCCTGATTTTCTCGTGTTTGCAGTTCACGAGTCTTAGTTAGGCGTCTGATAATTATCGAGGCTAGTATTTTAGATACTATATTAGTTAAACTAATCCCTCTGTGGTTGTCACAGGATGATTTTGACCCTTTCTTATATATTGGGACGATAAGTGATTGTGACCAGTTAGATGGAATAACGTCTAACTCCCAGATTTCAGCTAAAATATTAGTCAACCTAATCGCTAAAATTGGACCACCATCCTTAAAGACCTCTGGAGCCAATCCATCTGGACCAGCTGCCCTTCCTCGTTTCAGATTAACTATAGCCTTTTGAACTTCAGCAAGAGTTGGGGGACCTACTTTAATGTTCCATTCACACTGTCTGGGAATGGAGGGTAGTTGTAGAGTAGCTGAAGGCCAGCTGAACTGTTCTCTGAAATGTTCCGCCCATCGTTCTAAACGTCTGGACTGGGAGCAGAGGAATGTATCGTCTTTTTCCGAAATAATCTCACTTACACTTGACTTATTAATTCCAGTTTCTTTTATTAGTCTGTAAAGCTGTCTTGTGTTCCCTATAGTCACCGCCTTTTCCATCTCTTTTGCTTTCATTGCCCACCACTGCTCACGGTCGTTTCTTAGACTTTTTCTTAACCTAGATCTGATTTGTTGTCGCTCTTCCTCATGTTCGGAACCTGATGGGACGAGTTTGCGAGAATCCATCAGTGTGATAGACTTTGAAGAAATCCACTGGTTCTTTGTAACTCTGTGGTTTAAGTCACTAATAGATGTCACTGCTGTTTCCATAGCTGCTTGCATATCTTTCCAAGCAACATCTGGGTCAGCCTCGTCTTCAGAACTACCTAATCGTGACCTCAGTTGTTCATGGAACCTACTTTTGGTTTCCTCGGTACTCAGTTCGGTTCTAATGGGTCTTTTTACTGTGGCTTTTTTGCGTCCAGTGAGGCGCAAGCAGATGCGTGCCCGTATTAGGGCGTGGTCGGAGTCCAAGCAGGTACTCCAGAATGAGCGATAATCTTCTACCGACCCTCTCCAACGATGACTGATGGCAATATGGTCTATTTGAGTCCATCGTTGGCTTGGTGCAGGCGGTCGCCACGTTAGACGATGTCTCTCCTTATGCTTAAAATTTGTGTTTGCTAAAAATAAGCGATTATCTGAGCATAGTTGCAGCAGACGATCACCATTATCTGTTCGCTGTGCCGGAATACTAAAATATCCACCTAAATGCCTTTCTGTTTGGTTTAAGCTACCTATCTGAGCATTAAAATCACCTGCTACGAGTACTATGTCTGAGCGTTTAGCTTTCTGAAGAAGTTCAGAAAGCTTTCTGTAAAATTCATCTTTCACATCGTCTGAGCTGCAGTCAGTGGGAGCGTAGGCAGAAACGACGAAAAGGCAACGACGTGTGTCCCTATCCTTCCGAGTTCTTACGGAGCCGTTTAGCCGAACACCACATAGACGACTGTTGACGGGGATCCACTCTAGCAGTGCTTGTTCGGCCCTCATGCTTAGTGCTATGCCTACACCTGCCAGTCCACGAGAACTGGCCATCGGGTCACCAGATACACGTAGGGTGTATCTCGTTGGCTCTCCGTTTTGCCGAGGTGAGGTCAAGTGAATGACCACACTGGAATCCTGTATGCGTGTTTCGGAGACACAGCATACATCAATGGAAAGAGACTCTAGGGTTTTAGCCAAGGAAGCCTGCTGACCGATTTGACATAGAGTGCGTACGTTGAAAGCTCCAATGTGTAGTTTGGAGCGAGGTTTCAGTAGACCTGGGACAGAGTTTTGAGCACTAGAATCGTTGGCTATGGTGACACTTGAGGAGGAAGCCGAAAGAGGAAGTTTAGGGTTGAAAGTCGATGTAGGAGGAATAATAGGAATTGAAGAGGAAGGTTGATTATGAATACGGTGGTCTTGGGTGCTGTTAGAGGTATGAGGGCGGTTATCACTTCCCGGTTGCCCACACCGTGGAAGGGTTCTTCTGGAGGTACCTGAAAAGGAAATTGGGTTAGAGGCGGTCCCAGTGACCTGAGAGCGTGACCGCAGTGCCCAAGGGACAACTGCTTGAGGCCGGTCGCGCACGGCCTTTTCGTGGGAGGTTTTTGACGTGTTAGCTCCGTTCTTCAAAGGGCCTTACCGCCGGAGACGGAAATCCGTGAGGTAAGGTGAGGTGCGCATTTTTAGGGTCGACCTTTTCTAACCCCACCCCTCCTTGTGGGAAGACATCATCGCTGTCATGCTGGTTGTCTGAAGGAAACACCTTACTGCTGTCACACCTCTAAACAGTCAGCAGTACGACTTTGCCTTCGGACCCTGGGTTTGTTGCTTTTAGTCTTACCGCTCTTTAACCGACCTGTCTGACATGGTAGGACCTTGAGGAACGGTTGTTCCAGCCAGTATAGCTCGGTTGCTTCATTACGATAGGCAAGCCCGACCACCACGTCAAGGTAGCAACAACGGTCGGGAGCTGAAAACGTTATCAGTCATGGCTCAAAACGAAAGTCAATGATTCTTTTATGGTTTTCTATTGCATCATTTTTACCTAGTCTTCTACTGTATTAGGATTTTCATATAATGAAATAACTAAGAAAAACCTTCCAGTTCACCAGAAATGGGTCAACAATTCAGTGTTACTATTACGTTAAATGTTAATTAACAAGTCCAGGAAAGTGAAAAATACACTCACAGCAATAATCAATATATATATAAATGAATATAATTTTTTATTGTATATATAAATTTACATTTATACAACTTTTGTTACATGTACAACCCAATTTCCTTGTTCGTAGAAAGATGTGTCAATTTTTAGAGCAGGTACTTTTGATATTAGGTCATCCAATTCTCCCATAACAAATAAGTGATAATAGCGACCATACATTGAATTGGGTAATGGTTGATTAGACTCTATGATAAACAAAATAATACAAATGATTGTCATTCTTATCATCTGTTATATTAAATTGGAATTATTCCAAAAGAGAAAATTATTGATATTCCTAAGAATTTACCACCAGGTAATTAATTGTCGGATGAACGTGTATCTACGAAGACGTAGGCATTCTTGACTGATATTTGCGGAATAATCGTTATTTACTGTTAGATATCTTAATGTTGTGCGTTAACAATCGACCAAAGTAGTGCAGCTGTATTTATTCATTACCATCTTGAATATCATATACTGCTTTTTATATTGGATTTCATTTGTTCTTTCGTAATTATATTTCATTTGCTTAATTTAAGATGATCGCTAATAATAGTAATATTTAGACTCCTATCTTTTTTCATTATGTTAACTTCGTTTTGCTATACTAATGTATATATTGTGGCGAATTGCGGTGATATACAACATTTATATATCACATAACCTACGTTATTTAAGACTACTGATGAACTGTATGAAATAGACACCTAATTCATGTATAAATCTACAGATCTAAAATAATATCAACCGAGATAATGACAAATAATAAGCTGTTTTGAAACCTATCAGACACTAATATGATAACACCCAGAATATTACTTGAATAAAAATGTGATCAAATTCTTCCCATCTTCGAGTTTGTACATCAATTATTCTAACAATGTCTGATATGTTTACTAATGCTTTAATAAATTTCTCATACCAAATGACTATCTGTTCAAACGTTTTGAGAAAAAAGGTGTTTCTGTAAAGTTTTTTTATTGAGAAATGTTATATTTTCCAACGACTCGATCGGAATAAATTAAGAAAAGAATTTTCTAAATCACAACATTGAATTCTCCAAAGTGTGGGCATCAAGTTATATATATATATATATATATATATATATATATATATATATATCCTTAGTAACTGACTCTCAGGAACATCCAGTCTTTCCATGAATACGCATGGGGACAAGTCTACTTCCGATTGCGTCCAAACAATTAGCTTCCGTTAGACTTCGTATTGTTCAAAACCGGAGAAAATATTGACTCGCGAGGAGCAGGCTGGTTTTCGTTCTGCTCGAGGATGTATCGATCATATCCTCACCCTCTGTCAAATGTTAGGACACCGTCATACTTATCACCGACCAACAATCCTAGTGTTTCTTGACATCAGAGCTGCCTTCGATTCGTTGGACAGGACTATTCACTGGGATTGTCTATTGAAGAAGGGTGTACCTGAGAAGTTTATTAACATATTAAAAGCCCTATATACAAACACCTCAGGCACAGTGAAGGGATACAACCACCTTTCTCCATTGTTTCATTCGAGCAGTGGGGTTAGACAGGGTTGCCCAATCTCACCATTCCTCTTCAACTTTGCCATCGATGACATTCTGGAAACAGCTCTGATGGATGTAAGAAATGGCGGTGTGGATCTGTTGCCTGGAGATGGACTTCTCGACCTTGAGTATGCGGACGATATTGTCTTACTGTGCGATAATGCCCAAGGCATGCAATCCGCACTTAATCGGTTGGCAATCAGTGTCCGTAGATATAGTATGTGCTTTGCACCTTCGAAGTGCAAAGTACTTCTACAAGACTGGCAGGATTCTAATCCTGTACTCACCCTGGATGGTGAGCAGATAGAAGTAGTTGAGGAGTTCATGCATCTGAGTAGCTGCATAGGTGCTGTTGGTGGCCTGAGTGATGAGATCAATTCATGTATAGTGAAGGTCAGAGTGGCTTATGCCAATCTGGGCCATCTTTGGCGCCTGCGTGAAGTTAGTCTGACTGTAAAACATCGGATCTACAACGCGTCGGTGAGAACAGTTTTGCTCTATGATTGTGAAACCTGGACTCTCTGAGTTGAGGATGTTAGATGACTCTCTGTGTTTGACCATCGTTGTCTCCGAAGCATTGCTGACATCCACTGGTAACACCATGTCAGTAATGCAGAGGTTCGGCATTGTGTACGGACACAGCGACGATAATTCAATTAGTATCACTATCTTGAAACAGACTTCGGTGGCTTCGACATGTTCTACGAATGTCGTCCAAGAGAATTACACGTCGTGCATTATTTGCGGGCGCCGGGACTGGTTGGGAAAAAGCGGAGAGGTGGTTAGTGTATGACATGGTGTCATGGTGTGAAGGAAAGCTGTATAGGACTGGCTTCTGTTGGACCTTCACGACTCCCTGGTTGGGGTCCCAGACATGGTGCAACACAGTGGATTAAGACGTTATCAGACATGACTCAGTATAAAGGCCAGTGGCGATACTGTTGTAACTTTCGCCTAATTTCTTTATAAAAAATGAACGTAACTTTTTTAACTGGAAGAATTCTTTCTGGTTGTACGTTCGCTAACCGAACTACCTCTCCTATCATTATTATTTCACTCTCGCACACTAATTTATTTTCGTTTTTGTTCTCTTTTTCCCTATACGCACTTTACACTTTGTATCTTTTCACATTCTCATTGTTACTGTGTGGCGCATATGTACTTGGTGCCCCTTTGTACCAATATTTATGTGTTGAAATCAATAAATTAGTCAAAGTATATTTACCTTTCAACTGATCGGTCACCGTGTAGTTTTTTTTCTTCCAAGGAACTAACATATCTGTATTTTGAAATTCTGTACCATTGACGTGTAAAGGTAAATAGGTGCCAGGGACAGCTTCAACGATTTTCGAGAGTGATTCTGGAGAATCGTTGACGTTACAAACAGTTTTTGTCTTACGATTAACGTAATATGACGGTTCAGATTTTGAAATACCATGTTGTTCTTTAGCCCAAACCTTGAAAGGAAGTATGTAAGAGGAAATAAGTGAGAACGATAAGTATCGATTGGTCAAACAAAGCAAGCAAAACGATTTTGTAAAATAGACATTTATGAAATTTTGAAAGGTTCATTTAAAGATCAAGCTATATTTCTTTTATGTAGGATCGATGACGTTGTTTTACAGTTGGGTATTTTTTGACTGATAGCTCTGGGAATACAAGTCGATTAGTTGAACCACTGATACACATTTTTAAGATCATCTGCAAAATACAGCGAAGTTCGTGATGGTTATTAGGCAGCTTATTCAAAGACAGATGATTCTACTTTTACATTATAGACTACTGGACTCCAACCGAAATGCTGAATGACATCGATTTCGTTATAAGACCTGTAAAAGTCATGGAATATTTACAAAGATAAAGTATTTAAAAATCTTTTAAAGGTTTACATGAATGTTTGAACAACTAAAATGGAAATGATGCAATTGTGTTGTCAGAAATAGCAGAGGCTACTTTAAAAGCGACAAGGTTGTTATAAAATACAGATTTAATGACTTTAGTTTGTGTATTTATTGGATATGTTAATATGTTATTTGCAAATTACTTGTATTAACCCTCGACCTCCAACGCGTAGAATACGGGCCAACTCATTAACTGCTTCTATACGCCTAGCCATAGTGGATAAATGATGAATAACAGCTATGCATAGAAAAAAATCAAAACGTTCTGAACAATAAGGTATTCGTAGTATGTCACCTATGACTACATCGAAGCCTGAAAAGTTCAAAAATAATTAATCGAAAAAATTGATAATAAATATAAACGAGAAATAAAGTGAATAAAAGATTGCAATAAATCGATTACATGTTTACAATATAATCATCCCGTCACAGACCTACCACTACAATGAGTAATAAGAAAAATTCAAAATGATTGTGTTTTTTTAGGAATACATATCCACTTAGTTTCATTCCTGAAAGATTATCAATTTTATTATGGAACACAGAACTAGAATGAAGAAACAAAACAGAGGGATTCGCCTATTCTAAGTAAAAATATATACGAAAATAAAATCAGGTCGCCGAAATCGTTAGGAATGTGTTATATTCCACAGGTGAGTAAAATCTCACCAATCACAATTATCCAATCTGGAATACACAATGGCAAGCGGGAATAATGAGCTGAATACAGTCTGATGCAACTGGAGGACGCATGATATCGAACAGATTGATCTTCTTCATTATCTTTGTTTACATAAACACAAATTCATTTTCTAGAAAGTACATATTTTATTAATACACATAAAACGTTTAGAGCAGAACAGCACCAAGGTTGATAAATCAAGTTATTATGAGTATGGTCAAATAAAGTTTTAATTCGCAAAAACACTCGGCGCACAATGTTCGCCGGTGTAGAAATGGGTTTAGAGTAAGCTATGGACGACCAAACCGAAAATTGATATCAGTTTATGAAGTTGTCGGCTATTGGACTGAGTCATGGTGGTAGATGTGGAATGCCTAATTGAGTTCAGGATAACTACCGTAACTAATGGTTGGAAACGTTCAAAATCAGTTGCAATGGCGCACACGTATTCATTCTTTATTTTCTGAATTTTAAAGTTATTCTACATATTTTTTAGTCCAAGAATTTATATTTTCATCTCAAATCATATTATGTATGTTTAATCTTTCCTATTACAACTGATGTTATCGCTACCTCCACTACTCTGAGGTCTCGTTGAGCCGGTGTAATGTGGCTATTCAAACCGGTGCAAAAATGTGTCATTCTCTGTTGTATATGAACAAATGCTTTTCTGAATAATCCGAGATTATATAATAAATGCTCTTGAGACAAAGCATTTAGCTAAGTTGTGAATATTTCAGAAACTATTAATTTTTTCTATTTATAGCTACTTTGAAACAACCGAGCCAATAATTCTAGAAGACTGAAACGATTCACAACACACTATTAAACTTCATTGAGAACAACAAGTTGTTACAACTATTTATTGAAATCTACAATGAATTTCAAGAAATCGGTATATGACAATCTAGTAATTCTTATCACCTAAATTTGATATTAGCAGAACAAACATAAAAAACTGACACCAAACCACCCACGCTATCAGATTTTGGGAAGTTAACCAGTCTCCCGTTAAAAGTAATAAAACCTAGTGAAATTTAATGACACACCAACCCCCAAAGACAACTTATCAGCTAATTAGCTCCGACTTTTTTTAGAAAAAAAAACCGAAATTTTCAAAACTGGAATTAACTTATCTATCAGGTAATTGAGTATGAGCCAGATAAAGTGTGGGGCTAATGATACTGCCCGGCCACAGAGAATGAAAAGGCTGGAGCGGGACAGCAACAGTGGCTGTAAGCCACTAAGTCACTACTCAACCCTACAATTTTATAAATTCTTTGAAACCTATATGTATATTATTATAAACAACCTGTTAAAGCACTCGTAATATTCACATTAAGTGAAACCTTTACTATAAAACGATAAGATGCTTGATACAATAGATAATTACACAAGGCAAAACACCCTACCTCTGTTATATACAATCTCTGCTAGTTTGGGGCTTCTCTCCATAGCGGCGATAGGAATGAAATTAGAAGTGGCAACTATACTTTTGCACTGTACACTAGTTGATGAAGTGCTAGCTTTCATAGCAGCATAATATTTTGATGATGCAGTAAGATATTTTCCATTTCCACAACCTACGTCAACACCAAGGCTATCCGGTGATTGTGCTTCAATAAATTTCACAACGCTAGGCCAAGGTGAATGTCGAGTAGAACTGAACTCAGAGGCTATCACATCATATACCTATGCAGATAACAGATATACATGTTGAGATTTAAGACAATTGCATGAAGTGAAATAAAGAACCTCCTTCATGTTGAGAGGGCACTTATCAAAAATATTGCTCACAATATATGGCGAAATACATGACAATCTAAGGTATGTATACATGAGAGAAAAACAGGGATTCCACCTGTAATTCTATTATATTTTCTGGTTAATACGCCTCGTTTCTGATACTGTCAAGCACATAAATAGTGGAATGATGTAAGTGAACAGATGCCGTAATGGCGCACAACCGAATAAACTACAACATCGAATCGCTTCAGCAGTATACAAAAAATAGCTAGATCATATAGTTCTTACGGAGTCACAGGAAACTAGACTGAAAAGTATTTTACTGCGCTTAAGGATTTATCCTGAGTCACTTTACATATATATATATATATATATATATATATATATATATATGTTTTATCACCCACACTTTTAGTAAAAGGTCTGTAATTTACAAACCAAAGTAAGCAACAATAAAAGAGCACCTTATCATCAACTTAACTACTAATACAGAATCATTAGTTTCTGGTGAAATAAACGACACATTTTAGCTCTATACAGCAGTAACAGTGGTGTGAGTACATTTATAAAAAAAACTTTAACATGTGATAAAAATAGAAAAGTGGAGGAAGTGATTATTTTTGGTTTGAAATAAGTGGTGAAATGCTAACCAATTATATGTAGTTAAGTTAAGGTAAAGAGTGGATGCACCCGCACGATTCCAAACAATTCTGCTCTGTCATCCAAAACCAACCATCGGTTGGTTTACGAAAATGGGAGGACGAAAAGCGAATGTCCGGCGCTTTAACCGGATCACAAACCAATGGTCACATGGGCTCCAGTATCCTGAAGGAACAAATGGCGTATGAACCAATTTTCAGTCACCGGCTTCCATGGGACTGCATCTCCTTACGATGCTCCACTGCCTTGTGGATCAGACCTTCAGGTCGAAGGCTCGGGGAGTGGCCCTCTAAGATAACCACCTGCTTTGGTTTGGGCACCCAGGCAGTATCACAGCCCTCACACATATCAAATGAGATTTGTGTGGCGCATATGTATTTGGTGCATCCTTGTACCAATATCTATGTGTTAAAATAAATAAATAAATAATAACCATCGGTTGTGGTCATTGAGCGGACGCCAACCAGGTTACCTTATGAAAACAACTTGCATTAGCACTAACTGACTTCCCTAATAATATGATTTAAGTAACATAAACGAGGCTAAAAATTACCACATGGTAGGTTTAAGATGGTGAAGATGGATATCATCACAGGCGAAAATGTAATTTATGAAAGAACCAATCAGATTCAGGATAATAGGTCTTGGGATTGATTGTAAATGTAAAGCCATCAATAGCATCAATAATATAGTTATAATCCCATTGTTGCATACTTTATTGTAAATGCATTTTGTTTCATTAGTTCTTAATGAATGATGATAAACCATTTAATTACGTCTTATATTATTGTTAGCCCGCTAACAAGCAATACGTCATTGTTGACGTACCAATCAAGAAAGAACTTATGATAGCATGCAAGAAGTGGATTGTCGGCAAAGGACTTTGCCTATTTCCAAAGGACCTGATCGAAACCCACCTGCAAAACTACGATCAACCAGATAACAACTGGTCAGTTATGAAATGTAATGACATTCACAAACTAGGTAAGTAACAAACATAGAAACAATAAATCACTATAGATTCTTTGCAGTCTGTGAAAGATTTATTAGTTTATTTACAATTACTGGAATCTCGCCATAAAAACACTTCAACAGATGAAAACACCTTGCCGCAGAATACTGAGAAGCCTAAGAGGTCAGTACAATAGTCTTACTATTATTCCCCAGAGGTGCATTGAAGCGCAAAGAAGACTTTCTTTACAATTCATTAGACATGGATGTTGCTGAAATGCAGGCTAGCAATAGCCACGTACAATATCCGAAATTTCGGTTGTTTGAAAAAGTCGTCTCGCCAATTGCCAAGTACGTTTCATTACATGTTTACGAACTAGTTCGACACAATTAGAGACATCACCTTCAACGTCAGAATCTAAGCAAGTCGGTGGTGCTATAGCGGCCCAGTAAGTCACCAGCCTCATCAAGTGAACTTTTTCAGCTTTGGTAGGTTGTACACAATGATGCATAAAATGTCCTCAGCCATTACGGATTTGAGTGTGAATGTAAAGCAATTGCTATCAAAGCCTAATGAGCGCGAAAAGCCGCATCAATTCGATTGCGGACTCTCAAGTCAGCAGTTCCCTTTGTCATCTGAAGAGGAACTGCAGATGCTGGAAACTGGTTTGCAGCAGAAAGAAACCAGGGACAGATTTGTAAGTCATCAATATTAATTTAGTAATTTGTCCCGATTACAGATGGCAATGGTTACCAGATTATCGGGTGATGATCCGGAAGCCTCGATGCGGTATGTTCTTACGTACCTCTTGACACCTGACATTGCCAGTAACTTCACGTTACTTGGAACTTCTTCGAAACGACCACTTCAAAATGCCGGTTTTACGGCTGCATACGAAGTAACCCATATTTAGTATTTAAACTTCAGGTGCGTTAACAAATCGCTCTCTATCATCCTCCGTCAATGAGAAGGACCTAGCGAAGCTATACGACATGGCGACACAAGGTTATTTTCACGATGTTAGAGACAAAGTGATAAAGCGTAAAAGAAGGAAAGGGCAGCTATGTACTAATTTAAAGTGATAACTTTCCTTACGGCTCTATAGTTACAGTCATCAGTGTTAACGGACATAACCGTAAGTTTAGCTTAAAGTATTTGGTTGTGCCAAGACACGTCATTCAGATATTGTTGTGACTTTCTTCTGTTTTTTAAACTTCTGAATTCACAGGACGACTATTTCAATTCTCAATAGGCGAACGAATGTGGCTGAAGGGAATAATCCGTGCAATTTTTTGATGTCCTACCTACATTTTAATAAACATTATTTTGTCAAAGAGCTTACTTTATTACTTACATGGGAAACTATAGAAGTGTTGAGAATGTGTGTTTGAGTGTCAGTGAACTTGATATTAGATGCACATGCCTTATCAATAATACATCACCTGTTTCATCTTTTGAAGATCTTTTCAAATAACAATGAGTTGGTAATTACAATGGATATATAAAACGATTGGTGCTCAAGCTTCTGTTACAATGTTGTACAATAATACGCTTTTTCTTTACAATAAAATTACTTGAAAATGTACCCGTTTTCCCGTGGCTTGAAGTTTTGGTGTGGTTTTTTTTAATAAAGGTGAACATAGGAAACCTTAAGGGTTATGCCAATAGATCAAAAATAGGCAGTTCTGTATGTCTTTAGGCGAAAAGTAGAAAATTAAGCGTATACGTAGGCGAAAAGTATGCAATTTGGCGGATATCTAGGCTAGAAGTGGGGAATTCAGCGGATATTTAGGCGAAAAGTGGGCAATTAAGCGGAAATTTAGTCGAAAAGTATGCAATTCGGTGGACATTTAGATGAAAATTCGACAGTTCGGCGGTTATTTATCGACAAAGTGGCAAAAAGGGGGGAATCCGCATTATTTCCCCCGGACAGGCGAAAAAGGCGACATTCTGATGCGTTTTCCCCTTTCTTTTCCAAAGCATTTACCCCTTTATTTCCCCTTTTTGGTTATCTGGGTCAAATAACAAAAGTGCCACAATGTATATATTGGGCTGAAATTAGGATCTTTGAACATAGAAAGTTTGTACGCGAACTTACGGAACACCTCATGTATTTAACGTAGTAACACAGCTTTTGTATAAACGTACTTGATGAACATATCGACTTTCCAACTCGATCGGATCGAACTTTTCGTTAGAGAGCAAGATATCATGTGATTTTCCTGAGTTATCAGTGATCATTTAAGTTAAATTGTAAATTGTATATGACAGATAATTGTTAACCCATTTCAAATATGCTGTAACTGGAGAAGATATTATAACCCACTAATAACCTTCGGAAGACAATACGGCGGCCTTGAGAACCCTTAACCGCCAATGGCACTAAATACATGGATAACCTCAGACTACTCAATAAATGGGGGGAGGCTCAAATGGTTCAAATGGTTGTGGACGGAATAGAAGAAGCTTTCGCTTAACAGGCTTCCGTGTCTAGTAGCAGGGGATCACCAAATCCTCCAGGCAGGAACCTAGGTATGTCGACAATAAAAGAGGAAAAGAAATTGGTAAATCATAGTGTGATGCTGTCCTTAGTCCTTAAGAATAGGTCAAGTTGCCTTTTGAAGGACTCCTGAGAAGTCGCTTGGACTAGCTCGGTATATCACATGATTTCATGTACAGATGTTTGTGACAGGTCATCGATTTCTTAACTCGTGTTCCTTTTCACGCTTTTGTCCGCTTTTAGGTTTGTAAATGTTCATACGTGAATGCACTGTTGCAATACATTATAATTCAAGCACATAAGCAGAAAAGCATTGAAAAAAGTTATAGTTAGTAACTTTATATCTCAGTAGCCCTTTAGAAAGTTTACTTACATTGGCAACGAAATTTTTCCTCAGTTTAGTTGTCTTGGTATGTACCATGGTGTAGAGATAGTTAAAATAGACTTAATTCCTAACTAGTTTTTGCTACTATGTGAATTTCGTTCACTAATTCTCATAATTGGTACAATTAATATAATTGGCTTTAAAACGGTTGTTTAAAAGACATAAACTTGGATCTTCTATTTCGTTTTTGAACCCCCTATATCATGACACCGTTGCACACATATGCTTCTTGTTCTGAATTTCCTGCTGTTATGATAACAGAGGTTTGATATAGTTGCTAACTAAGTCTACAGATCACAGTGATATTCTCACTGTATGCCTTGTCTGGATATAAATCTTGAACCATAATTATAATTGGAATTAATAACTACTTATAATTGTGGATTACAAAAGCAATGAGGAACTCGAACACGCCGATTCCTGACGATCTAAGTAACGTCCTGTATATTTTTCTTATGTGTGTAATTTATACTTGATCTATCAGTGCATTAATTTTTGACGCAATAGCTCTATCATTATTGTTTGAAGTGATATATCTTTGGTCTCCCACAATGGTGCATGGATCTATTACGGAAGTTATTAGGTAAGATTCCACTAATTGGATATATATGATGTGTGCAATTATCAACAACTACCAAATCATACGATTAACAGCCCATACATCGCTATGTAGGAACCAACTTAGGTAGAAATTACAACTGTAATAATAAGCAGAGATGGATTATGGCTAACAATAGGATCCAGGACGCGCATTTCGTCCTGGCTAAAACTGACCAATTGCGGTCTTAAACATCACTGGGAAGATTCAAGCAACCGATGCAAGAATGAATGGAACTTCTGTATTAGTTTGTCACATGTTTGCTGTAAATAAAAAGATTAAGAAGTAGATCTCGTGTCTTATAGTTTAAAGGTATTCAAGCTCAACCTGGTTGGCCAACATCTCCGCCTGGAGTCCCTCCGAAGGCTACTGCCGGTCCCAAGCCCGGATAAAGGAGGAGGGTTGGGCATGAGGTTAGCGTCCCCGCCCCGTAGAAAAATAACCCGCTAAAAAACGCTAACCAGAAAAAATTATTCAAACCTTTTAAACTCTGCCCTGGGAGTCAGAAGATATTCATTTAGAAGAACTATGACGTCTCATGATGAAAGCCGAGTTCCTTCGGAAGTTACGAGGCCGATGCCCCTTCTGAAAACCAGAGAAACCATTTATTTAGGTACATGGAATACTCATACAATGTGGGAGACTGGAAGAGTCTTTCAAATTGCTGCAGAAATGAGGAGATGCAAGCTAGAGCTGCTTGGGATCAGTGAAACGCATTGGACGAAAGTTGGACAACAACGAATAGCTTCAGAGGAGCTTCTTTTATACTCCGGCCATGAAGGAGAAAACGCTCCACATACGCAAGGAGTTGCATTGATGCTGTCCAAACGAGCACAAAATGCACTTATAGGATGGGAATCTCATGTACCAATGATCATCAAAGCCTCCTTCAAAACAAAGAAAGAGGGCATTCCAATGAACGTCATCCATTGCTATGCGCCTACCAACGACTACAATGAAGACGTTAAAGATCAATTCTACAATAAGCTGCAGTCAATCGTCAAGAAGTGCCCAACAAAGGACCTGAACATTCTGATGGGAGATTTCAACGCCAAGGTTGGAACGGACAACACTGGATATGAAGACATCATGGGACGACGGGGACTGGGAGAAAAGCACGAACATGGTGAGAAATTTGCAAACCTATGCGCCTTCAATAAACTGATCATAGGCGGAACTATATTCCCATATAAGCGCATACACAAAACCACATGGACTTTACCAGATCACACTACCCAAAACCAAATCGACAATATGCACGTTAACGAAAAGTTCAGGAGGACGATGGAGGACGTGAGAACCAAGAGGGGAGCTGATACAGCATTAGACCATCACTTGCTGGTCGCCAAGATGAAATTGAAACTCAAGAAGCACTGGACAATGGGGCGGACAATATCACAAACGTTAAGTACGGCCTTTCTTCAGGATACTAACAAACTCAACAAATTCAAGATAGTCCTCAGCAATAAGTTTCAGGCCTTTCGTGATCTACTCAATGGAGAAGGAACTACTATGGATCAAAGAGGCAATCACTTCAACATGTCATGAGGTCCTGGGTCACAAGAAGCACCATCACAAGGAATGGATCAATGTTGATACACTGGATAAGATTCAAGAAAGGAGGAACAAGAAAGCAGAAATCAATACCAGCCGAACAAGAGCAGAAAAAGCCAAGGCACAAGTTGAATACACAGAAGTAAACAAGCAAGCGAAGAGGAGCATCAGAACGGACAAACGTAAATATGTGGAAGATCTAGCAATGACGGCGGAAAAGGCTGCAAGAGAAGGAAACATGAGACAACTGTATGACATAACAAAGAAACTCTCTGGAAATCGCCGCAAACCGGAGCGACTAGTGAAAAGCAAGGAAGGCGAGGTAATCACCAACATTGAAGAGCAACAAAACGGGTGGGTAGAACACTTCAAAGAACTCTTGAATCGACCAGCTCCACTGAACCCACCCAACATTGAAGCAGCACCCACGGACCTCCCAATCAATGTTGGCCCACCAACAATTGGAGAAATCAGCATGGCCATCGGACAAATCAAGAGTGGCAAAGCAGCAGGACCAGACAACATTCCAGCAGAGGCACTGAAACCAGACGTAGCGGTAACTGCAAGGATACTCCACATTCTCTTCAATGAGATTTGGGATGGGGAACGAGTACCAACAGACTGGAAAGAAGGACTTCTGGCCAAAATACCGAAGAAAGGAAATCTCAGCAAGTGTGATAACTACAGGGGCATCACTCTTCTCTCAATACCGGGAAAAGTCTTCAACAGGGTATTGTTAAACAGGATGAAGGACTGCATAGACGCCCAACTTCGTGACCAACAGGCAGGATTCTGTAAGGATAGATCGTGTACAGACCAAATCGCAACTCTACGGATCATTGTGGAACAATCAATTGAATGGAAATTATCACTCTACATCAACTTCATTGACTACAAAAAGGAATTTGATAGCGTGGACAGAACAACACTATGGAAGATAGTCAATATCATACAGAATTCATATGATGGATTACACTGCAAAACTGTGCGTGGTGGATAATGGACAGACTCGTTCGAGGTAAAAACCGGTGTCAGGCAAGGTTGCTTACTCTCATCCTTTCTCTTTCTCCTGGTGATCGACTGCATCGTGAAGACGTCAACATCTGAAGGGAAACGCGGGGTACAGTGGACATCTATGACGCAACTGGACGATCTAGGCTTCACAGATGATCTGGCCCTTCTATCCCAAACGCAACAACAAATGCAGGAGAAGACGACCAGTGGAGCAACAGCCTCAGCAGCAGTAGGTCTCAATATACACAAAGGGAAAAGTAAGATTCTCCGATACAACACAGCATGCACCAATCCAATCACAATTGACGGAGAAGATTTGGAAGATGTAAAAACCTTTACATATCTGGTTAGTATCGTTGATGAACATAGTGGATCTGATGCAGATGGGATGGCGCGGATCGGCAAAGTAAGAGCAGCATATTTACAACTCAAGAACATCTGGAACTCAAAGCAACTGTCAACCAACACCAAGATCAGGATTTTCAGTACAAATGTCAAGACTTCTACTGTATGGGGCAGAAACCTGGAGAACTACGAAAGCCATCGTCCAGAAGATACAGGTGTTTATTAACAGTTGTCTACGCAAAATACGAGACAAGCCCTTACATGGAATCCTCAAGGCCAAAGGAGGAGAAGAAGACCAAAGAACACATTACGCCGGGAAATGGAGATAGACATGAGAAAAATGAACAAGAATTGGATGGAATTAGAAAAGGTCCATGACAGAGTGGGTTGGAGAATGCTGGTCGGCGGCCTGCGCTCCATTAGGCGTAACAGTCGTAAGTAAGTAAGTGATTGGCCAACATTTATCTTCAAAAATGTTTTGGTGAATCATGTTTTATTCTTTGTCTTGAATAAATATCGGATGACATCACTCTTTTTTAAAATAACCGATACTCGTCACCATTTAACTTCAGCTCCGCTATTCGTAAACGTACAGGAAGATGGAAATTATTTTGGATTTGTCGCCTTTTAAACGGCCCCTACTTAGTGATGTCATCTGGCCCCTGGAAAACTGCTTATTCCAATATCTGGACATCCTTCTAATGGCAATGGCGTGGCCCTAACGCCGTATGGAGCTGGTCGTCAGTGAGACTCCATAAGACTCCGAGCACTCTTTATAGAATTCCTAGATAGCGCTTAATACAAATACAACACTCTTTAAACTACATACTCTCTGTCACTTATAGTAGCATTAACAGTGTCTAACAATTGTTATTGTAAGATCCAAACTACGGTTTGGATTGAAGGTCAGCTGTCTGGATGAGTTAGATACGCGCCCTCGCACGATTGAAACCAAAACAAAGTAATTGGGTAAGATGACG